ATGTTTTAATTTTGTTTTCGATGATGGAGACATTTTCTTAATGATTTGAAAGATAAATCACACTTCGAACAGTGTGCCAGAGAGGGACAGCTAAGAGTAACCAGTTCTTTTTAATTTAATTTTTGTTTGTTTCACGTTGGTTTTTTTTTCGACCAACAAAAAAGAAGCGAATTATTCAAATGACATTCCTTTTTCACTCTTCAGTGTGTGTGTGTGCTTTATTAAAATAAAATATATCCATCGTTGTCTTTATTGAATGTTAAGTTGTATCTCCGTTGGATAAATGCAAGCAATCAAGATTTAAATGGATTGTGACCCCAGTGATAAACACACACCAGCAATTTAATTAGAAAAAATAGACCCCAGAAATCAGGAGAGCCATGTAAGCGATTACACATGAGAGAGGCACATCACAGAGACGGAATCGCTTCAGCATCAATCGAACCAGATAAATTAGAAAGCTTTTTTCCTTTCTTTCTCTTGCATAGAGATCTATTAAATTAATGAACACATTTATGAGTCTTTCTTTCTATGTGGAATCGATTAGCCTCGGAGACCTCTTATAAGCGAGCGCAATCTTAACATTGCACTTCTCTGTCAGTTTTAAAAAGCGAGCCTCATTCAAATGCGTTTTTGTTGATTTCCCCCAATTATATGCCGTTGCACGTTCCATGCATTAACAACGTTAGAATAATTTTGATTGGTTCCACACTCCAAATTTGGTTTGATTAAGATGGCATAGAGCACACACGCATAATTATATACCTTTTGATGTTACACTTTTCCCCCCATTTTATTTTAATATATCGATTGGCTTTTAATATGCCCACTGAGAACGAAATGACCGCATCTCACGCACACTCGACCACTTTTTTTTTTTAAAGAAGAAAAAACCATAATCTCGTAATCGGCCAACAGTCTGTAAACAATGCGTAATGAGATTAATCAGCATAAATTGTGGCCACCACAGCCGCTGCCGTCAATGTTGAATCGAAACCACAACAAGAATCGTTGTTAATCGCACTTACTTCGGTGCGAGATCGATCGATTGGTATCGATATCATGGTCGTTGTGCAGAAAAAAACCGCGATTGGTAACAAAAATGGCAGTATAAATTCTAAATCACATACATAGTATGATTACACTACTTTGAATCGAAATATCATCATCATCTTTTTTTTTCGCATTACGACCACAAAACAAAAGCGAGAACACACCGAATAATGCATTGAGATGTACACCGCATACACAAAAAAAAGAACACTGTGCAGCATAAATTGTGTGTGTGTTTGTCTCTGTTGTTATTTCTTAATACATGTTGATTGTATTTTACGTAGTAAGTTAGCGATTGCGATCACATTATGTTAAGTATACAATACACACACCATCCATTTCACGGCCAATTTATTCTGCACATGCCAATGATACACATTGCCCATTTAATGCGGTTCGCTCACTCAACCACACATACACACAGAGAGAGATACACACACACAAATACAGCCATTTGGTTGATGAAAGTGAACCATTTTCTTTTACTGCTTCGATCTCGTTGTGCAGCAAACAAAATGTATTTTACTGCATGGTCTCTTCTTCATCACATCTTTTTACCATTCCGTGTTGCATTCGGCTATGTTCATCGTGTGTATATTGGCAAGTTTTGTTTCACGCCTTCATCTCAACTGCAGAAACACTGCACATATATCGACACAAGTGATGCACATTTTATGCCATTCGCGACTATGCACAACTCGTTTGTGGTTTCGATGCCATTGAATACGCATTGCTTTCTCGGCGAAAGAGATCGCGTGCTTCGATGTGTGTGTGTGTGTAAGCGCTTGTTTGCGGTGTTATTTTTCATTTCGCGAACAAACAGTTGCACGGTGTCTGCTGCAAAGAGTCGCATGTATGTAGTTGTTAAATAATGTGCTATTCTTTGCGTCTCATTCCATCATTTATTCTATCCATAATAATCAGTGCAATTACGGCCATATTTCTCCGTTTATGTTCATCTCGTTGCTCTTTTCGCGCTCGCAACAAACACACAGCGTTAAACATACAACAATCGACCAACAGCAACGACGAGAGACAAACAAAAATGAAAGCGTTAACATTGTGTTGCATACGATCGCTTTCCGTGCTGCCGTTTTTTTTCGGGTTTCATTTGTTAGTTATTTCCTTTTCTCCATCTATCCGACAATTATTTCGTCCATTTTCTCTCAAATTTCACTTGTTCTCAAATATATGTAATTATGTGAACCATACAATGGCAATTGATTAACAGCATTGTGATCAATTCAAAATCCATACCAATTACAATACATTTTGTGCTTCTCTGCCAATTCTCTATTTCCATGTGCCGTATATTTCTTTCCGGTCATTTTGCTCTGCCTTTTTTTGCTTATGCGTTGCTTTTGTTTTTCAAAAACAAAAAAAAAACATTGAAAATATCGTGCCTGAATTGCTGAACGTTCTTAAAAGTAGATAAATATGCAAAGGAAATAAACGTAATAATTCATGTAAATGTGCGGATATTTGAATTCTCAATAAATGGCGGAGAAAAAATATGGATTTCAATTTGAATCAATTGTATTGGCCGTTTGCTGTTCAACGGTTGGCATTTGATTTCAATGTTGAAGACAAAGCACGAACCGAATAAACAACAACAAAACAAATACGATCGAAACAAAAGCCCATTCCTCTCTCGGCGGCCACAGAAGAATTGGCTTAAAAACGGTGCAATTGCAAAATGGTATCAAAGAATAATCATCGTCACAATACACACAAACACATAATTTCTGGCATTCAATTGAACAACAGAAGAGTTGTAGAGCGAAAACAACAGCAAAATCACCAGAATGAAATGAAATAAGTGTATGCAATCTGCATAAGAATGAAACGTGAAGCTCAAAATAAAATCCATATGCATGTTACGGGAGAATAAAGAAAACAAAAAAAAAAACGGTTCTGTTTATTCTAAACGAAAGAATATGGAAAAATGTTTATTATTCAGATGCTTTATGCCTTTTGTTCGGAAACATTTTTGCTAAATTGTTTACTCAATTACAAAAATTATGCACAATGCCGTCACGATGCAGGCGAACACACACACACACACATGCACACCGCTGAAATGGGCGAAATTCATAAAATTGTTGGATATTTTTTCTGTTCCGTCTTCCCTATTTGTTTTTCCGCTCGCTCACTCTTCGTCTCCCCCTATGTGTCTAAGAAGCCAGAAATAGTAATGTAAATCGCAATATTTTCATTCCAACATATATTTGATCGTCACTATTTTTCTACTGTGTATGTGCTCCCGATTTTTATCTGTCTATTCCATGGTCGCGCATTTTCCTTTTTATTCCTGTTTGCCAGATCGAAATTGATTATAATTCGTATAGGTTAAATAATATCAATAGGCTGAATGAATTTACCTGGCCGCAAAAGTGCTGCTGATGTTGTTCGATGCACCATGGCTATTATCGTTACATGGGCCATAAGGATCACCAATGATTATTTTGCATTTCTGCATGCCGCTTTCGATAATATTTCAGTTCATGTAATTTTTCTCTCTCTTTCTCTGTTTGGTCTGTTTTATTCTTCGCCTGAAATTCGGTTTGCCGAGCTCAAATTATTAAGTGTTTTACTGGCATATACATACATTTATTGCTTGTTCCATTGAACGCCACACAAAGGCTATTGAGATTAATTTATATTTATAATAGCTTTATCTTTTCGTTGTTGTTTTTTCTTCATATAATTTCATATATTTGAGAGTCCAATCCGTGCCTGAGAATTATATTTTGGTCTCAAATCTGCACTTTCTCATTTTCAATTGGATTCCCGGTTATTCCTTGCTCGTTCGCTCTATCTCAATCCCATTTTCAAATCGAAAAAAAAAACTAAAATAACAACCAGAGAAATGGTAAAGAATACGAACGACCATATGTCAGTGTTATGCAGAGAGAAAAAAAAGCTTATATTTCATCTTGCTTCGCGTTGTTTGCTGCACTTTATTCTCATGGTAGAGCGGAAGAGCGCACAAGATTCGCATGAACTGCGATCGCGCTCGACACAATGAGATTACATCATTTTCGAATAATAAAATGAATTGTCGAAGACAAAGATGAAGAGCGCAAAACAATGCGCACATGAAGTTTATTTTTACTGTATAATTAAATTAAGAGATCACTTTGTGAAGCTTAAAAGCGTGAAAATGCAACGCAAACGGGGCAAAATGTAATCATGCGATTATAATCATTTGGCCGCTTAAACGATCAGGTTTTCTGCTCGGTTATGCACTCTGTGACTCGCCATATTTTTTTTTTCTCTCTCACTTCTCTCAAGTGTTTTTACTTAAATTAATGAGATCGAAGGAAAGAATTGAGATTGAAAAGAGCAGAGTAAAAAGTAACAACAACAAATATTACCATATAAACAATCAACAATGAAATAAAATTGCGTTGCTATTTTCTGCTGCATTTGAACTTGTGTTCTTGAACCTGAGTGAATGAAACACATTTGTTTTTGTTTTTTCGCTTGTGTTCGCTCTTGAATCATTATTTATTTTGATTTGTGTTCGGTTTATATATTTTCTCTTTCTTTGCAACATTCAAATTTGCCTAATCATTTCGATTTCGAGCTATTATCAATCGAAGATCGTCTCGGGTCAATATGGAACGAGTACACTTAATAAACATAAAGAAATGTTTGTTTCTGATAGAGATGTGATTAACTGTGTGCGTGGATGATTGAAAAAGATTGATATGTAAATTATTGGCCTTCACATGATCAAAATGATCAGAAATTAAATAAAAGCAAATACACACACGTGCAATCGACGGACGTGATTATTTTCCAGACAATATTGAAAGGATAAAAATAATCTAATTCATTTCGATTAAGATTTGTTTGCTTTCATCTTTTAATGAAATTGTGTAGAATAGCAAAAACAAAATTATTAATGAACCTATTTTCGTATTTATTTATTTTTTACATAGAATAATCAGTTCATCTGAATTGCAATTCTTTGCGTCACGTCATGCAGCAGCAATAGCAGCTGTAGCAGCCGCCGCATTGCCACCACCACCATCGAGTTCAACAAATCCAAATGGCGTTGGCCTAAGTAATTCGGCATCTGGACTAAATGCACCGCCACCAGTACCCCCAACACATCAACACGATTTTCATCCAGCCTATCGCATACCCGGTTACATGGAACACTTGTATTCGCTACAACATGCTTCGGCCGCTTCGTCTAGTTCATTGCACGGTAAATACTCAAATTCTTTTTGTTTTCCAAATTCTATCAAAAATGAGATTATTTTAAAAAACATGGTGCACGTGCATGTACTTATAAGTGTCATACACAAAATATTAAATATGTAGATTATATGCGTTCGTATGCGCACTTCAATTCAAAGTGATTGTGTGTGTATTTACTGTCACACGCCTGGAACAAAAGGAGTGACAACTTCCGCTATTCAATTAAAACCCATTTTTGTTCACCACAAAATTATTTATGTATTCTTCAAATGATGTGAGAAAAGAAATGAAACGAGAACATCAATGGTCTTGCATGTCATAATGTACACAAGAATTACGTGGAAATCCGATTCCCCATATAGCATTACAGAATGAATGTTGCATCATGAATGCAAGCGGACATAACAATACAGAAGGAGATAATGAGTGTCACCAAACCGAACAAAGAAATTTAGTGTGTGTTGTGTACTCATTTCTCTCGTTCCTTCTTCGAAGGAAATCAAATGATCAACAACGAAAAAAAAAAATAATGTGCTCAACACATACAGTCTTCTACTTTAAATCATTTTATGTAAATGAACATACGGTTTTCACAGTTAAACGGCATCCATTCATTCGAAAACGAGATTTTCATTGAAAAACAAATTCCATAAACTATTTTTAACTTGCTTTTAATTGTAGCACATGTTAGCAACTCCAACTGCGTGAAAAAAAAAGCAACACACAAAAAATTTAAAAACAAAAAGAAAAGAACAACAACGTGGAATGTGCACATTCATTCATTCATCCATTGGTCGACGACAATGTTGAAAATGACGTTGTTGAAAATGGAAAAACGCGGTGAAAATGATGCAATCATTTTTCATCGGTGCAATAATAAAAATGCTACATTTTGTTTGGGCCCGGGTTTTACGTAAATAATATTCTCTTTTTTTAATGGAGCCATTTTTATCGCGTCCGATTGTTACAAACAAATTATACAGACGTTACTAATTGCATTACGTATTTATACGTGTGTGCCTCTTTTTTCATATTTGAATGAAGAGAGAAAACGAGTGCTTTTATCCCAAGATCTCTACTGGCACGTTTTCCGATTTTCGGATTTTATTTTCTCAGTCTGCCTCTGACTGCAACATAACAAATCTGGTGAAACGGATCAATTTCTGTCTATCGTTCGGCTTGCTCTGTTTGTTTATATTTTTTGATGTTTTATTTATTTTTCGTTGCCATCATAGTCCGGTCGCAGTTCAATTTTTCGTTTAATTTCGTTTTATTTATTCTGTTCATTCACACTTTTGCTCCGAATATGTTGCTCAGATGCTGCCTAATGCTCTAACGCTTAACATAATGCCATGGGTCGTTTTTTTCGCTTCTTACTGCTTTTGGCTTGAGTAAAAAAAAATCGTAGAAATCATAGACGAGTAGAAAAAAAAGCAAAAAAAAAATGATCAACGACGAATGCGATGAATGAAACGAAAAAAATGTGGATTTAAACACGCATGAATTTAAAGAATGAAACATTTTTATGGGCGATAAAATTTGATGGATTTGTGTTCAGCAACGCTAGCAATTCATATAAATAATGTGTTGATTTCATTAGTGGCAAGAGGCAACACACATCACCTCTGCTTGTTGGGCTCCTCATCGAGAACACCGATCTTAATTTATATCAGGCGTTAAGAAATGAAAAACACATTAAACGCAAAACAGAACGAACGGGCAAACGAGAAAAAAAACACACACACGCACATTGTAAAAAAGTAATTGTATTACCTAAAAAAGGGTGGAAAACATATCACATGTTTCTCATAAACACCGCCATTTATTAGATACGAACAACATTTTTTTCTTCTCCTTCATCATTTCTGTTTTTATTAGAAATACATGGAATTCCATTTCGATCATATTCCTGCAAACAGGAAATTAATAAAAAAAATATTCTATTTTTGATGTCAAAACGATTAAATTTCTTTATTTTTCTTCATCTAATTAATTCGTTTTTATTGTGAATTTTTGCTTTTCACAGGACTAAGTGCTGAATATTTGAATGGTCGTGGTCCATCATTGAGCGATATTCACGGAGCTGTGAATAGTTCGTTGGCTAGCGCTGATTTTCATTTTAGTTTGGATGGTAGCAATGGTCGACTTGGTAATTCACGCGATGCAGCCACAAATGGTATGCTTCGTGCAAGTGTCAATCGAAAGCGTGCACTTTCTTCATCACCATATTCAGATTCGTTTGATATAAACACAATGATTCGATTTTCACCGAATTCATTGGCCACCATGGTGAATGGTTCACGTAGTAGTAGCGCGGCCAGTGGATCATTTGGTCATTTGTCAGCCGGTCTTGGAATGCATGCAGCTGCAGCGGCTGCAAGTATGGCAGCTAGTATAACGCCACATATTTTATCGGCACATCTATTCCGAGCAAGCGGTCTTTTACACTCATCATTTCAACCAGGGCATTATCCACATCATCACACATCGCCAACATCTAGTATGTTCTCATTGGGACATCATCCGTTGCAATCGCCAATGGTTGCTTCACTACAACATGGTGAAAATTCAGCACTTTCGGTAAGTGACTAATTAAGTTCTCTAAAAATGAATTCAATTATAAATTTCGTCTCTTTTCAAATGTAGCATCATCATGGTTTGCGACATTCATCGGTGTCACCGTCACGAAACCCATTGCAAAAAACGAATCACCAAATTTCGAATATGATTGTTGATGACAATCACAATAACAATGATCGCAATGAAAATAACAACATGTCAAATACAATTGAAATGAAAAGTGTTGAATTGACGAAGAAACATGATTTGGCATCTGGCATTGGTCTAATGGCATTCAATAATAATAATAAAAGTAAACATGAAACACATCTAAATGATAATGGTAAAATGATTGTTGAAAAGAATAATAATGATGCAGCGATCAATAGTAATAATAATAATACAGTGGCTCAAGCTGAAGCCGACAGTGCATCAGGCGGTTGCCTAACATCCGATGCAATGGGATTTCCGAATTCGTCGGCAGCGAATAAGAAAATTGCCATCGGAAAGCGATCAATTAAACGGGAAAATGGCACTGGAATGTTTGGTTTGGGTGCAACCGCAAATCATATGTTGAACAGCAATAAGACTGGTAATTCGAATGCAAATAGCGGTGGATCGTCGGGAAATGAAATCTCAGGCGCCGGTATGGGCGATGGTGTTGTTGATACAACCGATTTAAAAGACGATGCTGAAATGATGGACTTTGTTGAAACGAATTGTCATTGGCGCGATTGCGGATTGGAATTTGCTACACAAGAAAAACTTGTCAAACACATTAGCGACGATCACATTCATGCCAATAAAAAATCATTTGTATGCAGGTGGGAAGATTGCTCACGCGAAGAAAAACCATTCAAAGCTCAATACATGCTGGTCGTTCATATGCGAAGGCATACCGGCGAAAAGCCACACAAATGCACTGTAAGTATTCGATATTTGGCGGTTGCTGTCAAAATTAACAGCTTTCTTTTGATCACACTCATCAATGGCTTGATTTCGTTCTATTGTTTACAGTTTGAAGGATGTTTCAAAGCATATTCACGTTTGGAAAATTTGAAAACACATTTGAGATCGCACACAGGCGAAAAACCGTACACATGCGAATATCCTGGCTGTAGTAAAGCATTCAGCAACGCATCTGATCGTGCCAAACATCAAAATCGTACACACAGCAACGAGGTAATTATCATTTTTATTATTACCATTTTCTTTCAATAAGAAATTTTCACATTTGAATAAATTCTATCGTTCATTTTACAGAAACCGTATATTTGCAAAGCACCTGGCTGTACGAAACGTTATACGGATCCAAGTTCCTTGCGAAAACATGTGAAAACGGTACATGGAGCTGAATTTTATGCAAGCAAACGTCACAAGGGAACACCATCAAATCACAATAGTTTTGACGATGGACACGGCGGTGTATCAAATGCAAGCGGTTTTGATTCAAGTCCACGAAGTGAAGATCATCAAAGTGTTGCTGGTGGTAAAAATACAAGCGTTTCAAGTCCAAGCATCAAATCCGAATCGGATGCACATTCACCAGATCAACCGATCAATAGTCCGATGAGCGGTGGTGCAATGCAACACAATGCAACCGGTTTGAATGATGAATATGAATACGTTCCATCGTCGATGGTGATTAATACCGGTGCAGTGCATGGTGAAAGTGTTTCTGCTATCGATGATCCAGCTTGGCCATATGAAGATGAAGATTTAGAGGTAAAATTCTTACTAAAATGAAATATACATTATTTTCTACATTTTACAATATTTATTTTGTTTAGGTTGCCGATTTGCCAATTGTTCTACGCGAAATGGTTGGTTTGAGTCCAGGAATGGAGGAAAATGAAATGGGTTTTGGTCAAATGGGCGACAGCGTTGTGACACCGGCTCCAATGATGGACCGTAATCCACGCAATCGATTCAAACCTCGTTTGCAAGCCAAAGGGATCTCATCACTTTCGAATATACCTGAAATCAATCGACGCAACATGCGACCGCTTGAAACGAACAAACGTATTTCCGATTTAAAAACCGAACCAAGTATAACTCCGTTAGGAGGAACCGAACTACCGCCACGCTTACAATTTCCACCATCAACAACGATCAATCCAAATGTAAACGCCAACGTTGTTCGTCGTGATAGTATTAGTTCGAATGCAAGCAGCTTTTACTACAGCATGAAATCAGCCGACATTAGTCGACGAAGTAGTCAAGGTAAACATAAAATTGCAAAACAAATTTTCATTAAAAAATAAATTATTTTTCATGAATTGTTTCATTTTTTTGTTCTCGATTCAGCTTCACAACATTCGACGATGTTATCGCCACCATCGGCATCCGTACATCCAATACGGCCATCGATGAATGCAAATAATGCAAACTATGCTAACTTTTATGATCCAATTTCACCGGGTAGTTCAAGACGATCAAGTGAAATGTCAAACACAACCACTGGCGGTCAATGTCTGATACCACCGCCGCCATCTTCTCATCTGTTGACCACACATTTGCAACGTTTGCAACAAAGTAGCTTTGCAAATCCATTGTACAACACAAATCGTTTATCGGTGCCATCGATTTCGACGATTGGCAGTGAATTATCATCGGTTCATGATATCGGTGCACTTCACATGAATCCATGTGTACCAGATCGTCGTATGTCGGAACCGGTCAATTTCGGTGCCAATGAAAAATCACCACCACAAAGACCACGTTCACTAACACCAACCAAACTGACAAGCGATACCAATACACCAGCTGTTGCAACAGGTAAAAACAACAATATTTTTCATCTTTATGGTTTTGCTTTCAATTTCATTGAATAACATATGCAGCAACTAAACAGCATCAACAAAAATAAACCAACAAATTTATTTCTCTCTCACAAAAATAGCAATTAATGTGGAACAACATCCAAACCGTGAAGTTGATTTGGACGAAGTTGAAGAAGGTGAAATGGTCGAAGATAAATTAATCATACCCGAAGAGTTTAAAAATTATTTGAATCAAGTGGCCGATAATGAGATTGCTGCCAATACAAATGCAACAACAAATAATCCAAGTGCCAGTCCGAACATTGCAAATGGTGGAAATGAGGATAAACCAAACAATGAACAGCCACAAATGATGCCAACCCGTAATCCACGTATGAATGTAAATGCAGACTTCAACCAATGGCGAAATCCACAAACTTATCAAATGCCAAGTCCATTGAATCAACCACAAAGTCCACCAACAGTTGCTACACCACATACGCCGGCTGCACGTGGCAATGATATGTGGCCATGTACACAATACCAGGCTCCGCCTCCATATCCAAACAATTACCATCAAAATGGACAATACGCATCGAATGCAACGCAAATGCAATGCAACTACAACAATGGCTACGCTAGCTCAATGAACTATGGAATGATGAATTATGGTGCGTTTATCTTTTTTCTCTCGATTTTTTTTTATTAGATGTGAAATGCGAATGATTCTTTTTTTAAATTTATTGAAACTAATTGGATTTAATGTCTCTCGAAATTTTAGGTGGTGTGAATGCATGCACCCAAACGCCTGGCTACTACCACCGTACCGATCGAAGTGCCATGAATTGTTGTCAATTGCTTCGTGCTCTTCAAATCAGTGATGATACCAACAAGTTCGACAATGGAATTAAACAAAGTGGCATGCAAATGAATCGATCGTCAATGAACAATCAAACCGAATTGAATCAAATGACCGGTGAAATTCAGTGCAAAGATATTAGCCAATCACAAATGTCACCTGTTGTGCAACCACAAAGTGTTCAAACGCCACCACCTCGAATACAACAGCAGCAACAACGACAACAACAACAACAGCAGCAACGACAACAACAACAACAACAGCAACCACAACCACAGCAACAACAACAACAACAAATGACCAATTTGTATGCGACACAAATACCTATGCAAATGTCAAACAATACACAAACGAACAGTGCAATTCCGGCAACCAATTTGAATGTTCAACAAAGTCAACAAACTTCCATGCGACCCGACATTTATCAACGAACGCTCGAGTATGTGCAGAGTTGTCAGACGTGGACCGAACAACCCGAAACCGTTACGAGCACATCAAACATGCAAATCAATGACATGTCAACGTCATTAAGCTCACTTCTCGAAGAGAATCGTTACTATAATTCAGTTTTATGAACTTCCAATAAAAACAAACACACACAGACAATAATTAATTTACAAAATCGAATGAATTAGCTTTAGAAATGAATGAAACGCGATATATCGATATATTTAATAGAGTTATTAATTGCCATTTTGCCAATTGAATCGAATTAAGCATTAAGAAGTAATTTTATTTTCGAACGAATATTTATCTTTTAAGACATAACATAGTATAATTTTAACATAATAAGAGACGTTTAATTTTAGTTGAAAAACCGCAAACAGAATGTGCCTATATTTTTTCACTAGATCAAGAACGCAATTGAAATGGATGACCATAAATAAATGCCTTACTAAAAGAAACTACTTAATTTAAAATGTTTAAGCAACAAAGAGAAGAAAATCACGACAAACAATTTTGAACAGAATAATTAAGTTACTTACGCTTTGAAATTTACTCTTTTGTACAAAAAAAAGGTAGGGAAAATAATGTTTTGACCGTTTTTTCTCTCAGATTTTATATGATAGATAATGTGATCTAAATATGTGAAGATGCCAGAAAATTATTTGACTTGGTAAAACGATGTTTTTTTTTTTAAATAAAAGTTAGCAAAATTTAGTAATAAATCCTATTTTGATGTATAAGTGAAGTGCTCTAGAGATTTAAACAAAAAAAAACTATTTACACACAATTCAGTGAAGAAAATTAAAAAAATCCCAACGCAAGCGATGACAAATCAATGATTAACGCAATTTTATCACTTAAACTAATTCGTAAATATAAAATGTAAGTGATTGTAAACAATTTGTTCGACTTAATTTTCTGTTACTTCCTTTTTTTATTTCGAAAATGAGAGAAAGTGAAAAACAATAACAAACGATCTTCGCATTTTAATCTATACATAGTTTTTTTCTATCGACAGACTTTGTTTCCTACTTTCTAGTTTTTAAAAGAGACTTAATAGTTTGACTAGATGCAAATTCAGATTTTTTTCGCACGAAATTTTAGCATTTAATCATTCGACGGTAGCATAGTTTTTTTTTGCTCAAAAGATTCAGATTTTATTTTTTATTTTCGATTGTTTTTAAGACATAACTAAATGATGTAGTGTTAAATTTTTTTTTTAAGAAAAATGTGAATCCAGCGAGAGACACATTCGTATCTCAGATTATCGAAATAAATAACAATAGTCTTTTTACAATTAAACATTTCGAACTATGGACAATCGTGTAAGGCGCAACAAATTATCTCAATAAATGAATATTTTTCATCCTAATCATAAAGCGTTTTTTTACAGTAGAAATACCCAAAATTAATCTATTTTGTCTTTTCCGTCTCCCATTTACGTCTTCTATCTGTAATTGCAAAAAAACCCGAATGATTTGAGAATTCGTCGAATTGGTTGTGCAAGATTACAAAGTAAAAAAAACAATCTATCAAATTAAATGAAGAATTAGTCACCATAAACAACATAAGAGCATCCGTGTCAAAGATTAGATTAATTTCATCAATTGAATTTAATAAATTCCAATCGAAAAAATCACATGAGCGCTGAGTATTCCCCACGTTCTTAGAAACGTGACGTACGTTGACAGAATCCAATAAATGCAGATAGTGAAACATTTTTGGTGCATTTTTCTTACACAAACATTTATAAAATTGCTGAGAATTTCGAATGATTCAATTGAAAATATGACAATTTTAATTTTTTTATTATTTTATTTCAATTCAATTCCATGAAATGTAGTAAGATCAATTTTCTTTAAAAAAAAAAACTAATAATACATTTGTATTAAGTGAATTTGATTTTGAAATCGTATGATAGTTTGAAGGTTACAAACAATGATAAAATCAAATCACGACAATCTTTTTATTCCATATTGAGAATTTTTTTCTTCTAGATTATCGAATTGTTACTTTTGATGTCATTTTTTTCTTTGAACACTATTGTTTTTTCTAACGAAACTTATGTGTAAATGAAATTCAAAAAAAATACAAATAAAATCAGACTAAATATTTAGAGATAAGCATTGAAATTAACATAAATAATTGACTTCTTCGCATTTCCATGTGAATACAATGGGTTTAAGTGAGTCACTGTAGTTTATACATATGCTTTGTGGGTTATCCATTGTTTATTGAGACTGCGTTTGCAATTAATTGTTTAATTTATTTTCAATAATAGTGTAAAGTATATTAAAGAATATGCAATCTTTTTCAAAATAAATCAATCTGAACAATTATTGAACCTCAGATAAAATATTATTTCAAACCAAACAATACAGGGATCATTCACTCGATGTGAAGGCAGGAAGGAAACTATCACCACATCGAAATTCATAAATTACAAAAAATCACCATAATTCTCAATATTTTCTGTTCAAACTGTCTAAAAATTCAAACATTTAATTGTACTGAATTAAAAGCTTTCAGTCTTGAGATCATCTATTAATAATTTTAAGCAGTTTGAATTATTTGGAATTGTGGAATAAGATGAAATAGTAGTTTTCCCCTTGTGTTGGAGTCTAAAGTTTACTTTCGCTTTATTTTGTTTTTATAAATAATTAAAAAAATAAGCATACGTTTTGTATTACCTATATACACTTTTCGATACTTCACGAGTTTGATCACTCGTCTTCGTGCAATACACCAATAAAAGCGATTTTAAAAAAAGTAAGTCCATACTGAGAACTTCGAAACATAATTCAGACACCCTTGAATTTAACCGACACGGATTTCGATTGGAATACCCCAAAAATGTCCGACAAGAAGAAAGACGTTTTCGGTGTCAAGGAATTACAATATCAGTGTTGGGTTGACGCTGAATCAACATCCTGGGATGGGATGGACACTATTGTTATGGATTCATCAACGAATAAATGGATGGTAAAGGTAATACATTTCAAACAATATTTCTTAGGAATAAATACTAAAATCTATACCGTTTTGAAAAATCCACAGAAAGTCAAGACCGTTCGCTTGGAACAGCCTCTTTTCTTAGTACTCGAAAATGAGATGAAAGATAATAAGGAAAAGAAATGACTTTTTTTTTGTAGATGAAAAATTATAAGTAACTCAATAAAGCATTCAGTTCAGTTTTTTCACTCAATAAAATGTTTCTTCCATCTTTGATTATTTTAATTTGAAACTTCAATAAAACTATACGACTTTAAAGAGATAACAAAAAATTCATATCTTATTTCACCTTCAATAGTAAGTTAAAAAAAATACACATCTTAGTCATGAATCATATGATGATTTGACCTATCTTTGATGAATGCATTAGCGATTTTTAAAAGCTTTAGAACGATAGCATATGAACTCCTATTCGTTTAAGTATTTTACATATTTAATGTTTCATTTACGTGATGGGATTTTCCCATATTATTGGAATCGATCCACTATTACAAACCTTAAATCGCATAAAATCTTTTTTGAAACTCTTAGAACTTTGTATTTCAGTGACAATTTCAACACTCTTACAACTTGTATAAAATTATGGTGACAACATTAAAAAGCTGGGATTTCCATTGTATTAGAAATGTCAAAATTGAACATTTGAAAACCAACACAAGTACAATTTCCGTGGTTGGAATAATAAAGCAATTGCAAGTTCTAAATTTTGATGACAAATGATAATATCCACAATTAAGCATTGATAACATTTCTGTCGTTTATTTCTGCACTCTTCGTTAAATAAATATCGAATATCTGTTTCAATTGAAATATAATACGTGCTGAATAATCGAGTAAAATTGTTTATGTTTATTCACATTTGAAGCTCACATATATTTCTTGTCATCATTTCGCTGTGGATTGCGAAACCGATTGTATCAATTCAATTAGACTCAATTTCGATTTCAAGCTGTTTACTACTTTTATTTCATCATGGGTGACAATAAGGACTTTGATAAATTGCTCTCAGATGGTTCGTTCAAATTGTATTATTTTCCTTTTTTCGCATTCTACATACTTTTTTCATTTTAGGTCAAAAACTAAATCTATTGACCCCAACAGATTGCCAAGATCTTTCACGGATGTACGAAAACATAATGAACTCAAGTTTTGCACGGCTAATGGCAAATCCCCAAGCACTAGAAGCATTTTTCGAACATAAGACAAATCTGGATGATTCGATGAAAAAGGACGACAAAAATTAATCAAAACAGACCACAAACAGACTCATAAATGATGAAAAAATTCTACTTTGGATTATTTTTTAAAAGATAACCAAACGTTGTCATGTCAAAAATTTAAAGAAACTTTTAAATACAGTGTGGAAAAAATGTAAAACCCTTTATCAAATTACATCAATAAATTTGAACTTTATACAACGTGCTATTTTCATTGACCAAAAAACCCATGTTTTACATTTGTCATTTCTAGAGGAATACAAAAAATTCTAAAAGATAAGCATTAGCTTGATTGTATTTTTTTGAAGGTTACAGTTTCATTTTGACTCATGATTTGTTTGAAAATTTTCATAATTTCTATTTTAAAAAAGATTAGATTAAGATTTATGCGAAATTTTGTCATATTTAAATGAATTTTATAAATTAGTCACGAAGACTGGAATTGGTGTTAAGAGATTTACAAAGTTACCGAAAATGTAAAAATTATTTTAATTTTAAAATGTTTGATTGATGATTTGATTATTTGATGAAAATGAATTGAATTTTTTTGTCTGCATACTTTGTTAAATAGATATCGAACATTCGTTTAAATTAAAAACGCGGAATAGTCAAGTAAAAATGTTTATGTTGAGGTTTATTATTTTCGATATTTTTATCTCTAATTTTGTTGTGGTTTTACAACAAACCAAGTTCGTCGTTTCAATTAAGATTAAGTTTGATTTCAAGAAACATTCAGTAAATGTCAGTACTTTTATTTCACCATGCGTGCCCCCGATTTTTGGAAATTGATATCAGATTGCTAGGCACTGTCTGGATAAATTGAGATCAGATTTTGAATAACCGTAAGATCATCAGTAGAATGGATAATCATATTTTTGGTGGATGTCAATTTTAAAAAGATCATCCATGGTACTTAAAAGTATATATGTACTGTATAATATCCGCTTGAGATTTGTCCACGACATAAATTTATTTGACGGAGATATGTCAGTTTGACATATTGAAATCTGTCCGCTTTCGTAATTGTAGTTTATCCTCAAGTTTTTTTGCGCGAAATCAACTGGGCTACGAGAGTTTCATATAAAAACAAAAAACTGATAGTCTTAAATAAAAAGAAATCTTCGTTTTGTAGATTTTAATATGAGACGCTCGTTGGCCGCACACTCAATCAATTTTTCTCAATCCTTATAAGATATAGTTTCAAGTCTCATTCGAAATATGAACATTCCGAGTTTTCTTTAACCAAAAGATCATTCCCCTTTGGTTTTGATACGATTTTTCGGTTTAAAATATCGGCAAATGTTTATGTGAGTAGTTGTATTTTGGATTGCCATATCGAATCCTGAGATCAATTCTAGGGGGTAGACACCACACCTTGTAGATATTTTAAATCTTTATGAATCTTTAAAATTCCTAGAGATTATCCATCACATTCTCGATAAATTTGGATCTTTGTGAATCTTTCAGTGTCAGAAAAAATCAAAATGGCGGAATCTGATAGTTGAAAACAACAAATTGTCAAAATATAGTCGAATCAATGTAACGATTTAGATCTTTTCAAATCTTTGTAGATCTTTGAAACTCTGAGTGTCTATCCTCTAGGATCAATTACAAGCTTAAAAATTCTATTCATATATAAAAATGTTGTTCTCTTCCAACAAAAGAATCATGAGTCATATCATGCAAATTATTCACGATTTGTAATAGTGAAAACAATCGAATTTATTATTGTCCAAACTAAGCGGAAAATAACAAACGATGCAATAAAATACTTAAATCGTCATTTTATTGTTTGTCAAAATAATAAACTTGTTTACCGCATGCATGTATTGAAGTAGAAATGTTTATTGCGCAAAGGTTACGAAAACAATTGACAAAATCTACGACTTAAATTGGTAGAAACAACGCACCTTTTACGATAAAATGAAAGTTCTTTATTCTTAGAAACATTTAGATTCGATTCCAAAACGACTCATACTTGGATGACGCTAGCTATCTTTTTTTAAATGTCATAAAAACTCTCCATAACATTTTATCACATTGCTAAAATAATAATTAATACCGTATGTTGTAGAACTTACTCCTATAAGAACAATCATTTACATTTGGAATTCACTTTTGGAACACATTTCGGAAGTGTTGATACTATTTTTGGGTGATAAAGAAATATACATACGAAGATTTGCTACACAAAAAAAAACTACATATGCACACAGAAAAATATACAATGGAAATTAGATAATTTGTGATGAAAAAAAATTGGAGCTAGTTGACAATCCGTACAAATTTGCATTTGTCCATATAACTTTCAAACAAAATAATTGATTTTGTATATTCTCTGTGCCGATCTTTACAGCTCATAGGAAAATTTGTATTTAGTTACCAATCTAAATCAATTATTTGAATTTTGACCAATAAATTTCCACCAAATAACAGATGTGGTTTTTTGTATGTAACAAAGCTATCAATAATTTACCGAAACTTCACAACTGAAGCTCACTTGACGATTGTGTTTATCAACGTTATACTTGGAAAGACATATTGTAAAAAAAAACATGTACAAATAAAAAGAAGAAATAAACATAAGCAAGTATGACAAGAATACATCAATATAGAATGATTTCATCCGCGAAATCTTTTGTGGGTTTTTCCACATTCTTAAAACATCTCCGTTCTGAACGAAATGATAACGACATTTATAAAAATAAGTAAAAAAGGGAATCATTCTTCATTTGATGTGGAGTAAGTCAACGAAGTTGTTCGACATTTGTATTCAGAGACATATAATTTGAAATATTAAAAGTATGTATTTTTGGTGTTATGATTGTGGAAAAATATTAATTTCTTTTATTTTTGTACAGTGTTTCGTCTAACTATTTTATTTGCGATTTATTTGATGGCATATACATGTCAAATTCAAGCAAATTCTCTAACCGAAGGCCTTTCTACTTTTGCATCCGATTTATATAAGGTGATTGTGCATAATATAAATAATAAGTGACTAGTTTTATTCTGCAATGAAGAACATCTAATGAGATTTTATGATTTCCTGTGGTAGTATTCTAGCCAAATAATTCCGATCGGAGTTATTGTTTTGTGTGTGTGTGAAACAATCAGACAATATATTTGGATTTTGTCATCTGGATATTTCAGGTCATCTGGATAAAGTTAGCCGATGATATGGAGTGAAAACAATAGAAGTGATTGTTGGATTGTATAGGTTTTAAATCAGAGATTATACTGTGGATAGAAATATATAAGTGCATATTTGCCATCAAATAGAAATATGCGATATTCGCAATATATCTCGTGAGATGTATGTGCGTCTGTTACTGGCACAAAGAAACACAAGTACATGTATGTGTGTGTACGCTTCGTGCCTTGTGCCCTATTCTTTATTCCCCTTTTTCATCTGCCTGCTATGTAGAAAGAGGGGAATAACGAATAAGATACTAGGCATGAAGCATACACACACATACGTAATTGACACACGTTTTCGTAATTGACACACTTATGCATCTTACAAGCGGCGAGATATATTGCGAATATCGCATATTTTTATTTGATGGGAAATATGCACTATATTTCTATCCACAGTATAATATCTGGTTTAAAAATACTACCATAACTATTAACAATCACTTTTATTGTTTTCATTTCGTATCATCGCCTAACGCTATCCAGATGAGCTGAAATATCCAGATGACAAAATCCAATAAATATATTGTCTGGAAACAATGGATCCGATCGGAATTAAGTGTTAGAATACCGACACCGGCACACTGCATTTCCGATATAACGTTATATTCTATTTATTTTTCTTTGTATTTAGCAATGTGCGAAATCACGACCGAAGACAAATATATTAATATCACCATTTTGCGTTTCAAATTCACTTGCACTTTTGGCTCAGGGTAGTAAAGGACAGACATATGATGTTTTGAAAAATGGACTTCATTTCATGGCTGATAGAGCATTGATGCCAGATCAATTTAATGAAACCTATACTTCACTGTCGAGAGGTGCTGGAAGTTCAACATTAACGGTTGCCAATAAAGTGTATCTACAAAATGGTTATCAAATAAATAGAGATTTTCAAAATGTGGCCCGTAAAAAGTTCCATGCCGATATTGAAAATATCAATTTTAGCAACAGCGTGGATGCAGCAACAAAAATGAATACATATGTGGAGGATAAAACAAACCATATGATTAAAGATTTCATCAAACCAGAAATGGTGGGTGCCGATTCACGTTTGGTCTTAATAAATGCCCTCTATTTCAAAGGCAATTGGGAGCATCAATTCGATGAGAAAAAAACCAGCAAGGGCACATTTTATTTAAGCAAAACCCAAACGGTGGAAAAAGATTTTATGTATATCGGAACCGATTTTAATTATGCATATGTCGAAGAATTGAATGCGACTGCAGTTCAGTTGAAATACGAAAATTCACATCTATCATTTGTTATTGTTTTGCCAATTGAATATGAATTGGATGGTTTAGAATCGAAATTAGAAAACTATAACTTGGCCAAAATAACCGAACAAATGGAACCGATAGATGTCGATTTATATGTTCCAAAATTCAAACTGCAATACGAAGTCAGTTTAAACAAAATGTTGACCAATGTACGTAATCAAAAATTATTTCTGTTAACGCTTCTCTTTTCATCAATTATTAATTCCCATAATAGATGGGAATGGGTTCGATATTTTCAGAGTATGCTGAATTGAGTGGACTTATAGATACAAAACAACAATTGAAAGTCAGTGATGTTATTCATAAGACTGTAATCGACTTCAATGAAAAGGGCTCCGAGGCAGCCGCTGCTTCCGGTAATGTTTCATTCTGTTTTGATTAATTCTTATTTCATTGCATAATTTACATTATTGGCTTTTTTTACAGGTGTACAAATTACAGCTTATAGTTACCCAGCAAACTTCACCGCCGACCATCCATTTTTCTTCTATATTTGGGATGACAGTAACAAAATGCCAATTTTCACAGGGCGCTTTTTAAATTTTGAAAATGGTCCTGTACTCCAAACCACTCCAAAACCAATACCAACACCATCAACAACACCATCACCACCAGGTCCAAGAGAATGCAAATGGTGGTCATTATTTTGTTTCAGACTTTGTGGGTGCACTAATTGATGCAAAACCAACAGGGGCATGCAATTTATAAATTTATCTAAATTTCAAAAAATATTTTCCTAGTCTTTCGAATGAATAAAAAATAAACGTTTTTTATAAACATTTTATTGTTTTTTATAAAAAAACATCATTTAAAAACCGTTTGAGTTACGAATAATTTTTGTTTCTGATCAATAAAATATACAATAATTCATTATACATAATAACGGGATAGAATTGGTCCATAAATGTTCCATGCAAATTTTCCTTCCAATAGCACAAAAAATGATTTCGTTTGCCTACGCCAAATGAAGGAACGATTTTTTTTCTGAAATGTCAGAGAGATCACTTCAAAAATATATGAATTTAAAGGATCGCATGCTAATAGTATTCTATTATTCACTTTTTATTACTCAGTTCGCATATGTACAGTGTACGCGCAACTTGCGCTCTGTGTACAAAGCCGATTCATCTGTGTGAACGCTCAAAGGATCGAGTACTATCTGTCAAAATATTTCCCCCTATGCCAAGCGAAATTAATTCGATATACGGCGCTGATGTAAATGTCACTCTGTCATTTCACAATAATACTTTTTTGGCTTAACAATATATAAGCTCTTCATTTAAAATGCATACACATTCATAATTATTGAATCGTTGAAAAAAAAACATGTCATAAAATATTTTTCTAACATTTTTCATTAAAAACTTTATTAATTTTTTTTTTTATAAAAAAATTAATTTGTTTATAAATTACAATAATTTCAACAAAACATGTTTCATCGATTAAATAAGAATCTAATGTAAATAGTAATGACAATGCGACACCTACCGTAAAAATGCAAAAAGAAACTTAGTTGGTATCCATTGTAGCATTTTTGTCCACCATGACAGCATCTTCGTTTTACTTGACCAATCACAGAGAAGCAAAACGAAGATGCTGTTATGGCGGACCAAAATGTTACAATTCCAAATAAGTTTCCTTTTCTATTTTAACGGTGGGTGTCGCATTGGTATTACTTTTTACATTAGATTCTTGTTCAATCTATGAAAAAAAATGAAATTATTGTTATTTTTAAACAAATAAATTTAAAATATAGAGAATTTTTATGATAAACGTAAGAAGAATATTTTATGATATGTTTCTTTTTTTTACTCGACCGTTCAAAAATTATGCATGTTGAATGAAGAGCTTATATATTGTCAAGCCAAAAAATGTATCATTGTGGAATGACATAGAGTGACATTTAAATCAGCGCCGTATATCAGATTTATTTCGCTTAGCAAAGGGGGAAACGTCGTACTCGCTCCTTTGTGTTTTCAAAGTTTTTTTTTTTTTCAAACATCAAACACTCGTCGGTCGTTTAAAAAGCAAAGGACTTTTGTGTCAACATTCACAATGTTTTTTTCCTGTTCGTTAGTAATCGTTAAAAATCAAAATTGGCTGTGTATAGTGCTGTGTGGTGTCCGTATCTGCAGCCATGTATATATGTATAAACAGAGTCGTGCATTTGTGATGCAGTGAGTGCACCGAATTAATGCTTAATTTCAAGTCAATAAAAATTAACAAAACTTGATTTCAGGTCGTAATATTATTCAGCTTGATAAATTTAAGGGGCGGCATTTTCTGATTTTGATTTAAAATTACTTACAGCCCCTAATTAGGGGTTACAAATAGTTTTTGAATTCCACTCGTTTATACATCGATACATCTCGATTACTTCCAAGTACATTGGCAGTGTATCTCAGATGATTATCTATGCTGATTATATACACTGTTTCTGATCAATAAAATGTACAGTGATTCCTTTATGCGGTAAAACCCAGACATTATATTGAGCTAAGTATTCATTTGAAATGACACGAAACGGCATGCAGTGGAAGCAACTTGAGTTTATGTAACACAATCGATGCGAGCACCCTAGTTCCAAAGGGCACATCAATGCAATTTAACAATTCAAACCGAAACTAAAGAGCGCGCTAAATTTAAAATTTAGTGTTATTTCCACTGCATGCGAAATGGCGTTCTACTTGAGACATTTTGATTTTGTGACGACACAAATTAGGCTCTTCACCTAGAAAAAAAAAGAAATCTGTGAATTTGGCGGTATTCATTCAAATTTGGTGCCCTGCTATTCACGTCAATGCATGGCATACACTTAAATTAGTTTTTTTTGTTCATATGTCCGGAGTGTGTCACATGGCGGCAACTCGGTGACCGTAGGGACAAAAGCCAAAAAGTGACTTTTGGAGGCCGGCCACGGCCAACATGGCGGCCATATCGAAAAGTGCCGGAACAAAAAAGTTTTTTATGTAATACTTTAATCACAGAAAGTTTCAAAAAGATCAGAATCGAGTATGCAAAATTGGTCACAGACAGACAGACATTTTGATTTTTCATTGCGATTCATATGAAATTTTTAAAATGCTGAAACATAATATCGATGTTTCAGAGGTCAATGAACTCATTTAGTGCCACCTATGGCCGTAGAACTGAATTTTGATCCTTTTCTTGCAAGGGCCATATTTTGAAGACAAGTGGACCGATTTTCAAACTTTTACATTTTTTCTTGATCTATGGACCAAGGGCTTTCCAACCATACATCAACCGAGGCCAAAGGTCTGAATTTCGTATATTTCGTGTATATAAAGCGAGTTCGACTTTTCAACACACTAATATGGTTTCGTCACTCGCGCGAACTGCCGTCCGCTGTGATCATTATATGACATTGATGACCCAAGCCGTAAAACACCTCTTTGGAAGTTCCCACTGTGACGCAATACTTGATCTTGAGTCACAAAATATTAATATTGTGTCATCTACTTGACGAACCAAAAAATGTGATTAGAACGAAATTTTTTGTGAATTTTTTGTGTCCAGACTGAGTTTGTTTAAAGCTTATTGAGCGTATAATAAACCGCTCAATCGCTATAACGGCCAGTCATTTTATAGATCGCGTGCAATCAAGAGAAAAAGACAAATCAACATAAGAGCAGTTTCGGCAAAATTAAACTTGTACTCGGCAGTAAGTGTATACAAAGAAATTAGTTTAGTTGAAATAAACATATATTTTATTTGATTAAATAAACAATTGGAATTTGTTTTATTTCAATTGGATTCATTTACAAGCATTCCTTTCATGGGTTAAAAAAAGTCCAACTTTTTTCTTGGGGAGTGCGTACATATATCTAGCAAGTAAACAAATGAAAAAATTTCGAATCGTGATTACTGTCATAATGTTTAATTTTCCAATGTATTATTCTAACGATTGATGACTCGTTTAGTTCCGTTTTATTTGGACGAAACAAATATATTACTTTATTAGAACTGATTTTGATTCCATTTATTCATGAATACGTCCGACACATTTGTTTAATGCCATTTACAAGCGCGAATGAACAAGAGAGATAAGAGTCGGAAATTCCTGAACTTGAGACGTACATGTTTATAACAATTTGCATTGGAAATTCCAAGTTATTCTATTGATAAAAAAAAAACGAGCAAAGATCACATAAATACAACTAGTTGTCCCACAGCTGCGGTATAAGTAAGACCGAATAAGTTTTATCGTAAAACCGAAATATATCGTTAATATAATCAATGTATATTGTGAATTTTGTTCAGCGAAAAATGAATCGAGTACAAATGTGATTTTGGTTTTATTTTTGTGATTAATGAATAGCTGGTTGATAACATTTTAACATTTTAACCTTTTTTGCATTCATATATTAAAGTCGAGTATTTTAATCACAGTTTAGTAATTGTTCTCGAAACATTTGAACAATATGAAACATTCATCCGAAAAAATATTCAGTAAAAGTAATATTTTAATTTAATAATAATAAATATAAACGATACAACATTTATTAAAAAAAAATAACTTAAATGGATTTTTCTAAACCTTTTTCTTTGTTCTTTTTTTATTATTATCATTTTGTTATACCATAGTGTTGCGTATATTAATAGCGTTGGCAATTTGCACGGCATCCATAGCCGCCAAGGCGAACATGTCAAATAATAAACTTATAGAGAAAGGAGTTCCGAAGTTTTCCATGGATTTATATCAGGTGATTTGAATATTTTTATAGTGACAATTTGAAGTTGAACATTTAATTCATTGGTCATTACTGGGAATTATTGAAAATATAAATGAAGAAATGTTCAAGATGCAACCGATTAATTGAATTAACTGCGCATCAGTGTGAACAAAAATAAGTATTTCAAACCATATATTTCTTTGATACATAGCAATGTGCCCGATCAACAAATGGTAATATAATAATTTCGCCATTTTCGGTGGTAAAAGCGCTCGAGCTGCTGTCTAAAGGCGCCAGAGGAAATACATATGAAGAAATTAAAACAGCACTTTATTTGAATGACCTTGGAAAGCTTCAAGTAAATGTTCAGAAATATATTCGATTGATTCGAAAGGGAGCGCGTGAAGCAACATTATCAATAGCCAATCGAATTTTCGTCCAAAATGGTTATACCATAAATAAAAAATTCCTCAATTCGCAAAAAAACAATCCGAAGTTGGCACCTGTTCGGTCTGTTGAATTTTCAAATAATGTAAAAGCAGCTGAAACGATAAATCAGTTTGTCGAATCGAAAACAAATCATAAGATCAAAGACTTCATAAATCCGAGTATGTTAAATTCACTAACTCGCGTCGTTTTGGTGAATGCAATCTATTTCAGAGGCAATTGGGAACATCAATTCGATAAACAACGTACGCATCGCAATCGTTTTTATCTAAATCAAAGACAATCAGCTCCAGCCGATTTTATGTTTATTAGTGAACAATTTAATAATGGATATATTGAGCATTTGGACGCATCAACACTTCAAATGAATTATGCAAATTCCAGTTTATCCATGGTGTTTGTGTTACCAACCGATATTGGTGGACTACCAGCACTCGAATCCAAATTGGCCAATTACGATGTAGCAAAAATTGTCGATCAAATGGAAATGACAAATATCGAAGTGACGATTCCAAAGTTCAAAATTGAATACGAAAGCAGTTTGAAAAGTGCCTTACAATCTGTACGTACTTATATCAATTTAAAATTCAATCAATCTTATTTTGAATGCGTCTTATTATCTTTAATTAACACCTTGACTTTTTTTTCTTCATTTGAACATATTCTATTTCGATGTTTGTTTGTAGATGGGCTTAACAGACATGTTCACACAGACAGCCGACTTTAGCGATCTTCTAGAAGAGAAAAATGTTCAATTATATGTGTCGGATGTTTTTCATAAAGCATACATTGAAGTTGATGAGTCTGGCACCGAAGCAGCCGCCGCCACTGGTATGATTTCTAATTGTGTTCTTATTTTCTGTAGATAAAGCTATCATGCTTTAAAATAGATTTCAGTTTTTTTGTTTTATTCATTCGGTCAAAACTTGTTGCATTTATTTAATCTCATTCAATTTACTCTTTAGGCATACATTTGATGGATCGAACATTGCCACCATCATTCACTGCAGATCATCCATTTTTCTTCTTTATATATGATAGCAAGAGCAGAACCACTGTTTTCAGTGGACGTGTAACAACATTCAATTGAAATGAGATTACACAATCAATACAAAAATACTTACTCTACAATAACACATTCAACTCAACAGCTTTTAAGTAACTTTATTTGTAATACATTCGTTTGATGTAATATTCATAAATTGTGACATATTTACCTAGATATTTCCATGGAATCAATCGATTTTATATTTCTGCTCGTTTAGAGCTTGATTATTTCAATATTATGGATTATAGATTTTACCAATTTGATATTTTTGAAAAGTTATCAACAACTTTACGTTACAAAATAACTGGAGCGTGGCTGTTTTTGTCTATTATTATTTTGGCGTTTCTTTAAGTTTTTCAAATTAATTTATCCCTTTGTTCGTAAATACTAAACATACAAAGATTACATTGACATAGTAAGAAGAAATAACCATGCAATATCTGGCGATAGATATATCCGCATACGGCGACACAGCACTAGCGCTCCAGGCTGCTAGATATACACAAAAATGAATCCTTGCCTTTATACCAAGGATATGAAATGCCAAGGACAAGAAAAAAGGTATTTCATTTTAGTATTTAAGACAAATTGATACCAAAGTTACACCATTAACTATTTTGCTACATATAAATAATTCAATAAAAATAATAAGTTTTACCTCTGATACACAAATACGCCACATTCATTGGTGATTTTTATTTTTCTCAATACATTGCACAGTTGAACAGCTCGTCTCTATCAACTAATCTTCATTGATTAATTCCAACAAAAAAATATAGTCGATATTTTTTTTGTGATTTCTCACAACAACATCACGTCACACAATCGTCATCGTCATTTAAGAATAACAACCAATAAAATAATATATACATACAAACAATACAGCGATTATACGAAAATGCAGTGCATTAAATAACCGAATGTTCTCAGGAAAATTGGATCTTCTTAACTGAAATGCGCAACATTTAATCCAAAATCTGTACGTTGCATTTTTTTAGATAAAGATATTTTTCAGCTGAGATTTGCTGATTTTCGCAATAACATCCGCCTCACAAAAAAGAATTATAAGTACAACTGCTCTAAGTAATCATCTTTCGAATATGGCAACTACGCAAAAACAACTTGATTTACACGTGATTGTCCGAGAATGAAAGTGAGACTTCTTCAGAGATTTTATTGATATTTTAAAAAAACTGATTTTTGTAATTCTTTGGATTTTCTTCAAGTTTTTAATTTATTTTGTGTTCTGTGTTTTCAATAAATATAGGTTTTTAAATAAACTTAATAAACATTTTATACAAACCACTTTTTATTTTATTAAAAAGTGTAGATTTTGAATACACTGGTTTAAACATTAAAAAAAAGTATTTTTATAACCATGTGAAATCTATTGGAAATGTAAAAAAGATCTAAATTCCACATCGATAGAATGTGTGCAAGATTAGACTGTAAATTGCTGTAAGTCGAATCGCATTCAGGAATCTTAGCTCCTTAGAGCAGTGAGTTCATTTTTTAAACAATTTGCAAATAATTACGCTTGCATTTGTCATGTGATCGGAATCACCATGAATCGTGTCATAGAATCAGCCTTTTTTATGATCAAAATATGACTTTGTATGTATTTTATATCAATTGGAAATCTACGATCTCTTTATAAAACATCTCTAATTAATATACATTTTTATGAGTGCAATTTTCAATAATTATATAAAATATTCATTCTGAATTGAAGTATAGGTGCAAGTATACAATTTTATGATACTTTTGTCGCATTCAATTCAAATTATATACTAATTGTATGATACAATTTATAACTGCTATTTTATACTGATATTAAATTCGTCATTTCAAATTCAAGTGTTACAATGTGTGTGTGAATAGTTGGGAATGTTTCACGCTGTTTCCATTTTCGACATCTCCATTGCTTTCACATCAGTTGAATATGCCAAAATGACTAGGCAAAAATGCAAAATTATAAACATAATATGTATTAATATTCATCTGTCCAGTGTGATAAATCACATGTTCAAAATTCCCGTTCTTTAACATACAGTAGCACTTAATCAGAATTAATTAAAGGAAAGTGTGATTAATATATTCGGTAAAAAAAACTAAACAAAATATTTCAATTGAAATCTATTGCTCTGGCTGACTATGTCATATTCATTGAAATTGCGGGTCAAAACTATTAAAACCGCAGACACAATAGACACTCGGGAGTACATTGACCTCATTATTTACCGCTATTATTTGATTCTGCATAAGGTGTTCTTTGTGTTTTGATAAACATATGTCAAGCACGTTATATTGAAAATCGCCACTATCGATACCGACTTAACCACGAGAATGAAAAAAAGTCCAATAAAGAAGAAGTCGATAATGCTAAAAATGAATAAACAAAATATCTCGAAGCCATCGATGTATTCAGCCGTGTACTTGGACATATCAAAAACCAGTTTGACCTCAAAGCTATGCTCTGTAATATCAGTCGTGCTCATCTAGAAAAACTGTATGCATATATAAACTTCTATAAAGGCGTATGACGTCTCAAAAACTACATCATTTCTATTTGTGTGTTCCGTAGTGTCATTGCGTCAGAGCAAAGTTTTAATTGTAATTCATCGTTGCAAATGTCTACAAGAGACAGACAGCACAAAGTAATACCATTTTTTTTCCAATTTGGTTGACATTGGTCTAATCGTCTATTTATTTTTAGTGTTGAGAATATTAAATGTATTTGCAATTGCTGCCATTGCAATTGTATCATCTGAAGATGAAACGAATGATTTAACGAGAGGAATTTATAGTTTTGCATCCGATTTGTATCAGGTAAAACAGATCTGGAGTGCTTTCATTTTAAATATGGAATTTCATAAGATTCGCTTATTTTCGAAAAACCAATCAATATTTGTTTAAGGAATCAGCCAAATCGACCAAAGGGAATGTAATAATTTCACCATTTTCAGTTGCAAATGCGCTTGTATTGTTATCACAAGCTACCAATCGAAGTACGTTTGAGCAGCTAAAAACTGGTTTGCATTTAAGCGGTGACAAAAAATCAATTGCAAATCAATTTCAAGAACATTATGGTCTACTTGAAAGAGGCGCTGGCAACACCACTTTTTCGATTGCAAATAACATCTATGTACAAAAAGGCTATTCGATAAAACAAAATTTACAAAAAGTGGCCATTGATAAGTTTCAATCAGGCATTGAATCGGTAAATTTTGAGGATAACGAAGAAACTGCACGTATAATCAATAAATTTGTCGAAGAAAAAACAAATCGGCGAATCATCGATTTAATCAAATCCGATACGCTTGGATCGGATTCGCGTGTTGTTCTCATAAATGCGATTTATTTCAAAGGCGAATGGGAACAAAAATTCTACGAATATTCAACAAATAAATCCGATTTTTATATCAACGAAACGGAAAAAGTGCCAGTCGATTTAATGAACATCGATGAATGGTTTAATTATGTTGATTTATCTGATTTGAATGCAAGTGCACTTGAGATGAAATATGCCGACTCGAACTTTTCAATGGTTGTCATTTTGCCAAACTCTCGTACCGGCCTATCAACACTGGAATCACAAATGAAAGATTGCGATTTAAAAACCATTGTCGCTAATATGAGCATGCAAAAGGTCGAAATATGGATTCCGAAATTCGAACATGAATTTGAACTGAAGTTAAATAATGTACTAATGAATGTACGTATTATATTTGATAATTTTCTCTTAGACATTAATCGCATCATGAAGTGAGTGTGATTTATTTTTGTTGTTTGTCAGATGGGTATAGAAGAGATTTTTGAATCCAATGCCGATTTGAGTGATCTATTGGAAAATGGCGAATCATTGCAAGTATCTGATGTAGTGCATAAAGCTTTTATCAAAGTATCCGAAGGTGGATCGGAAGCAGCAGCTGCTACAGGTAGCAAACATCTTGAGTAGTCGACTTTCTATTATAATAATTCACCATATCTAAGCGATTTTTAACATAACCGATTTCTTTTTGTATTCGAAGGAGTTCAAATTGTACTATTTAGTGGTGAGTTTGGTCAATCCAAATTTCGTGCCGATCATCCGTTCATTTATTATATCTGGGACAGCAACAGCGAAACTATTCTTTTCAGCGGCAGAGTTATAAACATAAACTGAAATTATTCTATTAATCTCTTAATTTACAATTTACATTTACGATCATAAATCATCCATTTCTTACTTAAAACCATTTGGTTTCGAATAAAATACCATTCATATCACGAAATCAATTGGAACCTTTTATTATTTGTTTTTGCATTAGTCATAACAAAAATCGACATTCTTATCGAATATTTCATTTTTTTTTTTTTTTTTATATTTTGAACATAGGTAGTAAATTTTGGCGAGTATTGCATCACATGTTTGGTAAATATATAAAAAAATGTGCGAAAATTTATTGAGATTGAATTTCTTATTACAGAGTTCTTGTCAAAATTGTCACATCTATCCAAAAACATATGACTTTTTAAACATAATCAAATACTCAATGTCGATTCTCGTGCGATGAATACCAAAAACTCAAACTTCTAATCTATGCTGCTTTCTAATTTCATAGGTAAAATGCAACCAAATGCAATGAAATCAATTTTTGTAGAATAAAAAACGCATTGAATTTCATTGGATTAAACAGATTTATTTCTAATGCGGCTCTTGTAATTTTGGAGGGATTCTAATTTTCAAGACTCTAATTCATGAGAGCTTTGATAACATATTTACCAAAATCACATGACTGAGAAGCACAGCAATTTTTATATGTGTAGATGTGGTTGATACGGGTTGATATATAGCAATTCAAGGGTTATATTTAGGACAAAAAAATATTAAGATAATGAGAGAGAACAGCAGGAAAAACCCAGGGTCAATTCAACAGAAATTGATACGTTAATCATCAAGTAAATATTTTTGAGCGACCAGCAAAAACAAATGACATCGCGATACATACGTGCATGAAATTAAACTGAGTAAATGTCCTCTTAATATGGTCACAATTTCAAAAACATAACAAAAGTTAGAAATGACCCGATTGGATGATTTGCAATTAAATATCGTGCGCTAATCCTACATATTCTGTCACAGATGCCAATTAAATCGATTTTGATTTGCATCGAATCGATTGATTTGTAACTGGCTTTTGTACGATATCTCAGTTAAATTTACAGTCAGATTCATTTTATGATATGCAAATCGAGTACGAAATGCTTATACTGAGAATATGATAATTTATTCAAATGTGGGAACTACAGCTTTGCTTTTATGTCACGTATTGCACATCAATTATCAATAAACGTGCCTTGTTTTATAAGAATGTGTATGTTTTGTGATTACACAGCAATGTCAATCAAAAAGTTTGAGTTTATTATTTCGAAAATCTGCCAACCGAACTGTAAAACAATTGAAACATTTATTCTATTGCCATCATTCTAAGGGATATATAATTTTTTTCGTTGATTCACACATTATTATGCAGACTTTTTTTTAATTCTTATGAAACTTTGAACTTTGACAAACTAATCGCTTATCAGTAAATGTTCATAAAATTCCACTTTGTCACGAATTATGTGTTTTATATTTTGTTGTTATTCAATTTCGACACGTTTGAGTGTGAGCCAAACATCTATAAAAGTGGAAGACATTCGAAAAAAATGTTTAATTTGAATAAAAGCAAACAACTTGACACAAGTATGATCTCTTTCATTCAATTTCCAACTTAATATAATTATTAAAAATACATTTTCTCCTTTAGTGATACGTTCGATAATTGTATTTGCAATTTTTTCCTTGGTGACTTCGTCCAGCGTCCCATCAACTGAATTTGTCAGTGGAATTTCGCGTTTTTCATCGAATTTATATGAGGTGATTTTAAATAAAATGTTTGTTTTTTCGTTATCGAATTTAACAAATTTGTTGTTTATTTGATTGTAGCAATGTGCCAGAGCCGCATCAAATGAAAATGTAATAATTTCACAATTCTCTATTGCAACCGCCGTAGCATTTTTATCACAAGCAGCCAACGGACGTTCATTTGAACAAATAAAAAATTGTCTCCATTTTGATGGTAACAAAACCGAAGTTGCAAACCAATATTTTAGTCTTTCTGAGGCGCTTGAAAGTGATTCCGGTGATGCGATATTTTCCATTGCCAATCAAATCTATGTGCAACAAGATTATAAAATAAATCCAGATTTTCAAAAGGTTGCCATTGAGAAATTCAAATCGGGCGTTGAATTGGTGAATTTTGCAAATAATGATGTCACCGCTAAAACCATCAATCATTTTGTTGAGGAGAAGACAAATGGAAAAATTAAAGATCTCTTCGATGTAGACTCACTTTCACCGGACTCTCGTGTTGTTTTGGTAAATGCCATTCATTTCAAGGGCGATTGGGAAACAAAATTCTATGAAACCGAAACTACCAAAAACGATTTTCATATGAGTGACACCAAAACAGTATCAGTCGACTTTATGAACATTGATTCACACTTTAATTATGCTGATTTACCGGAGTTCGATGCTAAAGCGCTTCAATTGCAGTATGAAAAATCAAACTTCTCCATGGTATTCCTCTTACCAAACGCTCGTACAGGATTACAAGCAATGCAATCAAAAGTAAAGGATAATTTGGTGTCTATAGTGAATAAAATGCAACAGAGAAAAGTCGAAGTTTCAATTCCAAAGTTTACCGTTGAATTTCAATTGAATTTGAATGATGCTCTCCAGAATGTATGTTTTATGTTAAATTATCTATTTGCTACTGCATTTGAAATAATCATTGATACATTTTTAGCTGGGTATGACTGATATATTTGCCGATAATGCTGATTTGAGCGGTCTTTTGGAGTCAAAGGATCCGGTGAAAGTGTCCGATGTAGTTCACAAAGCTTTCATCACAGTTTCCGAAGGAGGAACAGAAGCAGCTGCCGCCACTGGTAATAATCTTAATTGATTATCACTTTTTTTCTAGTTTTTCATGTGTTTTCTTTTTCATTTTAAAGGCGTTAGAATAGTTCCATTGAGTGCTGTATTAAATATGCCAACGTTCCGTGCAGATCATCCATTTATGTACTATATTGTGGATAATCTTACCAAAACTGTCATCTTTGGCGGACAAATCAAAAAATTCTAACCAATTTGTACGAAAAATTGAACGGTTTGATATCTAAATGTTTATGTAAACAACTTTTTCAAGGCGTTGAAAATAAATTAACTTCCAAAATCAACGAACTCAAAGTTATTATTTATTTGAATTATTATTTAATTAAATAACTTCATATATTTTTTTTAATTTAAAAACGTTGCACTACTAATTGCATACTTGTAGAGACGAAACTTGTTATAAACAAACTTATGACAACTAATTATTCATAAGATGTTACATTTTTTTCGAAGACTTTAAGATTGTGAGTTTCAAACTCGACATTATAGGAAGGTGATATTTGAACATCCACAATCACTTAAAAAATGTCGTAAATTATCTCATAAATGATGATACTTGACCGGGCTATTTGTTGAAACGTCAAGACAAGAGACGTCAAAACCTGTTATATTCTTTTGATTTTTTCAGTAGTTGCCATTAAGATTTAAGATTGTCGATAAAAGAAAACGAATCGTCACATCGATTTTATTTGTGTTACATTAAAAACGTATCTTTTGCTTACGGATTGAATTTTTTTTGGCTCACAAGTAATTTGATTATTTTCTACAAGTGCTTGATAGAAAAGCAGCATTGAAATTTCCGATAAAAGTGCAGTGAATTTATTTTTAATGACGGTTTTTTGTCTTTGCTTTTGTTTCAGTGCAATGTTCGGTGTTCGTATTTGCGCTATACTCCTATCTGACCATAGTAGTTCCAGCAAATGAAATAACGAATGGTATTTCGAATTTTGCATGGGATTTTTATAGGGTAATTAAGACGAAAATTAAAAAAAGTGCTTGAGAAAAACATTTATTTGGTTTCAACAGTTGTATTAAGATTTCATTTAATTTCTAGCAATGTATCAATGCGACAAGTGGTAATATGATAATCTCTCCATTCTCTGTAACAACTGCACTGTCATTGCTCCTGCAAGGGAGTAACGGCGAAACATCTGAACAAATTCGAAATGGGCTTCATTTGATTGATAACAAGATCGTAATAGCAGATCACTTTTCCAAACATTTTGAATTGCTTGAAAATGCCGCTGAAAATACAACTCTTTCAATGGTTAATCAAATTTATGTGCAACAAGGATTACATTTAAGTGGACATTTTCAGGAAATTGCTATTGAAAAATTTCGCTCCGGTATTGAGTTGATAGATTTTGCAAACAAAGACAATGCCGTACAAACAATCAACGATTATGTTGAGAAGAAAACATTTGGAAAAATCAACAATTTGATTGAATCGAAAACTCTCGATTCAGATACGCGTATGGTTTTAATAAATGCAATTTATTTCCATGGTGATTGGATGTACCAATTTAACGAAAATGATACGCATAAAGGTGCATTTTTTATTAGCGAAACGGAAAACATTACGGTTGATTTCATGGTAACGAGGGGTGTATTTGGTTGGGCGTTATTGAAGGAACTTGATGCTATAGCCTTTGAAATGAAATATGTCGATTCCAGTCTTTCATTTGTAATTGTGTTACCAAATAGTCGAACTGGTTTACCTATGTTAGAAGCCCAATTCAAACCTGATCTTATGAAGAACAATTTTAATTATTCAAAAAATTCAGTGGCCATTATTCCAAAATTCAAAGTTGAATTTAAAATCGATTTAATCGATACTCTGAAAAATGTATGTATTCACCAAAGATTCAAATCGATTTTCCATTTTTGAAAAGAACTTCGCTAGTTTTGTTTTATTTTTATTTGTTTCAGTTGGGAATGAGTGAAATGTTCACCAATAAAGCCGATTTGAATGGTCTTTTGGAAGTCCATGAAGATTTATATGTTAGTGATGTTGTTCATAAAGCTTTTATCGAAATCAATGAAAGAGGATCTGATGCTGCTGCAGCCACAGGTAATGACATCGATTTTTGACACACAGCCATGAAACGTAGTGGAAATTACTACTTGCATAACATAAGAGCTGCCCGTCGCTTTGCAGTGTGACGGTGCAAATCGCTTAAGATTAAAAAAAATGTTACCGTTGGTGTTGCTTTATGATCTTGTATGAAATTCAATTCATTCAATAACACCGTGCTTTTGTTTCAGCTTTTGCTCTCAGACAACGCATTGGACCCAGAAAGTTTCATGCAAATCATCCATTTTTATATTATATTTGGGATCGAGACACTGATACGATCTTATTCAATGGCCGAATTGTTAATTTTAATTGAGCTCGAACTTGATTTTGATACTACCAATTTTCATCGATTATATGTATTCCATGTACAATACCAATAAAGTGGAATAAATTGAAAAATACACGATTTGCTTTTTTCTCTGAATGCCAATGAATATTACGTATAAAAAAAATTCTTTTTAAATGGCGTATTTGTGGGGAATTCCGTATTGTTCGTAGTTCAAGATTCAATATTTTGAATTCACACAAACTGTTGACGACATTAAATGCGAAAACAATGCACCATCATCACTACGATCACATAATGTTGTGGTGCCATAATTTAAATTGCAATTGTCTGTAGTGTAAAAAAGGTTGACTAACTAGTTAATATTGTTCTTTTTTCTAAATTTAAATCATTTTTTAACAACCACTTTCAATACTTGGACAACCACTCCCAAAAATAGATTTTTCTGTGGGAAAAAACACGAAATTGCACCGAGTCATAATAATTCGAAATTCTTAGTAATTGATACTTTTAATCGCAGGAACTTATCTTTTACGAATGGGGATCAAAAAGATACATTTTTATCAGAATAGTTCAATGTTCCTTCAATCTCAAGACTTGAACAAATCTTCAATCTAAATCATAGCTTCACAGTTCAATATGAATAAATTTTCATGTATAGTGCACGTGAGCGGTGTTTAAAATCGTTTTTGTTTTTATGGGTTTTTCAACGTTTTTTTGTTCTATTATTTTGTGATCTGAATCATTCAGCCGAGAAAAAGACAGTGTCTTTTGTTGGACATATAACATTAATATTTGAAAATTTCAATTTTGCACTAGATAAACATGAATATTTCAACATTTCAAATGAAAGACGAGTATTTTTTATTTCTGCCATCACCGAATAAAGCAAATTCATATGCTAATTTTTTTAGACTTTGGAATTGTCCGAGAAAAAAATATTAAATATGTGCGACTTATATTTCGGGAAAAAAATACACATTTTGTATAATTAGCGGCTAGCTCTCTTTGTAAATACATTTTCATTTTGCGTTTTTACATTCCTTTTTCAATTGGCTACTTGATGGGCATTGAATTTAAGTTCGAAAAGGAAATTATTAATCCGATAAACTTAAACATCTAATTTTTCGAGCAAAAACCAATTGTTTTTATTATAAAATATGATAATTAATAATTACAATGGTATAAATTTGCTTTCAATTTCACTCCCGCGAACATGCCACAGTCGATAGTGGTAATTTGTGAAACTTATGAGTTTAAAAGGACAAAACGTCAAAAAGTAAAAAAGAAACAAACAAGCTTCTCAATTCGAATTATATCTCTTTGTTTTTTCTCTTCTTTCCATTGATCACGTAGCTATTGTGTCACACATCACACCCAAAAGTTGAAACAACATTCATTCACATTCTCTGTTTCTTTGCTTGAGAGCCAGTGTGTTTTGTGCATCCATCAAAAGTAAGTTATTCACATTTCAATCGTTGGGTATCAAAGTTTGAATGGTTTTTTTTTTGTCAACATTTGTTTGTGAATTTTTTAATTAAAATATTACATCAAAAGCAAATTATAAATCTTTCATAAAACCATATAATTTCAACCTAGAAATCTTTGATTTGAAAAAAAAAAAACTTGTTGTCAACTCACATAAAAAGTGGTCATGTAAAATCAATTATTATCATTTCAGTGTTACGGTTAGTGATTACGTTGGTCATATGTTCAATGTTATTTCCAAATATTTTTGGCAATGAAATAAAATCGAGCATTCGTACTTTTGCATCTGATTTTTATCAGGTAATCGCCGCAAAAATGGTGGAAATATTTTATCAAAAATCGTATAAAAAATGTATGTAATTTTTTTTGTTGATTCAGGAATGTGCAAAATCAACGAGTGGAAATGTAATCGTGTCGCCTATTTCTGTGGCAAATGCATTGATGCTTCTATCGCAAGCTGCTAATGGTAGTACCTAGGGGCAATTCACTTAAAAATTGCTTATTAATTATTTTACAATTACTTTTCGATTAGTTTCGATTATCTTCATTCAAGTTCATACATTAATTGTAATATATGTATTACGAATAAGATTGTCAAATGACGATGATGGAAATTGAATCTATGTGAAATAAAAAGAGTGTGTCTATGTGTGTGGATGAGTGGGTGAGTGAGTGATAGATGATTGGGAAACCATTAGAATGTTTGGAACTATATAGTTTGACCACAAATACACACACAATAACAGATTGCTGACAAATATTTGAGATTTGGTAGTAGTAGTAGAAGATATGTTGTACGTACACACAACAGCATCCTCCGATGCATCGTCAGAGCGACAACATGACATACGACAATAGAAACAACAACAAAAGGTAATTGTCAACATTTTTCTTTGCGAGAACAGTAGTATCAACGACAAAAAATCACATTCGGGTAAGCAGGCCAGTTGCACAGCGAAAATGACACATTGAGAACTATAATAAAAAGGATCGGTAAGTTGTTTTGTTTGGTTTTGTTTTTTAATTTTTTTTTTCGTTTTGCTCTTTTGTTATTTTTTTTAAAAAATAACTGAATTACATTGTAAATTTTGTATCATTAGTTTCGTAGTTTGCCACAACTGTCCAACGGCCCAAAATATTGTTCTCAAAACTCCTAAGAAATGGACGATGAAAGTACATCACAGTCGTCGAAAGAAAATGGGTGTAGCACCAAGACCGAAGACAATCGACTATGAGCCCGAATTCCAACTGAGAAAGAAAGGTGTTGTCATGGATCGTGATCACAATGCTTCACGCAATATGATTTACAAAGCCAGATGTTCCCATTTTCAAAATGAATGCTGCCGCATGGAAACAACAATATCGTCCGAATCCAGCAGTTCCAGCGAATCACGCGAATCGTGCAGCATAATAGTAAAAGAAATTCAGCCGCGGTCGTTTCATTAGTAAGTTGCACTTTAATTTGATTGCAATTCAAACAATGGGAGGAAATGACAGCAAATTTTAAAATTGGCGCGCTGTTTATAAACTATAGTTTCGATTTGAGTTATTAAATTACATTGACGTCCCCTTTGAAATTGGTGGCGCCACCGTCAGCTCAATGAGACTTGAAGTCTTCACATCCTGTCATTGAATTCAAATTACTCTCTCATATGACTCTGTAATATTTGCTTATTATTTATTAATATTCATTGTTTGTTTCATTCTCTAATCTAGGAAGTGACGAGCGTGACCCAACCCTATCGTATTAAGACGGTAGGGAGTACTATTCTATAGTGAGCATTTTGTTTTTTTTTTTTCTCTTTCACAGAAATCGACGATTACAACTACCAAATCTCAAATTAAAGCAATTGCTGATCTTTAATGTTGTTGTGGTTATTGCTTTGCAATTTTTTCATTATATGTTTTCGATTATTTTCCGATTATTTTAAATTAATTCGATTATTTTCTTTTGTGATTCTCCCCTTAGGTAGGACATTTGAAGGAATCAAGTCCGGCCTTCGTATAAATGTTGAAAAAAGTGTGGCAGCAAATCAATTCCATGACTACTATGAATCACTTCAACACAACGTCGGAGCTGCTATTTTATCGACTGCAAATCTTGTTTACGTGCAACAAGGATATAAACTAAAAAAGACCTTCCAAAATGTGGCTGTTGAAGATTTCGACTCTGCCATTGGAACGGTGAATTTTGCCAATAAAGTTGAAACAGCACAATTCATCAATCAAATGGTTGAACAAAAAACAAATCGAAAAATTAAGAATTTAATCAAATCAGACATGTTTGACTCCGATTCACGGGTGGTTTTAGTAAATGCAATTTACTTCAAAGGTGATTGGATGCATAAATTCAACAAGCAATTCACAACAAAAAATTTGTTTTATACAAACAAAGAGCAAGCAAAATCAGTTGATTTTATGCACACTGATGCAACTTTCAATTATGGACACCTGATTGACATGGACGCAACTGCACTGGAAATGAATTATTACAATTCGAATTATTCAATGGTATTTATATTGCCAAATGAACTCGACGGAATTAATGTGCTGGAAAATCAATTGAGAGGTTATGATTTTACCAAAATTTCGCATGCAATGCATTCACACCAAGTTGAAGTCCATATGCCAAAATTCAAAGTTGAATTTGAAATCAAATTGAATGATGTTTTGAAGAATGTAGGCGAGGAATATTGTTTTCGAAGTTGTGCTGTTTTGATATTTGGATTTTTCTTTTACAGATGGGATTTGCTGAAATGTTTACATCAAACGCCGATTTAAGTGGTCTTCTCGAGGTTAATGAACCCTTGTTTGTGTCTGATGCTGTGCATAAAGCTGTCATTGAAGTTAATGAGGAAGGTTCTGAAGCTGCCGCCGCCACTGGTATTTTTTTTCACCTAAAGATAATCTCAAGTTTATATTGAAATGAAACCATTCATTTTTAACGGTCTAGGTTTGGTGATCACAAAACGAATCGGAGGTAGTGGTCAGTTATTTATTGCCGATCATCCATTTATTTACTATATTTGGGATAAAAACACCAAGACTATAGTTTTCATCGGACGTCTCACAAACTTTAGTTAATTAGCTCAAACAAAATGGCAACTTCAACATTAATAGTTCATAATGGCATTATTTTTGTAACAAATACGTATTCACTCTGATGAAGAAAGTAAATAAATAATATTTAATATGTTGATGGTTATTTTGTTAAATATTTATTTAGCGAATGTTTCCACTACAAAAAAAATGGCATAAATTGATTTAAAATAATCTAGTTAATGGATGCACTGGAAATTGTTTTTCTGGCCGTAGCATTTCATATGACACGAATTTATGAAATGTTTGAAATGTTTTCGGTAACCCAGCTTGAATGGATTCTTCAATTCTTTTAACGTTTTCATGATTTTTATCACAGATTGTTTGAGCGATAATGCATTCTTCTTGTGCATTGGGTAATTTTAATTTTATTGAACGATTTGCACGCAGTAAAGAAGCATATGATGCATAAATAGAAGAGGCTACATCGGCCAATTGTGTCATCTCAGGATCACGTGATCCCTTCTCTTCTTTCGATTCCAATTCAATGATTCCTGTTGCGCACCATCGAAGTGATGTCAACGAATTATTGAAATTCTTGATTGCAGCATGCATTTCTGGTTCGAAACTTTTAAATAGTTCATCATCATCTTTAAAATTTTTAACTATAAAATCTTGATTTTTCCGTTCTTCGATTAGACGACGCTGCAATTGCATAAAAATTCAATAAAAACAATTTAAATTTCATTTAATCTCGATGCCGAATTTATTTGAACGTACCAAACGATGGTGAAACCCCTCTCGCGCAATACTTAATTTGACTTCACTATTTGGTTCAGTGAATTTCAATTGAATTACATTTCGAATGAATGAATTCATTGGATGCTTATCGATTGTGACGCGTGAATCAACAAAATTCAACAGATCCGTCGTCATGTGAAGGAGTTGATCTTGGGCGGTGGTCTGCAAATCATTAATGGTTAATAATATCATCGATATGGTGTTTTTAAATTAACAACTTACTACAAAAATTGCACTCTCAAGGTCAATATTTGTGTTATCGTATTTATCCATTATTCCAGTGGTTAAATATAGCATACTTTCCAACGCATAAATTGAACAAGTGTATTTTCCTATTATTACCCGCAATGTAACTGATTCGTTTCCTTCCCTAAGATGACAAGAAAATGTTTAGTGCATTTTCAAAGTGTACTGCAGCGAATTTGTTTTCTTCATTGCAAATGATACATACGACACGTTATTTGCTTGTTGTTCGATTGATTCGATCATGTTCAACATATATTTAAACAATATTTTCATTTGAGTTAAAGACGTGATTCCTTCGCTAATTCGTGAATGTACTTTGATTCTATGTTCGAGATAGTTTCCAGTGCCGGCCAATGCCACCACCGCATCTATGAGAAATTACCGAGAAGGAGAGATAATGAAAATAATCTTCGATTTAAAACAAGCATTCAATCATTACCCGTTGTCAGCTCCACATCTTTAAATGTTACTCGTGCTAGATTCCAGTCGGAAGTTCCGATTGTATTATCTTTCGGATGAATCTTTACGCCGGGCAAAGAATCGTCGACTATGAAAACGGTTAAGGACGATTTCTTATCGCCTTGTCGATCGCTAATTTTTGTTTGCGCCAAAACCAGAAATACATTTGCATTGATCGCATTCACAACACACGATTTTGTACCTGCATACAAAAGAAATATAAAAAAATTACCAACAATATATTTGGAAATTGTTATCCAGATATTGCAGCTCAAATGGAGCGACAACAATTGAAGTGTGATGTACTGAAAACACTCTCATTACTATAACAATCACGTCACTCCGTTTCAGCGGCTGATTATAATATAAAATTTATTGTTCAAAAAATTAGGAGCTGAAGAAATTATTTCCTACCATTCAAATACCAAAGTCCATCTTCGTTCTCATATTCGGCACGTGTATTGAGCGCAAGTGTTTCCGATGCATTCCATTCTTTGAAAGCAATTGTTCCCACAATTTCACCGCTCGCCAATTTCGGCAAGTATTTGTCACGTTGTTGATCTGTACCAAAATCGTAAATGGTTGAACTAACCAAGCGATGTGCATTCAAAATCATTGCAACCGACACATTTTCTGTTTCAATTTCACCGATTAATGCACGTTCCGTATTTGTATACTCTTGGCCGTCATAATCTTTTGGTATATTTGATCCGAATAATTTCAACTGTTTAAGAGTTTCAAACTGTTTACTCTCATGTGTGTTAGTTTCTTTTAGGTATTCCATGATTTTCGATGTAGTTTTGTTGAATTCGTTAGAGTTTTCTTTGGTCATCAGTTCGGGATAAACAATTTCTTCACATTGAAGTTCCTTTGCAAAAAATCTCTTAACAATAATCGGATTTTCAACTAAAGTTTCAAATGGTTTACGACCGCTACTCCTAAATTTCTCCTGCATATAAGCTTTTTCTGTGAGTTCTTCGAATAATTTTCGCGATGGTAAATTTTTTCTATCATCAACGCTAAATTGTTTTGAACTTATTGAAATTGAGCGATACCGGTACATATTTGTACGAGTGCACGATACAACGCCACGTCGCAGTATCATTTTATTAAATTTTATTTGACAAAATATACAATTTTTTAAAAGTTCTATAAATTACATTAGAAACGGACTATTTTGGATACATCCGTTTATTGTGATTTTATTTCAACTAGAACAACATTTACATAACCTCAAAGCAACTCCATGACAGTTCAAATGTATTGTTGTTTTTATTATTTTCACCACATTCAAATTGGATTCTGATTACATCACGAAAACTAGATGCTGATTTCAAACCACACCAGAAATGACGATAGGAAAAATACCGTTTCAAAATTGAAACTTAATTGGTTTTATTTATATTTTATTTTGGCGCAAATAAACAGAAATTTTTTTTTTGTACACAAACAACATTCAACCGCTAAATCTAAATGAATCTTGTCAATGGATGTACTGGATAATATGACTTATTTTTTATCACTTGTTTGGCTATTGTTTGATAGTGCTTATCAATTGGATGCAATGGTCCAGATTCAATGTGCTCCATTAATTCCTTAACTTTTTGTGTATTCATATCACAAGAGCAACCAGCCAAAGTATGCTCGAATTCGGCATGGGGCAATCTCAAAATCACCGATCGATTAGCACGCACCAAACTTGCAAATGATGCATAAATATATGTAACCGTTTCGGATAATCGTTGAATTTCTTGATGTTGTGTGAATAAATTTCGGCCATACGTTTCCATTAAATTGCTTGAACCAATACGAAGTCGCTGTATTGACGCTTCCACCCATCGTGCGTGTATATCAAATACCGCCAATACATTTTCCATCAAATTTAAATTTGATTCATATTTGTCCATTGTTTCTTCTTTATAAAAACTTTGGAGTGCAAGCTCTGGATGCAAGAATGGATTACGCTTCTTTTTCACAGAATCAAAGATGCGATCCTTTAACAAAAAAAATGCAAGAAAGTACAAACATAAATTATTATAAACGATTGAAACGAAATTTGTCAACTAAATGGATATACCCCGCTGTGTTGGATTCCAGCCACACCGATGTATAATTTTAAAATGTCTTTTGGTTCGCCAAATGTTTGTAATTGCAATGCATCGCGAATTACATTATTCATTGGATGCTCATCAAGCGTTACTGGTGCTTCAACAAAATTTGATAAAGCCAATGCCATCGATAGTAATCGGTCCTGCGAGAATGTCTGAAAATATTTTTGAAGTTTTTTAAAATTACCTTTGATTTCTATTAAATGATTATAGAACTCTTGGTTTTCAACTCACTTTGATGATGGCTGTTTCTACGTCTATATTTGTATTTTTATACAAATCCATTAAACCGGCTGTCATATAAAGCATACTTTCAGTCGAATAAATGTCTGCCGCACTTTTTAACACTTCTGAACGCAATGAAGCTGATTCGAAAGAGGTACCTTCAGGACTGTAACAATGAAAAAATACATACATTATTATTAAATAAAGTGAAATATAAAAAAAAATGCCATCAAAATGACGAAATCTTTGTCCATACTTGTTGATACGATTTGAATCTTCCACCGGTTCGATCATATCAACCATAAATTGGTTGATTGATTTCATTTGTATCAAATTTAAAGCGCTTTGTTGTAATCGCGAGAGAAACATTGTCGTCCGTTCGATATGTCGACCAGATCCGGGTGTGGAGAGAATAGCGTCTGCCAAAAGAAATCATTAATTGAGTAATTAATTGAATACAAGAAAGAGTGCTTATAGCATCTCTGAATTGAGTACATCAAAAATATACTTCGCACCTGATTCCAAGTATACATCTTTGAATGAAACATCGGCTTGATAAAGATTTCGCAGCCCAATTGTATTATCTTTTTTATGGACCGAAACACCTGGTAAGTTTGCATCAACTAAGAAAATCGATAATGAATCGGTTTTTTTACTTTGTGGCACTTGCGCTGATACCATAAACAAATTCGATTTTGCCGCATTGATAACAAATGATTTGGTTCCATTCAACCGCCATTGTTTTTTATCAGCATCATATTCGGCTGTCGATGTAGTTGCAGCGATATCATCTCGTGTCCATTCTTGTGAAGCCGGCGTTGCGATCAAATCACCACTGGCCAATTTCGGTAAATACTTTGACCGTTGTTCATTCGTACCGTATTCGTTAATTGCCTCACACACCAAACGATGGGCTTTCAATATCATTCCAACATTGATTTTTTTACCTTCGATTTCACTGCATAAAATCGTTTCCGTATGAATAAAACCCATTCCGCCAAATTCTTTGGGCACATTATAACCATAGATGCCCATTTGTTTGAATGAATCATGAACCGTTTTGCTAATTCCCTTTTCATCATAATCAATGCTCGATCGAAAGTATTCGGAAACATTTTCGTTGCGCTTCCGAATGGCGTCAAGTTCATCTTTTGACAACACTTCTGGATATAGCATCTGTTCACTATCAATTTCACTGATAAAGAATTTTTTCACAATAATTGGATTTTCGATGAGCGGCTCAACAGGCTTTCCAACTTTGCCAAATAAATCGTCGACATTTGGAAACGATTTTTGTGCAGCATTTGTATTGGCCAGCCATAAACTAGTCGAAATTGGGCGATACGAATGAAAATTTATCGTACGCGATAAACGAAACACTCCCGTTCTTAACATCGTGTTTTTTTTTTGTTTTTCCTCTCAAAAACCGAAAACAAAAACAAAAATTCCAAGTTGATTTATCGGTTTATTTTGCTTGAACAGTAGTACAGATGAGTTGCCGACATAACCTTATTTAAAATGTTGACGTTTTAACTGTCGTTCGTATTCACCACATTCGAATGGATAGTTTGATAGCTCAAATGTCAATAATAAATTGATTAGATACTGTACGATGTTGTTTACTTTGAACCAAACGATTTCGATTTCGTATCAATTTTTACTATAATTTGTTATAATTGATGAAAAGCCGGATATAGATTATATTTATTCGATGAAATATAACATTTAATTTCAACTATCTTGAGTCGATTAGTTGCATTTTAGTTTAGTTTAGTTTACTATTTAAAAATAGTACTTCCGACCGATTCGGATATGAATTTTTTTGGGTGGCAACACTCTCTCTAACTCAGTCGCTCACTTGTACTAATAAGAGTGTGTGTATATTCTCTTTGTGTTTCCATGTAATCAACGAACTGTACAACTGTGTATCGTTCAATGCTATGCGTATGGCTGTACCATTCACATTTGATCACAACTACATGAACACATGTCATTTGCCCTTAAATCGATGGCCCCCTACATCATCATTTATTGTAATCTTTCGAATATATATATTTTTTCTCTCTCTTCCTCTTTCTCTCTTTCTCTGAAAATTCGATTCGTATAAAAAACAAAAAATAAAAAGAAGGCTTCAATGAACTTAATCCCACTTGACTTTTGAATGAATTGGTCAATGCAATTCGATTCCCAAGTATCCACATGTAATGCGAAATCTGCAAAATCTATGCACACACATATATTTTGCATAGATTTCGCAAACACTTTTATTTGATCTTTAGCGAATATTATTCTCTATGGGCACAAATTGTGCACATCGTCTTATACACACGCATTTGGTTACTTGGGTTGTTTTCGATTAAAATTCGTCCAATTGGTTTGGTGAATAAAAGCGTTTTGAAATAATTGCCTGTTTTAACAGCGCCGCCATTATTTATACCTTATTTTCATCAACATCATGCAATTTGACAAAAAAGAAACCCACAATAGAAAAGTATACTACACTATCAAATCATATTTTGTATGACATGGACTCAATATAACATTCAAACAGAATAAGAAGCTCGTATGTGCATGTGTGGATGGATGTGTTTATGTATGTGTACGAGTGTTGCTTACACTTTTTAGTACCAATATACTCACACACGGCGATTTGAGTGATTTGTATGTCGTTTTTTTTTTGCTGTTGCTGCTGTTGCCTCCTCTTATTCTCGCATTTTATTTCATATTCAAGTTTATATTTCTTGGCTTTCGTTAGTTTTCACGCGAAGCGAATCACATTTATGTATACGTTGGTTTGGATTGAGCGTATGTGTGCGCCAGTGTGTATTATTCGTGTATTTGCAACAGCAAACGAAATCAAGTAACAGAGCAACACAAATCTATTTTGTAGTAATTAATTTCATTCGTTAATAAGATAAAAAAAAATATATATTATTAAATTCAAAATCAGTTTGATTGGGCGAGATATCGTTTGTTTCTTGTGCTCATTAGAAAACACTCGGAATAGAAAATTTACAAAAAAAAAAAAAAATCACAACAAATTCGAAGTCACGGTGTGACTCTTTTTTCCTGTGAATTTTATGTGTTAAACTATATTTTTGATTTGACTTGGGAATTTTTCGTTAATTTTTTTTTTTATTTTTTTTTTATTTTGCTCGTGCTCCCAAACAGAGAAAAACGCTGAGAACACGAAAAACAACAAATGAAACAATAATAATAATTCCAACAACATTAGCAGCTGCATTATAATAACCCGAAGCAAGTGATTTTCAATTGGCCCAACAATTTAATAGTGTGAAGAGTAAAGAGCATTCAACAGAAAAAAATATAAATAACAAATGTAAATACGATTCTTTTTTTAATTCAAAATTTTTCATTGAAAATATTACAAATTGTGCAGACCAGATTGAATGAATAATCCACAAAAAAAATTGGTGTATGAAAAAGAAAGAATTTTTTTTTATTGTGATTGAAATGAAAATTCGTGTGTGTGTGTATGATTGAAAGTGCAAAAAAGCAGCGAGAAAGATGAATTTGCCATGAAAAATGATTGTGAAATATGTGGTGGAAAATTGAGTGCATTTTTTTTTTTTGTATGCTCAATATCTACATATTTCATAATATTTCACTATGAAATCGACATAGAAATTGTCCAACCTCATGTTTGCAATGTGGTTGAGAAACAGGCATAAAATCACAAAAAAATTCAAAAAAAAATCGCATTGATTCATCCAAATATATGGTTCCTTTAGTTTTGTATGATTTCGTCGCAAATTACTAAATAAATTGCATATGTGTTTTATTCTAATTTACACCTGATAAACTTTTCTGATAGGAATTTTCGGACCAAATGTCAACCGAATCCATTTCGTATCCGTCATTCGTTTTATTGTTTCGTTTGTGTATGCATTTATTGATTTCAATTGTTTCGGTGCATATCAATTTTGTACAAAACTATAATAGTGATGAAAGTTTTGACTTGCATTATAAATTCAATTTTAAATCATAGTGTACTCATACAGCGCAACACACTCTTTTCAATACATATAGTCAAAGCCTCCTTGAAACCGTTTACTCCGAAATAAAAAAAAAGAGTTTTTTCGTCGTTCTCCAAATTTCGAATTTATTTGCCGAGAGTGCGTTATATGTTTGGAAAATAGTCGATCATCCATAGTTCGTTTTTGGCAGTCGAAAAAAAACTCATGGAACTCATGAAGATGGGCCATTACTATACGTGCATATAATTGAACTCCAACTGTTAAGTGCTACGGTTGCCGTCATTTGGTAAAAAAAAGATGCCTCTCTATGTTTTATTCGAGCAAACGAACAAACGAGCAAGTGATGATGGTGGTGTGCAATTGTATGTGTGCGCGTGTTTGAATGTATGCCTGTGTGTGTGTGTTTGTGTGTTTGTGTGAGTCTGTTTTAGAGAATAACGAAAAAGCTGGATGATTGTATGGGTGTGTGTATGCGTGTGTGTGCACTAGTGACTGTGCTTTACTAGTGCAGCCTTTTCAGTGAACTGCGATTGTATGCGTTCCACACCAAACGATATGCTAGCACACATAGACCTCTATATAGTATCGAGTATAAAGTAGATTGTGTGTACGTGCAAAATAAGATCTTAGTTATGAAATGTAGGAAATCGGCCGAACAGAAACAACGAAACGAAAAGTATAGAGAAAGAGAGAAATAATATTTAAAAAAAAAAACGAATCAAGAAACGAAGTGAATAAACGCAACAAAATAAATAAATAGGATAATTTTTCCCGTTTTTCTTGAACTCGGTTCGGTTTTTTTATTTTAATTTGTTTTTCGTAAACGGTTTTATTTTTTACCTCGTCAATAACTAAAGATTCTTGATCGCCTCACAATCGCGATTTTCCGCTGCACTTTTTTTCTGTTTCAGTTTGTTGACTCGATAATAAATATTTCTGCCTCTTTTTTTGAAATTCGGTTCGGTGGAATCAGTTCTGTTTGTTTGCCAGAAATATAAAAAGTGAAAAGTTGCCACATTGAAGACGAGAGAAAGATAGAACAGAAAAACAACAACCGATTTAAAAAAGAAATAAATTCGGTATGCAAATAAGCGATGCAATATTATTTGCAATGTTTCTCCATTTTCATTTTGTAAATTGTGTGGTGGCAAAAATTATATATATATATATTATTTTTTTCTCGCTTCTTAGAGGTTGTGTGTGTGTGTTTGTATGTTCGTTTGGATATGGCTTTTGTCGATTCAGCGGATGATTGTGATTGATCAGAAATTCAAGTGTTCATTTGGAATCGTGTTTGCTACCATTATTTATTATTCAAGAGCTTGGTTATGTTTTCTTTGTTATCTTTACGTTTCTCGATAAAGTGAACGTGAGAATATTCTACAAAACAATATGAAAATGAATTGAAATGAGACAGTGTAAGGGACAGAGGAAGAGAGAGAGTGTGTGTGTGTGAAAACGGAAAAATTCTAATTGAAAATCATTTCTTCTTGTTTTAATATCGTCCAGATAATATAGCGCATCGAAACCATATGTGTGCAATGGTCAAAATATGTGAAAACTTGTGCATTTATTCGAGAAAACAATGAACAAAAAATGCAGATTCATGTGTCGTAAATTTAGACAGCCAGCCATTGTGCATTTGTTCGCCTCCTCGTAGACAAACAAACTTGTATGGTGGACGATACCATTCCATGTATATATTATTGTGTGTTATTGTTGTTATTACTATTATTTTTTTGTATTTACCCTCGTTCAAACTTACTGGTTTGCTTCAAACATTTTCCGATCTCGTTTCCAAACAAAACGTTCTCGCTCTCTCGCCACAACTTGCACTTCGACAGACTCTGTTTTTTGTCACTCTCTCTCTCTTTCTTCAATTTGTATTTTCTGTTCAACTTGAGAGGTGTTCATGATTTTCAATTGGTTGATGGAACCGATATAATAGCAACAACAAACATTGTAAAAATTTCGTTTTTGAATGCATAGTGCACTTAATATTAATTACAACGGTTACGACATCCATTGTCATTTTATGCGTTTACGTATGTGTGAGTGAGAGTTACTTGATGTTGAATTCATTTTTATATATTTTTTTTTCTTTTCTCTCTCTGTCTCCCAAAGTTTCGAAGTGAGAGCGTATTTTTTACTATGTCGCGCGATATGATTGGTATTGTTTTCAATTTGTCACTTCCAATTATTATGCATTAAAAGACAGAAGAAACAAAATCCAAACATTGATTCAAATTTGATATTATAAACGAGCATATGCACCCCAGTGTATAGACCAACAGGGAGAGAAAACATGGCGATTTATGCATAAAATGTTAGATTGTGGGCGAAGGTGGCGCAAATACTCAGGACGCGACAAAGAAAAGGCTGACATTTTTCTGTATAGGCATATCAAATGAAAATAAATTCAATTCTTGTGAATCTTCTTACGCATTTCACTTTGAATTGCATCATTCGATGTTTTACCATTTGTATGTGTGTAAAACACTGAAATATTTGGCAGCATAGTGTTGGAAATGTGTGAAACTTTTTTTTTTGAAATTTAAAAATTCTATCAGTTTTTGATTCGGTGTTTTTTCGAAGAAAAAAAAAATCTTCGAATAAAACAAACATTCAGAGTTATTGTTGAATTTCTGTAAAAATATCTTTGAACTTTATATTCATAAAAAGCATTTTCCAAAAAATTCGACGTCGCTTCATTTATGAACTCTTCTTTTTCGCAGAGATGAAGAAAAACAAAATAAAGATTCTCAAGTGTTAATATGCAAAAACTATTCACATAATTTGTGTTTAACTTAGAGACAACAACACCGTTGAAATTATTTTATTGAACTTCAATTGCCGCTCCCTGTGTCATACACAAATATGCGTTCGATAAAGTTTTAGATTTATGTGTGCAAATTTCCCCATTTTTTCAAAAATATTTTCCCTGTTGATTTGAATAAAACTGTTGCCGTATGAATTGCATTGCGATTGATGTGTATTTTTAAGTGAAACGAAACTGAGCGCTTGTTGATGTTCTGCATAATTTAGTCCGTTTTTTATTTTTATTATTCGAGTTTCATTTCAATTTATATTATAGCGTTAAAAACGATTTTTCTTATTTCCGATTTTTTGTGTAGGCTTTTTTCCATCCTGGAATAGGAAAACAAGACAGATTTCCCTCGATAAAAAATAAATTGTATTGAATTAGATTATGAGAGAAAAACCGATCTTAATGACAGACAAAATGAATAAAATTAAATGACTATTTGGATGCTGTTGCAGCCTTCATTCATGCTAGTTTTTCGTTTGGTTCAGTTTCAACGAAAAACCAAATCCATCAATCGAAACTCATAATAAAGATCAACTCAAACGATTCACACATTTTATTTATATATGAGAAAACGTTCAGCACGAGAACGTAAAAGAGAAAATTCAAATTGGAATTTGTTCAGGAGTGACAAAGAGAAATAGAGAGATAGAAAGAGAACCCTAATAAAACGATACATTATACTAATTGAGAATGCAAATCAATAGCATCGAATCTAATAAATCGACAAAGACTGAACCCATTGAAACCATCGATTTGGATAGCAGTCCCATAAAAAATGACGTGATATCACTTGAAACGGACACAAAACCGACGCCGGTTAATCCACAGTCATCATCAGCATCCGCCTCATCATCATCATCAGCAGCAGCATCAACATCTCAATCGTCATCATCACGTCCACATATAACACAGTCAACGCGTCAATCGCACAGCTCATTTTCCATTATAAAAAATGAGGAGTTCGAATTCGAAGTGCCAGGAGAGGCTCCTACATTTGTTCCAAACGAACAAGAATTTAAGAATCCATTGACTTACATCAGCAAAATTCGACCGATTGCCGAAAAGTATGGCATATGCAAAATTCGACCACCACCGGTACGTAAATTAACAAGCGATCACATTTTAAAACCGATACATTTTATTGAGTTTATCATTTATTGTTGTTTTTAGACTTGGCAACCGCCATTCACAGTCGATGTGGATAAATTGCGATTTACACCTCGAGTACAACGGTTGAATGAACTCGAGGCAAAGACGCGTGTTAAATTGAATTTTCTCGATCAAATTGCAAAATTTTGGGAATTGCAGGGATCTTCATTGAAAATTCCAATGGTTGAACGCAAAGCGCTTGATTTGTATTCATTGCATAGGCTTGTCCAAGAAGAAGGTGGATTGGAGACAACTACGAATGGTCGTAAATGGTCAAAAATTGCATCACGAATGGGATACCCGGTGGGAAAAAGTGTTGGTACAATATTGAAAGGTCATTACGAACGCATTCTATATCCATTTGATGTGTTCACATCTGGTAAAGGTGACGAGCTCAAGGTAAGCGAAAAAAGAAATCGATTTCGAAAAATAAAAAAAATTTAAATAAGAAAAAAAAATAAAGAAGAATATCGGATGGAACAAAACTGTTTCAATTGTTTATATAATTTTGTGTTACAGCCAAAACTTGAATCAGATTCCGATGATCATGATTATAAGCCGCATGGTATTCCATCGCGACAAAATGTAACACCACCAACAGAAACAACAGCCCGACGATCTCAACGCTTTATGGTAAAATCCGAAGTAAAAACCGAAGATGAATGCGACGATGTTGATGTTAAATCACCGAAACGAGTTACCCCACAAAAAAATGGTGATAGTAAAATGAGCGCTTCCGATGTAGCTGCAAATACAGCGGCCACGGCACGAGCTGAACTTCGTCGTTTACAAATCTATGGTGCTGGCCCGAAAATGCCAGGCATCAAAACAAAATCGGGCCAACAATCAAATCAAACAACACCCACAAAATCGAGAATGAATGGTAGCAGTAGTGGTGGTGCTACAAGTGCACGTCATCAACGACAACAAGCAAATCGACAACGCAATCATGCCGATCCATTGGCAAAATACATTTGTCATATTTGTACACGTGGCGATGGCGAAGAGGCAATGCTATTATGTGATGGATGCGATGACAGTTATCACACGTTCTGTTTGATTCCGCCTTTGGCCGATATTCCAAAAGGTGATTGGCGATGCCCAAAATGTGTCGTTGAAGAGGTTAGCAAACCGGTTGAAGCATTTGGTTTTGAACAGGCACAACGTGAATACACGCTACAACAATTTGGCGAAATGGCCGATCAATTTAAAGCTGATTACTTTAATATTCCGGTGCATTTGGTACCAACTGAATTGGTTGAACGTGAATTTTGGCGTATTGTATCGTCAATTGATGAAGATGTTGCCGTTGAATATGGAGCCGATTTGCATACAATGGACCATGGTTCTGGTTTTCCAACAAAAAATTCATTGTATTTATTGCCGGGCGATTTGGAATATGCCGACAGTAGTTGGAACTTAAACAATTTACCATTACTGGAGGAGAGCGTTTTGGGGCACATCAATGCTGACATATCAGGAATGAAAGTACCATGGATGTATGTTGGTATGTGCTTTGCAACATTTTGCTGGCACAACGAAGATCATTGGAGCTATTCAATCAATTATTTACATTGGGGCGAACCAAAAACTTGGTACGGTGTACCTGGTGAGTATAAGAATGAAATACAAGCACAATTCATTTTATGTACCAAATAAATTGACCACATATTCTCGATGTTATTTGATTTTTTCAGGGAGTCAGGCTGAAGCTTTTGAAAATACAATGCGTAGTGCTGCACCGGAATTATTTCAATCACAACCAGATTTATTGCATCAACTTGTCACTATTATGAATCCAAATACACTGATGAATGCTGGCGTACCAGTCTATCGTACTGATCAACATGCCGGCGAATTTGTCATCACATTTCCCCGAGCCTATCATGCTGGCTTCAATCAGGGATACAATTTTGCTGAAGCGGTCAACTTTGCACCAGCTGATTGGGTTAGTTGAATCTCTTTAATTTTTTTGTTTTGTTCCTTGAATTATTGATATACATTGTAGAAATTTTCTAGATTTTAATTATCAAACGTTTCTCCAATATTTTCTTTTCATTTCAGATAAAAATGGGTCGTGAATGCATTAATCACTATTCAAATTTGCGACGATTTTGTGTATTTTCGCATGATGAATTGGTCTGTAAAATGGCATTGGATCCGGATAAATTAAATCTGGGCATTGCAACTGCATGTTATTTAGATATGGCCGAAATGGTCGATACAGAGAAAAAACTACGTAAATGTTTGCTTGAATGGGGCGTAACAAAAGCCGAACGTGAAGCATTCGAATTGATACCAGACGATGAGCGTCAATGTGACGTATGTAAAACCACCTGCTTTTTATCGGCTGTAACATGTACATGCATTAAATCACTGGTTTGCCTTCGTCACTATTCGGAATTGTGTAAATGTGCACCAGAAAAGCATACGCTCAAATATCGATACACACTCGATGAATTGCCGTTGATGTTGCGCAAATTGAAAGTAAAGGCTGAATCATTTGAAACATGGATTACAAAAGTGCGTGATGTACTCGATCCCACCACGCCAACCACAATGACATTAGACGAATTACAAGAATTGGCACAAGAGGCTGAAGATAAAAAATTCCCATCATCGGTGTTGCTTGAGCGCCTCAATTCGGCCGTACTCGAAGCCGAAAAATGTGTTACAGTTATACAACAATTGGATATAAATAAAGTACGAACACGAACAAGAAATTCATCGTGCGAAATAGCCAAATATAAATTGACCATCGAGGAATTGGATATGTTTGTACAGGAAATTGATAATCTGTGTTGTGTAATCAAAGAGGGAAGTAGCGTACGTGAACTGCAACAAATTGGAAAAGAATTTGCTGAACTTTCAACATATCTATTGAAGGAGCCACTAAATGAAGTCAAAGAATCAAAGGTTGAAAAAATGATCGAGGAGGGCAGCGCACTATGTATTGAATTACAGCAAATGAAACCGTTGAAAGCCTTACTCGATAAAGTGAAATGGTATAATAATGTGCGAGAGTTGCGTGAAGCAGATGAAAAGATTCCATTGAATGTTATCAAAAAATGTTTGCAAGATGGTCATGCGTTGAGTGTGGTGGGTGAAGTAGATGATACATTGGTACAACAAGAGCTACAAGATTTGCAAAGTATTCTGATGGATGTCGAAGAATGGGAAGCCGATTCAAAGAAGTGTTTCGAAAGTGGTACACAGCATGATATACCCGAAATTGAGGAACAATTGAATCGAGCCAATTCCATTGAAGGTGAACTACCATCACAAGCAACACTTGAAGATGCATTACGCAAGGCCAAAGAATGGTTGGCAACCGTTGAAATTCTACAGGCAAACGAAAATTATCCGTATTTCCATACATTGGAGAATGTTGTGAATCGTGGCAAAAATATTCCATTCCAATTGGAAGAACTGAAACGCATGGAAGAACATTTGACCAGTGCCCGTGGATGGAAACAAAAAACAAGCCGAACATTTTTGAAACGAAACAGTTTTTTGGAATTACTTGAAGTATTATCGCCGCGTGCAAAGCCAATTATGCTAGTATCGAATGTTGGTAGTTCAGCTGAAAAATTGGGCAGCACCGCATCAAAATCGTGCGCCATTTATGATGAAAAACAATTCACCGAAGACATGGGACCCGCTCAAATGGTGGTCGCATTCAAAAATGCCGAAGAAAAAGAACTTAGTGATATGCGTGAATTGCGTGAAACCAATCAGAATAAAAATCCAGAAAAGGAGAAATATTGCGTATGTCATCAACCGTTCAGCGGAGTTATGTACAAATGTCAATTGTGCCTCGATTGGTTCCATGCGGGCTGTGTAAGAAATTATCCAAATACCTGTACAAGTAATTCGGCAAATAATACACCCACCAAACAGAATCGTAATGCAACTGCATTGAATCAACTATCAAATGCATCGCTGACACCGATAAATGGACGTGCTCGGGATCGTGAACCAAAATATCTGTGCGAATCATGTCAACGATCGAAACGACCCCGTCTGGAAACAATTTTAACGCTACTTGTATCACTGCAAAAGCTACCGATTCGGTTGCCCGAAGGTGAAGCACTACAATGCCTTACCGAACGTGCAATGAATTGGCAAGATCGGGCACGACAAATACTTGAAACAACCGAAGTTGTAAATGCACTTGCCATTATACAAAAACAACAGAGTCTTGCCGAATCGAAGGGTGATGCGAACGAACAAAGGGATGTTGAACATGCATACTCGGTACCAATGGATATACTGCCAAATTCAACATCGTCCGCGATGCCAATACAAAAATCAACACCAAACACAGCACAAAATTCCGCCAGCAAATCAACAACTGGCCCAGTGATTCAACTACAAAAGGCCACTACGGATAAAATCGATGAGCTGATGATGGAAGGTGATCTCCTAGAAGTGTCTTTAGATGAAACACAATATCTGTGGCGATTATTGAACGCCTCAAAACCTGACATTACCGATTTGGCTTTAATACGTTCCAAATATAACATAATGGTAAGTTGATTTGAATAGAAGCAAAGATTTCTATCCAAATGACATTTTAATAATTTCAATTTCGTTCACCATTTTGTAGCCTCAAGTGAATGAAGCTCTAGTCAGTAATATTAGAAAACGGCATTCAGATGAACACCAAAATGATGCCTTCCTGAAAAAGTCAAGAGTTCGCATCATGCGCCCTGGTAACTATCAGTCACTTGATCAAAGGTTAGTGTGTTTTGTTTTTTGCTTTTTGTTTTTTGTTGCAAATTCACCATGAAAAGTGAAAACAATGAGTACTTTCTTTTTCCCCTTGAATCTTGATGATCTTAAATATGTGTCTGTTTTATTTTTTGTATGCGCATGCGTATATAGACTAACACGGCAACGGTTATCAGATGACGATGATGATAATGACGACGATGAAGACATGGAGGATATAGCAAACTTTGAAAATGAATTGTCACGCAACGATGAAATTGCTGATAATAAGGCACCCGCACAAAAGCCAAAACGAGGTCGTAAAATGACAATGACAACAAAAGACACCGACGCAATGTGCACGACAATTGAAGAAAGTACGACGATACTAAATGACAATGCTCAATTAAATTTGAGCGCTAAAAAAAAGAAACGTGGTCGTAAAAGTGTCACCAATCAATCGTCAAATACAAAAACCGATGACGGTAGAAACGTTGTGACCGCATCAACATCGGATGAAGATGAAGAATGCAGTTTTGCCAATTGCATTCGACCGACAGGTAATGACAGCCTTTATTTATTTTTATTTTTCACATTTCAACAATGTATGATTTTAAATTGCAATATAGGTCGTGAAGTTGATTGGGTGCAATGTGATGGTGGCTGCAACGAATGGTTCCATATGCTATGCGTTGGTTTGGTGAAAAGCCAAATGAAACCGGATGATGAATTCATTTGTAAAAAATGTAAGAGTAAAAAGACAAATCCTGCCACCCCAAATAGTTCAAATGTAAGCAGTGCAACAAAAAAGCTAAAATCACAAGGACTGAATGGAAACAGTAGTGGGACGATAGCAGCAAATGGTAATGGTACAACTGGCGCTAAAAAGCGATTAACACGATCAAAAGAGGATAGCAATAATCGTGAAAAATCAACCGTTACAAATACAAATGAAAATTCGGTGGATAATTCAAAAGAGAATGAGCCCAGACCAAATAATAGCACTAAAAGTGACAAAAGCGATAGTCAATCGATAAGCACATCACGACCAAAGGTAACCGAAAAAACAAACTAAACGAGATAATCGATATAACAATCACATCAAATGACATCGAATATGTATGATTCAACACTGATGGAATCATTGAGAATTTTAGGTGAAGAAAACTAAAAAAGGTGTACTAGGGAAAATGGGCAATGAATCGACCAAAATTACACATGCAAATAGAAAGAAAAAAAAAGAAAAATTCAAAACAAAGAGAGGAAGAGACAGAGAATGAGAAAGAGAGAGAGAGAGAGAGAGAGAGAGAGAGCAAAGAAAAACAAAACTATTTATTACATGAAATAATATGTGCCTGTTGCTGCTTAGTCAAAATGGACAGTGAGCTATATAGCTCATCGTATAATATTTCAATAGTTGAACGTTCTCGTCGCCGTCGTAATCATCAATCATTTTCATCATTATCATCGTCACATGAGTGATGAGGCCAGGCAAACAAAACAAAATTACTTACTAGAATTTGTAGAACATTGAAAATTTACAATTGTAAAAAAACTTTCATAGCAAATTTGTTTAGCTTTTTATTGTACGAAGAAAAAAAAATTGCAGAATAGTATCAAGATGAACAGACATCAAAAAAATGAACACAAGACAAAATTTCACATATTTAATTTAAATAGAAATCAAAGAATTTTACACAACCTATATATATAAATATATGTACACATTATACAAACACACTCACACACTCATACAACAACACCCCACTATAGATTAATTTTGGAGAAGAAAAAAAATAGTGTGTGCGAGAGATACAGAGGATGTAATATGGGGAGAGATCGAATTTACATTAAGACAACAAAGCCGAGAGAAATCATTTATTGGACATTTCAAAGAAATATATCCCAAAAAGCGTATATGAAAAGGGGAAGTGATTCTTTAAACAATTGTATTATAAGAAAGGAGATGCCTTGTAGGCTTATCACACAATCGGACTATAACGTTCTAGCAATTTTTTTTTGTTTTTGTTTTTAAGAAAATGAATTCTGAATGAGCAAAGAGATTCTTTTATCCTTTATTCAAAACATCATTACGCTCAACTTCTTGGTGACATTTTCACTATACATTCATTTGAATAGATATGGCAAATGTGTACGCATCCATATTGTTCGTTAGAATTGTATTTTTTATCACACTTTTACTCCAAAACCAATTTTTTTTTAAACAGACAAATTAACTGTCTTCTAGGGAGAATAAAAAAATCTCACGACGCTCTAAGAATTGTTCACGTAAAAATCAAACGATGTAAGAGAATAGCGGCGACACGAAATTATTTTTTTAGAAATGAATGAAAATATAAAGTATGTGAAATTAACAAAAGAAATTGGTAATTTTGCAAAGAAATAACAAATTGACAAATTATATAAAATTAATAACGCCCAATAGGTGTGTTTAGTAAGAGGAAAAAAAAAGAAATCAATACCCCATTTGTATATAATTCGATACGAATAATTTTTCATTTGTCTATCATTTTGCTCCCCATTATTCGATTTATTGTGATTTGTTTTGTAACCTTTTTTTTTCTCGTAGCTTTTTTCCTACATATTTCTATTTTATTTTATTTTTCCGTGTTCGCTGAGGTTGGTGACGAGTATCGAATGATACATATTCAAAACAAAAAGAATAAATAAATAATTCTCAAACACACACATATACACATTTACACATCTCACAGAGACAAATGCAGCAGAATACACAGTCCCCCCCCCATACAACAAACAAACACTAGCATTATATATAGAAATTATTTAAAACGAATGAAGTATTTTATGTATATTTTAAGGGAAGATTCATAACTTATGTATAATAAAATGATGGAAATAAATTTCAACAACAACAAAAAATTTATCCTGATGACATTTTTCTTTAGCACTTTTTTTGGCATATTTGAACAATTTAGGCATGAGTTCAATTTAGTGAAGGTAGTTTATCAACATCAGTCTCTTTTCAATAAATGCGTGGATGAAGATTTCACGAAAAAAAAACCGAACGAATGCTTATAAATCAGAAATTCCTTTTGATAAATCATTCGGGAAATATTTCTGGTTCTTGAATGCATGCATAGATTTGAAGTTACCTATCCTACTTTTATGTATACTATTTTCCGCATACCATTTTTTTTTAATTCAACATATATTTCTGGGTTATATTAAATGATATAAAAGATTAAGTGAAAAATATGTATTATTCAGACATTTGGAATGAGAGATTTATTCCAGTTCAAATCTGGAAAATTCAATCAATTAAAACAATTATTCAAAATTCTTTTTTGAAACCTATGATTTGAAAATCGATACATATTGACATGTTCGAAAAAGAATCAATGTTCCCCAACGTTACCGTCGATTCTGTTCACTTTGCTTTGTCGTGTATATTTAAAAAAAAGTTAAAAAAGCCGCTTTCAAAAAAAAAGTCTACGCTAATAAAAGGACAAAAAATCTACACAAACACGTACTTTAACCTATACACACCAAAAATAAATCAATAATTTATGATAATGCATTGATTCATATTTCTATTGAATATATCGAGAAGAGAGTATGTAATTCAGTAATGTCTGAATAAAAACATACTCTCCTCTCGATATTTTCAATAGATTTTATTATTTTCGGTGATGGCACCAAATCAAATCATTATAAATTAAAAATGTAAATATATTCTGTTCGGTAATTCAAAGCGATGATATTTTTGTTCAGCGCCATCTATGTGTCAATTGAAAAAGTGGAATTCTTCATACTTTTCTCAAGTAAAATATAAATTAAGCAAATTAATTAAATAAAAAGATGTTTAAAATATAATCTCGATTGAAAAGAAATTAAAAGTGTGCTTCAAATGAATAAGCTATAAATTACCGTGCTTATGATTGAGTATTTAGTGTAGATTTTTACACATCGTTGCAACACTGAATTGATTACCGCTGTCGAAATGTCATGCGATTGTATAAGCGAAGACGCATTTAAGTACACATATCTTCGATACAAATGCAATGGAGAGAATCATTACAATAGAACGCGCCGCTGTACGCAGACATATTTATTTTATTAGGTTTTTTATATTATTGTAGTATTTTCAGCATACAAAACGAGAGACAAACTATATACACGGAAATAGGGCGAACATTTTAAATTGCCATACAAATTAAGTAACATTTAAAGAACAGTGTGCTAATATTAAATAGAAGTAGTTAGTTTATTTAATTGGGCGATAGTTCCGAAAAATTGAAAAGCAAAAGTGAACAGAAAGAGAGAGAGTGAGAGAGAGAGAGAGAGAGAGAGTGTGTGCAAGAAAACGAACGACCGACAGAAAAAAGAAGAAGAAGAAATACGGCAACGATTTGACATATTAAAAGTAGAAGAGAATAGAGAAAAAACATACGCTCACAAAGGAGAGTGCCTATCCGATTTAAACATTTTTTGTGTGGTCAATCGGTTTGAAATAAACGCTACAAACACGGCAGGAAAAAAACACATCAAGTCAGAGAAAACAGAACGGCGAAAAACCGAAGATTCTGACAACATGGCCGAGTACGAGGGAAACGGTGATTTTAATTATAGTGGCGATGGATCAAGTGATTTTAAGAGGCGTGACAACAATGCGACCACATCGAATAAATCGGATGATGAGGCGGAAGAGAATGTCCAATTGCCCGAAAAAGTCAATGAATACATTCGTGAATTACTCAATGAAAAGATGAGTATGGACCATAAATATCCACATGCTGAAAAACTACTCGAAGCTGGTTAGTTACATTCATTTCTCTTCTCGTTTCTGGCAAATCAATCAATTGTAATCAGTGTTTTGTTCAGATAACGAAATTCTATCTAGCAAAATAATAGATGATTTCGTCATTTGGATAACAAACAGCTAATATATATTTTAAAATATCTTATGAGATAATTAATAAATGCAAAACATAAACATTTGTAATTGGCCGTGTGATAGTTGCAAGAACTTGTGACATTATGACATTTCGACAAATTGATTGATTCAATTCTTTCTTATTATTATCATTATTAATGGGCAATTTTCAATCATTTCCATTAGAAATTGCGAAGGTCCAACAAAGCGGTCGGATTCCACAACGTGATCAAAAGTATGTAGATATTTACCGCGAAAAGCAGATTCGAGTCACTGTTAAGGTTCTAGTACCGGTGAAGGAACATCCTAAAGTAAGTGTATGAATCGCTTGCAGTTTTTCTTGCAAAAATTTCACACTTTTATTTCAAATCAAACCTATTCAACTGGTTTTTATTTGGTAGTTCTCACGATGTACATTTTTTTTAATTATGATTCTTTGCTCGCCCTTTTTATTCAATGTTCCGTCGTTTGTGTAATGCTATTCGTATGCAAATGAAATCCCATTCACATTGAACCAGTTCAATTTTGTTGGCAAGTTACTTGGTCCAAAAGGTAATTCAATGAAAAGACTGCAAGAAGAGACAATGTGTAAAATGGCTGTATTGGGTCGAGGATCGATGAAGGATCGCAAAAAGGTATGTCATTTAGCCATTTATGATTCATGAATAAGTCGTATGGTATCGAAATTGCATGTGTATGTCAACATCAACCAAACTATGGAACATATGCATATGATGACCACAATTGGACACATAAATTTTATGGTCAAATAAAAATGCATACCATGACACATATACATATTCAATTGCAAAGTAAATGGATTTATTTGATTTTTTTATTTTTGAATAATGATAGGAGGAAGATTTACGGGCTGCCTTAGATCCAAAATATGCTCATTTGAATGATGATTTACATGTAGAGATTTCCGCATTGGCACCACCAGCCGAAGCGCATGCACGGGTTGCATACGCATTGGCCGAAGTGCGAAAATATTTAATACCCGATAGCAATGATGTCATTCGTCAAGAGCAATTGCGTGAATTAATTGCCGATGGAACAATTCCATCAGATGCCGATGATCCAGCTAAATATAAACCACGTGTACCACATATAGCTCGTAACGCATATCCAAGCAGCAGGTAATTTATCTTTTCTCAGTGTGTGTGTGTGTGTTTCGTTAAAAACATTTCAATTGCATCTAAAATTTAACAAAACAAAATCCAACCATCAGAGTTTCAGCAACGACACGTTCACCAGTACCGGCTGGTTCATCGCGTACCGTAATGCCCGCCAAACAGAAAATTTTATCAATATTGGATCGGGCCCGAACCGCTATGGAAGAAACGTATCCAACTTATGAAGATACAATTTATGAGGGTGCGCCGGCCGGTCACTATGATAATTATTCATATGGTCAACATGCACACACATCAGCACCGCGAACGGCACGCTACGAAACGCATGCGGCCGACTACGATGCTGAATATCGACGGGAATACTATCGTGAACCACCAGCTTATGCAGGTAAGCATATACCACCACCCAAAAAAGCTAGACACGATGTCAGTAATTATGATCATTATTACTATTATTGACATTGAGTTCAAACACATTCAAGTTTAAAAACAAACAAACAATCCATTACTTTTGATTGAAAATACAACACCGAAGTTTTGTTTTTGTTGCGACAAAACAAAAAGCAAACCAATTCACGAAATTATAATAAATATACAATTTTGGCTGAGAAGCTAAACATATAAATTCCAACTCCAACGTATCATATTTAAAATAAAAAGAAAATTTTAATTCAAACATACAAGAAATTGTACAAGTACACCATTAAATATATACATTGTATTCGAAATAAAAACAAAAACCGTATTTCAAATGGCCGCCATAACAGACAAATAAAGATCGAACTAAATAAACAACGGTTAGTGCAACTCACATCGGCATTAATTTTTTTTATTTGGTTTTTCATTATTTTCAAAAAGTAATTAAAAGGAAATTTAATGCATATCACAATGTTGCAACAATAAACAAATAAAATATGGTCGAATTAAACTTTAAGCTGTAAATATATAATTTACATGTAGACCGATGGGAAAAGATCTATTATTTTTGCTTTATGTCAGAAAACTATGTTAAACCATGCAGCTAGACATACACTAAACAAATTTTTTTACGTCTATCATAACAGCCCTCCCACTCGCGAAATCTGCACTATTATTCGCGGATAGAAAATACATCAACTATTGAAGCGAGCTGCATGTTTGTTTTATTTTGGAATATGTTTTGTTATTGCTCAAATATTCGTTGGTTAAAATTTCTTCATGTAATTCCGTGTTGTTTACAAAATCTGCACTAATTAATTATGTAAAAAAAACTATCAATTATTTTTTCTGCTTTACGTCTGAAATTTTAAACGTCGATTCTTCATCATAAAATAACACTAAATTTTAAATATCTGCACGTAAAAATGTGTATTTATTTTTTTCTGTGAAAACAAAAATTCAGTTTCTTGTATATGAAAAACTCACTACATGACACATTGAACGCACCCATAATTGGGGGACATTTGAGCTGTCAAACGACTCATATGTGTGATTTCCATATATACGAACATGAATTTTTGTTTTCACAGAAAAAAATAAATACACATTTTTACGTGCAGATATTTATAATTTAGTGTTATTTTATGATAAAGAATCGACGTTTAAAATTTCAGACGTAAAGCAGAAAAAAATAAATAACAAATATTTGAGCAATAACAAAACATATTCCAAAATAAAACAAACATGCAGCTCGCTTTAATAGTTGATGTATTTTCTATCCGCGAATAATAGTGCAGATTTCGCGAGTGGGAGGGCTGTTATGATAGACGTAAAATTATTTGTTTAGTGTATGTCTAGCTGCATGGTTTAATATAGTTTTCTAACATAAAGCAAAAATAATGGATCTTTTCCCATCAGCTCTCGGACTAATGTCACATAAAATATTTAAACAAAAAAAAAATTAGAAATAAACACTCATGTGTTCTAAGCATTACTGCGTATCGCTTGTTTGGAGATAACATTTAAATTGAATGAAAAAAAAAACTTTAAAAATAAACCTCATTCCTATGAATTCGGTGCAAAAAAGCGTGATAGGCTAAAATAAAATCACTTTATAATAATGAAAGAAAAAAATTAATCATTTTTTTTTTAATTTTTATCGAATAATCTCCTATTTGTTCCCTCGGTCATTGTCTCATTCTGGCTTGGAGTAAAATCAAAACTGAATCATTTGTATACCTCGGCTTTGCATCAAAGTGTCGCAGCATGAAGTGACATTGCAATCGAATCAATTGAATGTAGACTTACATGTGGGTTATTCACTCATCGGCTGATCACCGATTTATCTGAATTAATTGAACAACAGAAACCAGAAAGATAAGAATTCTTATCTCAAGGCCCTATGCTCCACTAGGAGTTAAAGGAAATAAAAAAAAAATCACTCATGTGAGTTTTCTCACCGGATTTTTTCATGTTACGACACTTAAATGCATCACATTGCTTCTTTACATCCTTCACAGAAACAAATATTCGAGTACGCTTACTCGCACTTGCGGTGTTAGCAGAGAGTCTACCCCTCAAAATGAGTTACGCGCTGTATTTTACTCTATTTTTTTTGTTAATTTCATCCAAGTGAACGCATCGTAGTGAAAGAAGAGATACATGTGTAGTCATATGTACGTTGAACGCATGCGGCTATTACTACACATGTATTTCTTCTTTCACTATGATGTTGTTCACTTGGATAAAATTAATACCAAAAATAGAGTAAAATAGAGTGCGTAACTCATTTTGAAGGGTAGGCTCTCTGCTAACACCGCAAGTGCGAGTAACCGTACTCGAATATTTGTTTCTGTCTTCCTTAGTGCAATTACAAATCAAAAAATTATTTATTGTTTTCAAATGAGTAAAACTTATGATTTTTAAACAATGCAGCATCAAGACGAACATATAAGCAAAGGCATCATTAAAACGTGCTCAAAATATACCAATCACTAACAATCGTCATTCAAACAAAAAACTCTTCAAAACTCATGCCAACTCAAACGATAAAAGAACTGTTTCAAAATGAAAAAAACCATGTTCATCGATCCCGATTCTGTAAAGCGTTCAACCGTATCTGTCGGCCTTGTGAATGTTTCACCTCTTCGTCACCAACTGAATATTGGAATATTTCCAAAAACACGAAATCACGAAATGACACAAAAGCCAAAAATTGATTTTATTAATTATGTTATATTAATTTGATACAAATTATTTTATTGCAAAAATGATTAAAAACAAAATTTATTTTCAAAATCATTGAGCAGTCGTTTTTTTTTTTGTTATGCCAATTTTTCCATATTTTTGTGTTCAATTCTGTCCACACGCCCCTCAATTTCGTCTACTTTCCTAAACCGAATTTATTTTCCCGTTTACTGAAAATAAATATCAAATAGTTTTTTCTCTTTACAAAAAAAGCACATTTGCTTGATTCGTCCAGGATTTTAGTGCTTCAACGGAGAGCAATTGAGAGAAAAGTTTTTCAACCACTTAATCATCGTTGATAATTTGGTTCACAAACTTTTTTTCATTTTACTCCGTCTAGTATTCTGCTTGTTAGAGGAAAAAATTCGATAAACATTTAAAAAAATGATTTCTAATCAGAGTTTCGTTCTTTGTTCGCCATCAAATCTAAAATCACAACCATCTAATTCGAAACTATTTGAAAAAGTTCGCTGTAAAATCACACAATTATTCGGTAAATGCGTTTAAAAAAACAAATGTATGAATGAAAAAAAAGTTACAAAAATCCCCATCAAACCGAAACCTATTTGAAAACCAAAACAATAATAACACAAGAGAAAACACAAACATAAAAATAAAAGACAATGTTGTAGTGAAATCAAATAATTCATTTAAATCAGCCCATCGTTCAGCGTGGAAATCCAGTAGCTATCACGGTAATGGTAGCTATTCATCATCCGGTCGTCATGAGCACGAGCATGTGTCATCGTCGTCAGCAAAGGCAGCCATACACAGTTCACATTCGCGTGAAAGTCGCTACAGAAATTCACCATACACGCGACCGAAAAACTAAAACCCACACTCAAAACGAAATACCATAAACAAAAATTTAACAAACAAAATGAAATCATTATCAACTCTACTTTACTCTCACGCTCATTGATTTGATATCGATGCAAGGATTCGCTGTGAACACATATTCGATATCAAAACAAAGTATAAAGTGAGAGTGACAACAATACCTAAAGAGAATAATCAATAGAAACCGGACAAAGCAGGATAAATCAAAAACTGCATAGTCTCGGTATAGCAAAACAACTAAACAAAAAATTGTTATCTAAAAAAACTACCTGCTGAGAACTGAAAACTGAGTCTGTTCTCTTTTGCCGATGGATTCGCACAAATGCAGTTTATTAGTTGATTCTAATAAAAACAAATATAAATTGATTATTATCTTTTAACTATTTTGATTTTTTTTTTTTATTTTTTTTTTTCGTTTTCATCTTCATCTTTTCTCTCTGCATAATAACATAAAAAAGCGAGTTGAATTGTATGGAAAATTATAAAATAAAGTTTAACAACAAAGGGAAAAAGAAATCAACAAATAAATAATCTGAAACGATTTTTTTTAATGAATGAATAACCAAATAAAATGGTGGCTATCTATATAAATGGAATTAAATACGAGTCAGTTGATAAAATTCATGTAAAAAAAAAAATGTTTGATTGTAAGTTGAAGATTTGAAATAAAATTGCAACAAATAAAAATACCTAATGTTAAAAATAAACAACATCAAATTCTGAAGATGCTGAAAACCTTGCCGATCACGGCGAACTTCAGATTCAGACCAACCAACGAAGGAACAGAATAAAAAAAACTCAACACATTTAACAACAACTTAAACAAAGCTGAAATCTAAAAAAAAGAAGAAACAAAAAAATTCCTTGGAAAACAAAATTAAATAACTAATATCCTTGTTGTGAAATAAGTGCTTATTTATTCATAATAATAATAATTATAACTACAATATTTTCCATTATAATCCATAGTTTTGATGTAAAACACGAGAATAATCAATTTTATTATCAATAAATAATAAAATACAGTTTTAAAAAAATGGACAAATTACAATTAAATGTAAAAAAAATTACAATAAAATGTGAAACAAAAAAATCTAATGGTTAAATATGTAATTTGGCCCTTTGGATCGATTCCAAATTTGTCCCACCTCAAAAAAGAGGACTCTCTATATTTTTCAGTTTAAATCTATAAAAAAAAACTATTCTCTCCGAATCCGATTCAATTCAATTCAATGATTGGTGTATTAAAAATGTGGAATTTTCAATGGGAATCGTCTCTAAGGGCCTGCTTAGACTTAAGGAGACAGTAAACCACATAAACCAACAACACCAACAATATTTTGCGAAATTGCCAATAAAAAAAATATGTTCGACAATTTCGCCTTATATTCTAGTCATCGCTTTTTGTAGGAACATCCATCATTCGCCAAATTCGTAAAGTGCAAAACAAAACAAAACAAAAGAACAATTCATTTAAATGTTTTTTTTTTTGTATGTATTTAGATTCGAATGAATGATGATTCGATGTGCAAGCAAAAGAAAACTAATATAAATTTAAACACATACAGATACATAAAGCTCCAAAGCAAATCATAAACAAATAATTCAAATAAAACAAAAAAATATTAGAAATCAGACAAATTTATGTATGCAGAACGAAATACAAAATGTCATATAAAAATGAAACAATTACTTGATTTAAACTATATCTGAAGATAATTTTTAAATTAAAATAAAGCGCCACTCGTCAACCATAATAATCAAAAAACAACACAGCAAACAAAAATGATGATGAATAACCAAACCGTAATAACTATAATAACCTACTTAAAAAAATTGTATTTGTGTGAACGAAAGGCAACCAATATAATGAATATATATTCAATAATAAAAACAAACAAAAAAAAAGTTGAAAATATTCAATAAAAAAAAATAAACAACAAACCAAATTCCAAAATAGTTTTCTTTGCTTTCTTTTTATTTTTGCGAAAAAATGTTTATACGTGCGTTCGTTGTAAAATGCAAATTTCAATCAAAACAAAAACGATTTCACAAACAATCAATCAAAAAAGCGTCAAAGTCCTTCGAAAATAGTGCGTAATCCAAAGGTAACTTATATATGTTCAATATAAATCAGCAATAAAATAATATTTTAAAATTAAATGATAATCAATTTTATCGCGTTAACAAGAAAATTCACTTTAATAATGATACTTTTCAGTATTGATCTCAAGGAGTAAACTACGACAGCACTTCTTATATTCCAATTTAGTATCCAAAAAAACTATTTCGTGGCTAGCATACCATCAGTGTTCTGTACAAAAAAAATCACACAGATTGGAGAATTTTTTTTGAAATCGCAGAGTTGTAGTCAGAGACTGTTTCTCTGAGGAGGAGGAATGGTGAGGAGGAAAACACTGAGTGTCCGCCTCCTCAATTGGAAAAAAATTAAACCTCTTTCAACGCGTTCATCCATTTCATTTTTCTCCACAATATTCCTCCTCAGAAGAACCGTTGTAGTTGGTTGTAGTCGAGTGCGTCTTGATTGATCATTCTACATAAAAAAAAACAGCTAAAAATTCAACACTGAAATACACTCGCCAGCAACATTTAGTAAATCGAACGATGAATCGACGGACGGAAAGCTGTTTGAAATTACTCGAACAACTATATTTTATACGTTCCTTTAATGTTTCGGTTTTGATTGTTTTTTTTCTTATTTTTCTTATTACGCAGGTAGCAATGTTAAAAATTGGAAGTAGTGATAGCATATCATGTCCAACTGGAGGGCGCCAAATATGTTGACGATATATTTGTGACCACTTTGAAGACGTTCGAAAGACTCACGGCAATTTAAACGGATTAAAATGGGATCTAAATATAAATAACAAAACAAAAAAATAAGAATGAACGAAAGCGCAAATAGCATTGAATCGAATTGCCTATGCATGAGTTATATAATTTTATTATTTTTTTAATGCACATACACGCAGAAAAATGAATATAACCAAGTACTTTTTAATCATGTATGAAAAATGTCTTCAAACAGACGTTGGATTTATGGAAGCATCGAGCCTTCGCTGACTTTTTGTGTAAGAAAACCACTTGACTTTCTGAATGCTGGGTTAATTAATAATTTCCTTTGATTCATTTAATAATTTCAGATTGAAATGCCCTATTCGTATTGAGACTGTAGCATTTTTGCCGAATACGGCTATGATTGGACTGAAATGAAAGAAATTTTTTAATTGGGGTTTGATTGGAATTAGGTGCTAAATAGCGTTTATATTCGCTATACAAAAAACAAGAAATTCGTTAAAATTTGGAACTAAGTTTAAATCATCGTGTTTTTTTTTTTTGAAACCCTGATACCGTCGAAAAACGGCAAATGAAATATATAAACGCATTGAAACAATGCAAAAAAGATAAAAACATACATTTTGTGAACAGAACAAACAAAAATGAGATAGCATGAACTGTGATATAATTGTTATAAACAGACAACCAATACAATACGAGAACGAATGACACACATACATCACAATAAAAATTGCACTAGGTGACAATGAAACACGGTTGTGTCCATGGTAAAAATATGTTGATTTTTTACAATTTCTTTTTTTTTAGAGAGAGAAAACATACGAACAAATAAAAACGAAACAATTTTTTTAAAAGTAAAACTTAAATTCAAGAATCGGCTATATTTAAATATATTTTTTTTTACAAAAAAATTGGAATTGGAAATTCGAAAACTATTCTTCTTCCAGAATTAAAAAAAGAGAATAAAATGAAAAAAATAAACGTTAAAAGAAGCAAAAATGATTTCCTTTAAAGAAATTCGAATATTCCTTTGAATACAATAAATGCACAATTCAGGTTTCAATAGCGACTGATGTAGAACCTCAATATTTTTTACTGGATCATTTTGATCAATGATGATTCTTATAAAAGCATGTAGTAAAACAAAACGCAAACAATAACAACAATCGTTATGCACTGCAGAAGAAAAAAAAACGAGAGTTAATTTGCAAAATCAATTTAACCAATTCCCGCCAATATTTTCCGCTTCAAATTCTAACCATAAGCAAAACATTTCATGGTCTTTCGTTGGAAATGCATTCTTCAAACAGAATCTTATCATTTTCACTCAAAAGAATCTAACGCTGAATACCAAATATGATATAATATATGAACTAATCCGGACCATAAAAAACTGTTTCGCATGCAATTTATTCATTCAGACGGCAAACAATTACTTAATCTTAATTTGGGATTCCTTTTCGGTGCATTTTTTGTTATGTACTCCACATCTTACCGATCTCATTGAAAAATGAGTAATTTTTATGAATACATCTCATCGAACATATGAAACGGTTTTTTACGGTCCAACATAACAATATAACTGTAACAATTATAACAACAACAATAATAATTATAATAACAATAATAAAATAATTTAAAAATAATCGAGAAATTACACACGCATATTTAAAAAAAGGAGAGCCAACGAGATAAGGCAACAAAGAATATTGATGATAAGCTTGGCTTTCACCAAAAATCGGACTGACACCAAATTAATGCTTGGATTGAATGGCCGATGAAAAACAATGCATGCGATAATATATAATTAATAATAAAACAACGATGTAATATCCAAATAATTTGAAAGAAAAAAAGAATAAATCAACCAAACCATTCTACGAGTAATGTCAAACGGTCTTTGATTTTATTTTCATGCCATTGCAAAATATTGTCAGATTACCTAGAAAGGTATGTATTGTTTAGACGTTTCTGATTATCTATATGGAATATAATGAAGAAGAACATTGGTGTTGACGCCCAGAATTCTGAAGAAGGGTGACGATAAAAGCAAAATGTATCCAGTATAAAAAAGTTAAAATGTGAGTTTTCAATTCTACTCAGAAATGCATCTTTGATGCAGAACAAGAAGTCCACAACAACATGTGTTTTTATCTATCTTCATAAACTCTTTGAATCGAAAGGTATTATTTATATTTAAAAAAATGCAAATTTTGATCCATATGATAAATTAGTGATTTTATTCATCTTAATTTCTACAATCTTAATGCACAATTACACGCGTTTCGTCTATTGGCTGTGGTTAATATTACTTTATTTCGTTTTTTTTATTTATTTATTTATTTTCATTTAAATGTGCTAAAGGAGAGAAAGCGATGTTTGATTTGTGCCCACGGAGCCAAGACGAGAGAAAAAAGTGTTCCGTGTTGCTCTCTTCAAATCGTAAAATAGCATATAGTTCAAATAAATGTTGGATTGTGTGTATAAATTTCATTTGTTTCAAATAAAAAAAGAAAAGAAAATTAATCGCTTGGATTTTGAATGACAATGAGTATGAAATCCTTATCAGGCGCAACCATAATCTCGTGCTTTTTGGAACGAACCCGCAAAAAGGTGAGATCATTGCCTGGGTCTAGATCACGTACAACGCTTCTTGCTTTGTCCGACAATTGGCTCATCAAACCGGCATATTGCACTGTTGTAGAATTGTCCAATGTACTTTTGACTGGAATGCCTGCAAATCAAAAATTAAAAAAACAACACAGCCGTATTGAACTTTAGCATTTTTTTCGATGAGATCAGCGCAGGTTTCTATGGCACCATATATTCATTTAATCAATAACATTGTTTTATAGCACAACATACAATCGATCGATAAGAATATTGTGACTATTGATTTTGGCACAATATTCAATAATAATTCATGATAAAGTCATTTTAGATATTTTTATTATACCTTCACTGTTGACAACAATTGTTCCAACAACGCCTTTGTGCGATGCTATTCTCTTCAGGGTTTCTTCTACTTCTTGTGACTGAAATTGAAATTTGTTTTATTTTCGTGTCACAATTCAATGTGAGATGCACATTGCAAAAACTCTTACCATTTTGAGCTAGATAAATTTAATCAAGAGATTGAATAATTGTCGGTGTTTCTTTTTTCTTTCTATCTTTCTCAGCTACAAATACAATGGATTACTACGTTTTCTCACCCAAACTTTGCTCACATACACGAAAGATGTTTTGAGTCAACAGTAATATGACACTTTCGATAGAAACGATGGCCACTGTCAAAAATTCACATTCCAATTTGATGAACAACACACATAGCGTGCGAACAGCGTGAAGTTGGCCACAAGCAACAAATGCAATGCATTCAAACCGACGAAAATATTTAAATCAATGGGGATCAAATATCGATTGATGTTTTTTTATGGGAATTTAAAAAAAATTGAATAAAAAAAGTATCTCAAAAGATTTAATTTAGAAATTCAAACTGTTTTTTTTTTTCAATCATAAAAAAATATTTCGAAAATGTTTACTTTTGACATTTACAATCAATACAATTTGTGCAAACAAGCTATAGCAATCAAATATAGTTTGGCATTCGAGCACATAATTTGGCATTTAAATAATTCATATACGAAAATGACTTTCTTTTGCATTTTGGTTTGTTATCGAATTATTTCCATTTCATTTCCCGTCGTCTCTTTCGATTGCATTTAAAAACCTGTCGCCGTTTTATTCATATCTCCTTCATTTTTCCTGTAAATTGTCGATGTATGCGATTTCTTACATTGAATATTTTCACCGTATTCATTCGCATTCTCATGTTGAATACTTCTCATTCATAGTATCGTTGCTTGCCATCGGTTTGAATTTGTAGTTTGTTCACTCACACTCTATCCTCTTAGTTCGATACCAACCGTATTTTCTCTGTCACTCCGTTTGACATGTGTGTAAGAAAGAAAAACGAAAGACAACCATAACAAGCGTCACTTTGTGTTGGTATAATCACTGACATTCTCACGTATGAAGCGTGTAGATTTACGTGTGTTGTTATTTTCTATTACAAAAAAAGACTTGCAAATTAAAAAAAAAAAAACGAGAAGAGCAAAAAAAAAGAAGAGCAGAATCGACAGAAAATTCAAAACTATACGACACAAATGACGACGTAAAATTTAGCAGTTTTGCAATAAAATAAAGTTTATTTTGGTTGTTGTACGGAAAAATTGTGTGGAATTTGTGTATACTTGTGAGGTTCCCATTCCATTTGGATGGGTCAAGTGAAAATTACTCGAGAGAAAGAAATTCAGTGCAGTTCCACGCAGAAATATCCAAAATAAATTTGTTGTGGAGTGTAGTGTGGTATTTTTTTTCATTTGCAAAGTGTCTACTTTTTTTCGTCGTGTTTTATGAGCGAATACCGAGAGAGATTTTCGTGTAAAGTGTGACAAAAACCAAATTTTTTTTTATCGTAAAAAGATATAAATCATTGTGATTAATTTTGTTTGAAACGGTTGCGCGCTTTCATTACACTTGTTAGTTTTGAGCCAATTAAGAAAGATTGTGAGTGATATTTGTTGTTGTTATTATGATGGATTTCATTGTGTGCACTGCATGATGGTCATTCACAAGTTGTTCGCGTATGCTATTCGATGAGCCTATTGAACGGGAGAGTGTCAGTACGCGTTTGTGCTCTCCACAAAGCGTTCGGTCAGCATTATAACTCTCTGTTGCACATTTCTTCCAGCTAACACGATAACTCAATCAATCGGATGAAATATTCTCGGAAAATTGCCCAATCTTGCCCAAACAAAGCAAAAAGTCATTGAATCTGATAGTAGAACTACGTATTATACAAAATATAATTTATTATTTGGCCATCATCCCATGAAAAAAACAAAAACAAAAACGATACGCCAAGACTAAGCATAGAAAGTGATACAATTTTTGTCGAATTTATTTGTATTTATGACATATCATTCTGAAGCGCGTCAAATTCGAGATCAACACATGGAAACAATGAAATCGACTTAACAAGAGAGAATCGCAAAAATATTGATAAAACACGCCGTTATATAATCCTTTTGTTTGTTACGATTTTAATTTGAACAAATATTTATAATACAAAATCAAGTCGCAGAAGACGACAACTGAAAGAAAGAGAGAGAGAGAGAAACGTCATCCAGGATACAGAGGCGTGTATGGAAAGGTTAACATAAGTTCGATATCTTCGGAAAGTGCGCTGAATGTGATTTCATTTTGCGCCTGCTGCACTTGCAGAGTGCAATAGAATCGAACAATTTGTGTGTGCAGATGCTCACAATTTTCCCATTTTAGCACCGGGCATTTTCGGTAATTGCATTCGTCGTGTGAACAGAGAAGCGCATATCATCAAGCAAACGTCAACAATTTTACGGTGATTTTTCATGGAAATTATAGTTTTTAGAATCGAACTTAAATCGATCGTTCATTTATTAAAGTGTTTATCAACATCATCAATCATAGTTATAAAGAGCAATTTGGCAGTCACATAAAAACAAATTAAATTGATTGCATTGTCTCTGTGACAACGAATCGGCTCATTAAATTAATAGTTACTAGTGAGAGTTCAAGTACAAATCAAAAGAGCAAAGAAATGGAGTGATGTAGTGCCATTCACGCATAGAAAATTTGCAAAAGACCTTTGTATATTGAGAGAAAAAAAAAAACAACAACAACAACATATAATTCAGGAAAACGTGAAGTGAAAACCAATCGATATTATGTGTGTACGATTCTTTATTGCAAGCACGCCAATGAAATAAAATAAAACCAAACCGAACTAAATAATCCTAGATTGCAAACAGACACACACAAACAAATAAGAGTAACAATCAACTTATTGAATGAATGATTCATGTTCAACTCATGCAACAACACATCCAAAAAGCAATAGCAATGAAACAAAATAACATAATCATAGCCTAGATAAGTGAAACGAGAAGAAACAAAACAATTGCAAGTTAATACAAAAAAAACGAGCGAACAAAAAAAATAAAAGCAATTTTTGTTTGTTTCAACCGGGCAATACAACGTAAGCCCACGCCGGAAAAAGGAGAACTTATGATATAGTGAAGAGAAGAAGACGAGAAAGAGATAAAAACAACATACATCCCAATCGAAACAGATCAGCAAAATATCGTTTTCTTTAGAGAAAAAAAAAACATAACAAATTTACAAGCAATGGAAATGGAACAGCAACAAAATAATGAATTGGATCCAAGAATTCAGGTATTGAAGAAAAGCACTTGCTCACATACGTGGAAAAAACACACACGAAGAAACAAATGCCATGCAAACGCTTGGACTTTGATTAAATGTGCATTTTGTGTTTTATTTACATCGCTTTTTTCCTTGTATTCATTTTAGACAACTAATTCCCCTAACTAGCCATACAAGTTATGTGTGCATGCTGCATGCATATCATTTTGTTTTACAATTTGTTGGATTTTTTTATTTTTGTGCAAATGAGATGCAATTCATCCAACACTCAACAATGACCTGGCCGGCATATGCAATACAATAGCTCTTTGTTTCCCCATTTATATGATTCATTTCGTTGTTTATTCTTGTTCTCTTCGGCTCTCTGCCACTCTCTGTCACTCTCTACCGCTCTTACTCTTCATCTCACTTTTCAAACAAAACCAATTGATTGTGGTTTCCACTGTTACGGCTACTGCTTTTCATGTTGAGCGCTCGCTCAATCGCATCGTTTTACAGATTGCTCAAGTGAATTGAAAAATATTCGCTATACATACCATTGCATCCACAACAAAATACCGAGATGATGATTAGATTTCATTTGGCAATTAAATTGAATCAAATACATGCACAACTCTGTCAACCGTAAATTGTTGTGAATTCATTGTTACATTGTGGCTTCAATAAAAAATGAAAATTTATGTTTTGCACGAATCGTGATGGAAATCAAACAAAAATCAAATGTACTCCATGCGATGGATATATGTGCGTGGCACGCTAATAGAATGTGCAAATTTTTGGGTGTTAAAGGCACCCAAGGAAAGAGAAAAAAGGCAATTTCATTCGAAGTTGAGCTTCTTTGAGAAATGTGAGCGCGAGCGCATATTATTGTATTGAATTGTTTCTTTTTTTGTGTGGAAGATCAATGAGAACGACCACAAAAATTTGCGTAGGTAAATATAAAACACGAAAAAAAAACAGAAACTATATATGCTGGGGTTATATTTCGGAATTTCACCTCCTCTTATCGCAACAACAAAAAAAAGCATAGCTGCTGTTATCGACCTTTTTGTTTCGTTGTTCGCGCGCGCGGCATTTATTTCAATCGATATTATTAAATTGTTCGGCATATACATGTGCACGAAACAAACTCAAGGAGGTCAATTACCAATGCGAAATTCTCCATCACAAGCACTTTAATGTTGATCAAGCCTATTTTCTCTCTGTTTCACACGCTCTCTGGCACCTAAATGAATGTTATACGGTGTTGAGAGACGATGACGACGACGACGGAAACGGCGGCGGGTATTTGTTGGTTTCAATGTTCATTAATAATGACAACAAACATTACGTTTCAAATATAGTAGAGTATAGGCATTTTGTTTGTGTGTCTTTTCACTAATTTATGCAAATGAATGCACGTGTTTTTTTTCCTCCGTCGATTTGTGTGTTTTCATTGTTGTTGATAGACCATTTTGCATCGTCAATATGAAACAAATCTACACAAAGCAATTACTTTGCGTTCATAAAACAAAGAACAATTCGCATACATAAAATTATTTACGAGTATTGTGCTCATTCAGGCGGCTAACAATAAATTGACATAGAATATGGGGGAGAAAACCATTTACACTCATAAATAGTTTTTTGTTTCGTCCAATTTGTGTTTTTCAATTAAATGTGAAACAATACGGGCAATTTTCACATTGAATATCGGATCATAAATGATATTTTCATTATTATGTATAAGCATAACCATTTAAAAAATTCCGACGAAGAGAATTGACAACGATGAGCATTGCTTTTATTTTTAGAACATTACATGATTTTTTGTGCACGACCAATTTATTCTTGCTTATGCGCTAATATACCTGTATTCGTATGAGCGATTCTTTCTACTCATTTTTTTTCGTAGAAATTACTTGAAGGCACAACAAATGCGTCATTCGGTGTCTTCTGTTGATAAAATGTTTTGGCCGAAATCATAAAGATAAATCTTAATTGTTGTCATAAGAATAGCCAAGAATGGTCATTTCGTCACGAGCAACTTTTTAATTCACATTGTCCAGTTCATGTGAATGTTTTTAATTGGACAAACAAATTTGGGCAAGTGAAAAAAAAAACACATTTTTAAAAAAAAACTCGACAGAATGGATGGGAAAAATAAATTAGCATGTAAATAATAAGACACGATCGTTTCGTATGAAACTTTAAATTAGACACCGCAACGTTTTTTTCTTGGTTTCGTGTCATTTCTTTCACTTTGGACTGTTGCGTTTAAATGAAACATTCAAATTGTCACGTGATTTGTTCATTATAAGCAATTATTGGTGATTTATATTTATTTTTTCTTTATTTTTCTTCTTTTGTTTTCCATGCCATTTATATGCTGCACACGCGTTTGACCAAAACAAAAATAGATTGAATTGGAAAACTTGAATACAGCCACGGAAGAAATCAATCGATTGGAAATCGAATTAGAGGTTTGTACCATTTGTATAAGGCTATTTTCCAAACATATAATTAAAAGAGACAGTTGATATCAACTTTGCTGATAATTTACCAGAATTGTTCTGAATTCGGAATGAAAGGAAAACGAAGAAGTTCTAGAACACTTTCATTATATTTTGAATGGATTTCGGTGAAATACAATACAAATTTTAAACTGAGTCATTCTTCGCTTTTCTTTCATTTTCAAATCAACAAAACCGTCAAAATTAAGCTAAAAATATAAATTTTACAGCTGAAAAACCATTATTACCTCAATCAAAGTACTGTTTTTTCGTTTATTATTTGAATGAATGCTGTAATACCATGCAGTCATTGTGTTTTTCCATGAAAAATGACTCAACGAATATCATTGGGCACACTCCTTTGTTTTATCGCACACACAAACACACATACATTCACAATCGCATTTTATCCGTTTAAATTTTATAGGAAGCAAATTCAACATTTAACATATTATACAATGAATCAACGCGTCGTTTGAAATTGCTGATAAAAAAGTTGGGTAGTTGCATCGAAAAGTCACGGCCATATTATGAAAATTCGGAAAAAGCTCGTTTGGCGCGCATTGAATGTCAAGCTGCCGCAGCTGAATTTCGGCGTGCAAATGGTTTGTATAAAATGAATGAAATGTTTTTTTTATTGGCTAGATTGACTCATTTTTTGAACATTATTTATTTAATGAAACCATTTGATAGCCAAATTATAATTGTACATTTTAACATTTTGATACACGTCGAAGTTTTTTTTATTGTTTTTCTTTGCTTTACTTTGTATCAAAAGTTTGTGCTTGTTTTTGGTCAATGAAATGGGTCACTGTTTTTCATTCCATCTATCCTTCGGTATTAAAAACGTTTTATTTCATTGAATAGAAATACATGCGGCAGCCAAAGAAACAGTTGCACTTGCAGAAGAACGATTTATGACAAATTCGCACAATTGGCCATTTGACAATGCATGGCAGGAAATGTTGAATCATGCAACAAACAAGGTAAGAATGTCTCCCTTTTTATATGATTTCAATGATTATTAACAAATAAAATGGAATGCAGGTTGCCGAAGCAGAGAAGAAAAAGGCTGAAGCTCATGCAGAGCATCAACGGAAAGCGCATGTTTTCAATAAAATCGATTTAGAGGTGAGTACAACAAATGTTGAACCTAACGACGTTAAGATGAAAATGACATTTTTTTTTTTGCTTTCGATTTTAATTCCCAGACGCAACAAATTGAAGAGCGTCAACGGCGAAATATTCAAAAATCACGTCCATATTTTGAAGAAAAGCAATTGTGTCAAGAGCAGCTTGAGACTCAAAAAGAGCGCATCCATGAGCTTGAAATACAAATAAAAAGTACAAAAGCATCGTATGCGATGTCGTTGAAAAATTTAGAGAAAATCAGTGAAGAAATTCATCGAACGCGTGGCACCGATTTGAGTATAACACCGCCAGGACCAATGGGCGAACGTGAACCGGGCGTCGGTGCAACCGATGACGATGACTACGAAGATCCAAGCTCAAGTGATACGATTAAAGATGAAAACAGCAAAAATAAACTTAAGAATTTACCCATTGCCGATATCATGAATCAAATGGAAAATGATAATTCAATGGATGCAAAATCACTCGACACCAATTCCATATTCAGCGAGGATAAAGACGATGAAGATTATGCACAATCATTGGACGATACATTGAGCATGAAACGTGGCGGTATTTATGCTGATGGTGTCGGTTCAAGTAGCATGACAACAAATAGTCGCAACGAACCGGCCGATATAATATCGGCCGATTGTGATAATCACGATTTGAATTTGGAAGAACTTCGACAAAAAGTTAAAGTGCTGGCCGTTCGGCCAGTTGAAGGTGGCGATGGACAAACAAAAGACTGCTGGGAAAGTGAATTGAATGAAACGGTTAATAAATTGGATCGTTTGATGATGTTACAAGAAAATAACAAGTCCCGGAATGTGAATTCAAATCAAGGTCAGCATAAATTTTATTTTTCTTTATAAAAATCGATTCCGTTTTATTGCACACTGCTTTTTGCATTTTAAATTAGAATTTCTAATAGATACAGTATAATTATTGATAAATATCTATTTTCTGCTTCATTTTTTGATACAGGTGTTGTGCACAATTCTTCCGCATCGAAATTAACAGGTGGACTCGTCGACAAACCACCAAAACCAATAAAATATTCACAGGCAACTAATAATCATTTCTATACGCCAACACACACCGTATCATCATCGATGGCACGAGCCAATTGCGAATCTCACATTCAACCAGTCAATAACAGTCAAACCACAACACCAACAACAACAACAACAAGCAGTACAACAAAAGCATTTTTAAATAGTTCATTACAAGCGGTACAACAGAAAATGTTAGCATCCAGTCAAACATCAACATCGTCCGCGTCATCGATCACAAAAGAATTACCATTACTAAGTCGCATTTCGAATGAAATCTCTGCCAATACGGCCAATACAGTTAAAGTGCTAAAACGACGATTATCATTGAATTAGTATAGTTTTTATGTATGATGACAGGCTGAATGTGACGATTGCCACAATTGATCATTAGACGATTAGAAGCAATTATTTTTGATGTACTCTATTCGGATTACAAAGGCGTTCAAGCCAGTAATGTTTTAATGGCGTTTATAGACTGTTATTTGACGAAAACGAAAAAAAAAAATATTTCAATTCGGGGATTTGGAATTAAAACCACGACCGTAACTAAAAGATCTGATTAAAAGTGTGCATACGCTATAATCAAATTATTATCACAAAAGAGAATATTGGGCAAAAAAAAATCAAGCAAAATTATCATAGATAAGTGTCTTGAACGAAAAGATTACATTTTTTTTAGAAAGTCACCCACAAAAATGGGGTACACAAAATGCAAAAACAATTTTACCGAGTTCAAGCAGCATAATACATTTTAACCAAAATTGTTAGATTTATTATCAACGAATTTTATCACCGAAAATGGAAAATCTACTTATACAAAATATAAATTTATTAGAGGATTTGTTGATATTATTCAGATGTGTGATTGAAACTGGAAAGAATTGTCTATTTTTGTTCCATTTCTCTCCGTTCTATTTTTTAATGTGCAAACAACACAAATAACAACAAAGACTTATTTTCGTATGTAAATATTTTATGGGATTAAAAACATTGTCACATTTTGTTTTAGTTTCGATTAATATCGACTTGGTTTGGTCAAAAGAGCAATAAAATTGCAATAAAACCGATGATATTTTGCGATGTGTCCTCAGTTCACCATTGATTTCGAAATTTTAATGTTGAAATCAATCGATTTTAATTTTTGTTTTGGAATATTTATTTGAAGATTGAAAAAACGGATAGTCAATATTGCTCACATCTTTCAGTAGAAAACAAAGTTGAACTATTTATTTGGATCAAACGAAGGAGTTTACGTCACAGACAAATCTCACCGGTGTGCATACATAAATTGAACTACCATAAAAAATACTGCAACTGATGAGAGCTATGTATTTTGTCTTTATTGCCTTAAGTTTTAAACTAACCGATAAAATCTTTGTTAAGAATTTTAGCAAGAGCTTTTGTTTTAAAGAGACAGCATTTATCGATTACATTTATGCATTAGATTTGCAAATGTTCATGACAAATATGCACTAAACAATTTATTGTTAGATTAACTAATAAATAAATATCTAGTAAATCCACAATGATTTAAAAACAAAAGTGTGTCTTTTTTGTTTCATTCAAAAGACATTTGTTTGTAAATTCCGATTGGCTCAAAGAAAATATAATACAACGGATGATATTCTAGGTAAAATAAAGGTAAAACAAAGTTAATTCATCGATATTTAATTTGAATTGTCATGTGGTGTCGGAGAATATTAGCGCATATTTAAATGTAGGAAATACATTGCATATCAATATGTGTGTTTTTTTCTACTTCGATGATTGCATACTCGGCTACTGCAGAGATCTAACAAACGCATTCGGGGAAACCATCTATTCAAATCGGACAGTCGACTGTTTATTGTATAATGATAAAAGTAAACGGCTTCAGATTTTTTAAACGGTTTTCGTAATTCGGTCATTGATTCTCCATGTAAAACTTCACTAGTTTACTCTCCGTAAATAGAACAATAAGTGCGCAAAAAATTACTCTTTCTGAAAAATATAAAATATTGCTCCAAAAAATCGTCAATTTGTATGAAATTGTATGACATTTTTTTGCTTGGTCTCAAACTTTCTGACGGCACTGTAGGCCGATTAAATACTATTTGCATCACATAATCATCATCGATAATCAATGACGAACCGAATTTTTATGCAAGAAATTCAAACACTTGTTTTTTTTTGTTTACCCAAATTCACAGGTCCAATCAAAGAAGAAAATTTGCACGAAACGAAATGTCAAATTCACCTGTCAACTTAAGTATTCTCGTATGTATCGCAATGTATCACTACTACCATATTCACATATATTTTCAATTTTTTTTTCAGCTCAAGCAAAAATCATGAATAAAAATAAAAATAAAAATAAAAATAAAATTATGATTAGCATTCCAATTGAATGCATTTCATTTCAATAATTTCGTCAACAATTCAAATATAAACATTGTGAATATTCAATTTGAAGCGAATTGAATAGCCGTCGGAAGTATTGATGACAATTTGTACGTGTATCGATGTATGTGTTCATTTCGCTTTGGCAAATCGCCGCAATGACTCCGTGTGTGTGTGCGCACCAACGAAGTGTGTGCGGCGATTTACATCAACCATATCCGCTAGCTGCCATTATAATTTCTTTTCCTTTGCGACGTCAAACAATCGACAAGTAAAATGAGGTAGAGTGTAGATTTTTTTTGGATTTTTTTCGATTTTTTCTTGATTTTAATCGAATCACAAGCACGAAAAATTAATTGTGACGGTGCTGTTAACGTGAATTTCATGGGGAAATAATTAATTGCATTGTTTTGTGATTAAATTTGTTGAAAAATAAATGAAATAAAAATTTTTTGGTGTGCAAAGCACTCACATGTGCGAATGCAAACGATTGTTTGGATTGAATACGATTTCACAATGTGTTGAAAAGTGATATTTTCGAATTAATTCAATGTGACCGTTTAATCACAAATCATTTGCAATGATTTTTCATCGAAAATCGACGAAAAATGTGCCGACACGAGGTTTTACCAACATACAAAATTCTTGCGCAAATTACAATATAAATAAGATGATTTGTGGATACGACATAACCTCAAACTTTTCAAAAAAATATGCTTTTGATTTTTTTTATTGGAATTTTTGATGGGATTGATTAACAATCGGTATTGTATGTGTTTGTTTTCCTCTTTTGCAGTTCGTTAAAACTCCAGAAACGGCTCGCAGCCTCGGTTATGCGATGCGGTAAAAAGAAGGTTTGGTTGGACCCAAATGAAATCAATGAAATCGCCAACACAAACTCAAGTAAGTTTCATATGATTCGTTCTTTCACTTCTATTTGGTGCTGTAGTGAATCATAGTTCAAATGAAATTGATTTCGGTGTGGAATTTTTTTTCATCAATTGATTTGACACCGGCATCAAATACAAAATTTCCATAACATAAATAATAATATTGCAAGGGCACTCTGTGCTATTCATTTTATCATGGTGACATGCTAAACCTAGGATAGTTCAATTTGTTACCTTGCTAGAGCAATGGAATTCAATTTTGAATTCTCTAACGATTTCTTGTGTGGATATGTTTCAATTCAATGTCGACCATACAAGTTATTCTAGCAACATTTACAAATCCGTCAAATGATGACGAGAATTTTGAAAATAATAAATACGGTTTTAGTGATCTTGAATTTCATAATTAAATCGATATTTTTTTTCTCTCTCTTCTCGTTTTTTGCATATTGCAGGACAAAACATTCGCAAGCTTATTAAGGATGGTCTTATCATTAAGAAGCCTGTTGTCGTACACTCCAGATATCGTGTGCGTAAGAATACGGAAGCTCGCCGAAAGGGTCGTCACTGTGGTTTCGGTAAACGTAAGGGTACAGCCAATGCACGTATGCCAACCAAATTTTTGTGGATGCAACGTCAACGTGTATTGCGTCGCCTGTTGAAAAAATACCGTGACAGCAAGAAAATCGATCGTCATTTGTACCACGACTTGTACATGAAGTGCAAGGGTAATGTGTTCAAGAACAAGCGTATCTTGATGGAATACATTCACAAAAAGAAGGCCGAAAAACAACGTACAAAGATGTTGAACGACCAAGCTGAAGCCAGACGTCAAAAGGTACGTGAAGCACGTAAACGACGTGAAGAACGTATTGCCACCAAAAAACAAGAGCTCCAACAAATCCACGCTGAAGAGGATAAAACAGCCGCAGCCGCCGCTGCTAAAAATTAATTAATTTAACCAATTTTTTTGTGCAAATTAATTGATTGAATACAATTTAAATACAACCACACACACAAAAAAAAACTCCTTATTTTATTTTATGAATGTGAAATGCAATAAACACTGTGTTTCATACGTAAAATTAAAAAGAAAAATCAATTGTGTTTTTATTACGTTCACTTAGTTTCCATTTTTTTTTAGGTTAGACCATCGGTATGAAGAAAAACATTGATTTCCTGTTTGTTTTTTTTTTCGATTTTTATTGAACTTTGTTAATAATAGCAATGCTAACATGTACGAAAATTATCACTCATAACGAGATCTCTAGACTGTTTCTTTCCCTTTTGGTCCATCTTTGACAAGGAGCCTTCTATCTGGATGTTTGTCGACTTCTAATTCGATTCGCATTACTGACCAATTTTCATCGTCGGTACCATTTGGCCTAGCCCATAAATGCATTTTACCTATGGATCAAATAAATTGAATTTTAGTTTCAGTTAAATTTCATGATGTTATGATTGGATTGTGCACCTTTGTCATTGGGTCCTTTGACATTCACTTTAAATTGTGCCTCTTCTGATGTCATCCAGTTACTTGTATCGGATAACCGAAAACCTCTCTGTTTGATTGGTTCACCCAATAAATCGATTGCAGCTTCGAATTAAATAAACATAGTTAGTATATTTCTGCATAAAACAATGAATGACCCATACCTTTGTTTGCACGTAAAATTGTAAATGCTTCCTTGAAAAAACTTGAATTGGATATTTTTTCTAATTGTTTCATTTGTAAATAGAAAATACCGCTGACTCCAACAAATGCTATTCCAAGTGCGGTGTTGACCAGAGTTTTCATTTGTGGCAATGCCATTGTATGAGGTTATTTTTTTTTTTACTTTTCAAAATACCGAAATGCAAACGGTCATCCACAAACAGAATGCCTCTATTTCTAGGTTTTCTTTAAAGGTTTTCCTATGCTTTCTGTATTTTTCAAAATATTTTTTAAATTTATGAATCGGAGAGTATTAGTTATTCAACATTTCAAATAGAATTGAAAATATGGTGTGTTTTGTTTGTTTCGCATGTCATATTTGACTTTTTTGACATATTTCAAATGAGAATTCTAACCTCAAAAAAGTATTTTGCACTTCTTCGTCGGATTGTGTGTTGCTGAAAGAAAAACAATATTTATTCATATCGTGAATTTGGTCGCAAAGTTTAGATACAATTTTAATTTAATAGAATCCAAAAAAAATCATGAATATACAGATGTTTAGCAGTAGACTGCTGACAATAGGTCAACGATTTTCTGGTTTGTTATTGAGTCGAACCTATGCAAAACCAGGTATAACCATAAAATATTCAAAGATTGAATTTGATGTTGGCGTAGAAAGAATTATAAACAGAAAATTTATTTGAATTGTGTTTTTTTTTATTTTAGTGAAAAAGGGTGCAGCACCAAAGGTGGGAAAAGCCGGTCCAATCACAGAGAAGATACAAATAACAGTGGAAAAAGATACTAAAAAATTAGTGAACTATGTTTGTGGCAGTAATATTTACGTTGATGGTGAAGATATTAAGGTATGGAATAAATCTATTTTCATTTGTAATAAAGCTACTATTTCTGTTCAATCTTGATAACATGACATTTAATTCTTTTGTTTGATACCTTAGCTGAAACCAGAATCCGAATACCCTGACTGGCTTTGGGAAATTCATACCGGACCACCGAAAAAATTGGAAGAATTGGATCCAAACTCGAAAGAATACTGGCGACGAGTACGAAAAATTGGATTACGTCAAAATAATAGATTAGAAAAAACTAAAAAACGTCGCTTGGTGTAAATAATATGCATTCATTTTATGGAAAAAACACAAACAAAAATTAGAATAATAAAAAAGTCGACAAACAATTAAAGTAGAATGTCTCTTTTATCATTTCAAAGTTTTCATCGGACCTCATGCTCAATGTTTATAAAGAAAAACAATTCTTTGTTTGGATTACGATGAAATGCGTTCGATTGATTCAAATCAATAGGTTATATGATATGCAAATGTACAATAAAACTTGAATTTGAAAACGAACGATTTTCGGGACATATTCCGGCATTCGTATTTTTGCTTAGGCAGAAAATATGAGATGAATTTTTACCAAAAACTTGGATTCATTGATTACAATGTGTGTCGATGTCGGATTCTAGATAAACTTACAAATGCCCGAAATATCGATAGAACCTTGGTATTCAATCAGCTGGCATCATTAATAAATATATAATCTTATTACATTTTTTTTTTCAATATTCCTTGCCCTTGTCAGAACAAATTCAAGCTCCAACTCATCCAGTTTAAGTAACCTGCAGTAAAATGCAACAGATTCTATAACTTCATCAGCAGTAGCTGTAACGGTTTCTATACGACCACAGATGCGGAGACCTTTTTTTGCAGAGGGGGGGGCAAATGGAATGTGCCGTGGAAGGGGGGATCCACCAAAAAAAAAAACGCCGACATTTTTTTTGAAAAAATTAGCATGGTGAAATATTGAAATATCATAACTCAAATATGAATAAATGTCAATTTTCTTCATTGAACATATGAAAAATCTCAATTCTGACGAATCAATTTTATGTAATCGCATTTTTTGCTTTGTAGAGGCAAACCCCAATTTTCAATTTTTGCAGACCGGGGCAAATCCCGGACGTTTGTGTGACAGAGGGGGGCAAAACACGGAAACCCCCCTCTCAGCACCTATGCTATACGACCCAGTGACTGTAAGTCATGTAGCCTAATTCATAAAAATTTAAGGCATTCGGCTAAAGCAAAATAAATATTAACAAAAAATCCTATTAGATTGCAGAGGAAAAAGGAAAACCAATCAAATGTTAAACTAGGTCATTGAGTTATCTATATATATTTTTGCTCCGAAAGGATAGGGAAAAAAAACAATGTCAAGAACAAGCAAATAAATTCAACTATTATTTATTTACACTCACTCGCAAAACATATTGTAAACAAAAGTCGCAAAGATTGGCAAATTTTTGCCAAATATGAAGGTGTCGTACATGCTTTAGATGTTGTTTTGCAAAAATGAAGATCAAATATTGGCACACGAAATTATTTATTTGCTTTTCAAGTAAATAATGACAGAAATTGAATGATATCAAATGAATCGTAAGATTGAAACCAGAACGCTGAATTCTAGAAAAGTTCAGATTTATTTTGATAGTAAATGTGGGTTTTAAGGACAGCAAACGTATCAATTCAAGGTTGATTAGAAACTCTTTGGCCTTACTACGATTTACATAAAATTATCAGCTTCATCGAATAATTCATACAGTTAATTTCAAACCATCCTGCAGTAAATAACGATTTTTCTTCGTTTCAAAATGAAAAAATCGTCAAATTTTTTAATTTTTCTATTGCTTTGTATGCACGTTAACGAAGGTAATAAAAACACTAACGAATTCTTTTTTTTAATTTTTTTTGTGAAAAAATGCTTTCAATCGAATCAGCCACATTTGCTTTTAAACTCAATTGAAGTAAGAAAATGTTTGTTCGCTTATAGGTCGTGCAACAGTTTGGATGATAAAGGCTATCCCATCGAATGTTCGTTGTTCGGTTTCGTCATTTTTACAGCGTAATTTCAATGTGCAAAGTCGTTTTGGTGTAAATTGTCCGCCCGAAAATTCGACTTCAACGGCCGCCCAGAACGCATCGTTGATTCCGATTTTGATAACAAATGGCACGGCTAATAGCACTGAACTTGATGCAAACGGTATTGATTTACCAAACGGAATATACGCACAAATTCATATCGTTGAGAATGGTGCCGGAAATAAGAGCCGAATAAATGCAAATCTTTCAACAGTTGAAATGCATTCGATTAATCCGAATAACGAGGAAAGTGAAACGGTTAAAAGCATGTCGCTTTCAAAATTGGCCAATGACAAGAATACACAATCATTCTTTTCAATGCAACAATCTTCATCGATTGGCAGCTCGTCAAGTTCGTGGAGTTCATCATCTGGTTCACAATCATCATATTCGCAATCATCACACAGCAGCTCCAGTAGTTCAAGTAGTTCCAGTTCATCTCAAAGTTCGAATAGCAGTGACAAAAAACAAGGATCAAGTCAAAATTCGGCAAATGGACAACAGGAATCAAACAATGCTTCGACAGTGAAAGAGGGAAAACACAGTGAAGCGTCAAATTTAAAAGAAGAAAATTCTGGAAAAAATAGCCAAAATGAAACCAATTCTGTACAGAGCAATGTGAATTCAGAGTCAGACAAAGGATCAAAGAGTGAATCACAAGACAGCGGAAATTCCCAAAATAATGGACAGCAACAAACATCGTCATTCGCAAGCACTTCACAACTTAGCTCGGAGACAAACCATTCGAAAGGTAGCGAAACACAAAAAAATAAAGAATCTGTTGTAAACCAAGTAAACAGTGAATTACACGGAGGCAATCAAGTATCTTCGTCTTCCGACAAAACCAACAAAAACACTCAATCGACCCAAAGCAACGCAAATTCTCAACAATCGAACGGTTCTACATCACAAAGTGGTGAATCGTCAAATGTCCAAGGAAGTGGAACTCAGACAAATGTCCAACAAACCGTATCATCTTCAGACAATTCCGGATTGAGCTCGGAATTAAACAAATCGGAAGAGCGTGAATCACAAAGCGGTACAAAGGATAAAAATTCAACCGATAGTGTTTTGACTCAAGGTTCATCTACTTTAAATAATTCCGAATCAAGTAAAAAAACTGAAAATTTACAAAAAAATGAAAATGATCAAAAAGAGTCTTCAACTCAATCACAGGAGAATAATAATTCAACAACGAACTCACAATCAAAAAGGAATCAAACAGAAAACGTTACGTCACAGAAAAAGACTGAATCAAGTACCAACAATCATCCGCATACATCAAGTTCAGAAAATTCGAATGGTAATCAAAATGGGCAATCTTCTTCTTCAGCAAACGGTTCGCAAAGTACATCAGAGAATGTTAATTCAAATCACGGTTCATCGAACACAAATGTTGAAACAAAAGTCACAGGTCAACAAAACCCAATTCGTAAAATTTGCCAATTGCTTCAACAGAATGGTCTAAATTCATTGAATACCGGCTTTTCTAGTCAGACTTCAAATTCCAACAATCCAATCGGTTCAAATGGTGCTACTGATAGTCAATCACAGATAAATAATATTTTATGGAATTTCGAGTGTAAGTATCGCGGCCAAACATTCGGCGATCCGTCCAATTGCGCTATTTTTTACTATTGCGGTAAAAACGGTGTTAATCAGTTAACGTGCCCATATCCATCAGTATATGATTCTGCGTTGGGAAAATGTAGCCTTAAAAAGGATATGAATTGCCGTTCCACAACATCATCAAATTCACAACAGTCAAATCAAAATTCGGCCTCACAACAATCGAATCAAAATGCATGGAGTAATCAAGGTCACTCATCAAATGGACAGTTTTCAAATTCAGCATCGCAATCAAGCGAATCAAATGGCGTTGGTAGTTCTGGTACATTAAATTTCGGTGTAAATCCATCGTTATCGATCGGTGGATCAAATGGATTGAACATTGGTTTGGGATTAAATGCTGGACAAAATAATCAACAATCAGCAAACGGCAATAGCCAATATGCTTCATCATCATCATCATCTGCTCAAAATAATGGTGCATCAAGTGGAGGTTATTTAAGTTTTTCTTTCTTTTGTTTTGTTAACGAATACAATTTCACGTATAATCCTTTATAGGTTTAAATGGCATAAGATTGAGCTGTCGTTGGGGTGACATGTATCGTGATTTACAAGACTGTGCTGTATTTTATCATTGCGCTCCAACCGGTGTTCATAAATTGAAATGCCCGACTCCGCTTCATTTCGATACAAAATTAAAAGTATGCAACTGGCCGCAACAAGTAAAATGTACACCATTTGATACAAGTGGTAGTTTACCATCTTCAAATCACAATGCACTTAGTGGTTTGAATTTGTTAAATGTTAATGGAAATAATGGAGCCACTCAAAATATCCAGAATAATCAAAATGCTGCCTACTTAAACAATCAAGCATCTTCGTCGTTTGCATCGTCAAATTCCATCGGTCATGGGTTGAATTTGAACGCAGGTAGCATCAATGGTGTGCCAACGATTTGTCGATGGGGTGAGATGTATCGTGATCCAAATAATTGCGCCGTATTTTATCACTGTGCTCCAACCGGTGTTCATAGATTAACATGTGCTGCACCACTCCATTTTGATACAAAATTAAAAGTTTGCAACTGGCCCGAACAGGTAAAATGTACACCATCCACGGCAAGCAATCAATTGTACAATGTGTTGTTTGGCACTGTAAATCAAAACAATCAGAATACAGCAAGCAGCAGTTCGTCTTCATCACAAATGAGTAGTTCCATTTTAAATGGATCGATGAATATGTTAACCAAACCAAATCTGTCTGTTGGACAGAATGGTTTGAATGTTGATATCAATGCTGGAAGTCAGAACAATAATGCTGGAAACAGTGAAACATCTCAATTTGGTAGCTCCTCTTTGACTGAAGATGCTTCATCTCAAAATAATGGTGCTTCATCGTTGAGTAGTTCAAACAGTATTGGGAATGGCGCTGAACTTAGCGCTCAAAATAGCCAAAACACTCAAAATGCTGCAAATTCAAACAATCAAGCATCTTCATCGTTTGCATCGTCAAATTCAAACGGCCATGGAATGAATTTGAACACAGGAGGCAGCAATGGTGTTCCGGTTAAATGTCGATGGGGTGATATGTATCGTGATCCAAATAATTGCGCCGTATTTTATCATTGTGCTCCAACTGGTGTTCATAGATTTACATGTCCTGCTTCACTTCATTTCGATACAAAATTAAAGGTTTGCAATTGGCCCGAACAGGTAAAATGTACACCATCAGGTGATAATACCATATCGAGTAATTACAATATAGTTAGCAGTTCAACAAATGGTCAGAATTCACAAAATTCGGAGCTTGGCTCATTGACTCAATCGAAAAATCCAAATTCAAATCAATTTGCATCATCACAACAGAATACCCATGGAACAGGTGAAGTTGGACAAATGTCTTCCCATTCGAATACCAACCATGGTAATGTAGCATCAAACCAAAATAATGTCGGATTGTCATCAAATGGCAACGGAGTAAACACGCATGGATCAACTACAAATGGTCAAAGTTCAACTTCAAGCTTGAGCACAACAAATGGACAAAATACTGCATCGCAAAGTGGTTCAAACAGTCCATGTGCATATGTATTGGACATTTTACGAAGAAATTTCCCGCAATTACTTCCGCCAACAGCTAACTAACCATTTTTACTTGTTAATTGATTAAACGATTTTAAATGCTTTTATTTATACTTCACGAAAACAAAACTAATTTACTTATTTATTTATAATTGAATTAAAAGAAGTTTTATTAAATATGCAAAATTCTGGTTTGGTTTTTTTCTTCTAAAGCTATAAATATTTGGTTGGCACAAGCCATTTATGGTTTTTTAAAGATTTTATTGCTATTCGATACTACTTAAACCGTTCGAATCAACACATTACCACATTCCTTCGCGTTTGGTGTGAGCACATAGTTTAAGGCGTTATAATATTTTTTTTTAAAGTCTTATGTTCGAATGCCTTTTAATACGTTTTTTGCTCTCTTTGCTTGTTATGGAAGCAATTGAAAGTCGAAAGTAATACTTTTGGTCATGAAAATTATTTGTAAGTTCAAAGTGGTACAAGTTCATCAAAATGTTCAAAGAGCGTACGGAAGGCATGAGAGTGAAAAAAGCGAGCACAAAACATTGCTTCGAATAGAGAAGAAAAGAAAAGCATATGAAACCAAGCCATGACTCGCGATTTTATTTTTTGTTTACATTTACACATTTTCTTACACACACGCGTGCGCCAACAACACACAATGCGCTCTCGCGCTTACGGGTTGATTTGATCGCAAAGTGATATTCCGTTAAGGCATCTCTTATAGTTTTTTTCAGTTGCTTCGTTTCTGACTATGATCAGTCTTGTTTTAGCTATTGAATTTTATACACGCGTGTTGCCATTCTTCTTGAGCATAGCACGGTCTATCATTGCGCATATATTAATCAACATTTGAAATATATAACTATTGTGTCTTAAGTAGGGTGCAATTGGACATTTTTTTCAATTCTTTGTAGTGATTTTGTGCTTCATTTTTCATCCGAATTTTTTTTTTTTGCAAACTAAACACATTATTTGAGGTAATAAACGAAGTTTTTTTAATATAAAAAATCAGTTTCCATAACGGATTTTTTCTATTTCCTCTCTTCGATGTCAATCATTTTTCTTAAACAAATATAAAAATTCGCTTTAAAATCTACTGACGAATGAAGTTATCAAAATGCGTGTTATACCGAGTGATCAAATCCGACTTCAGTACAAAAAACGAAGATGAAATATGGAAAAAAAATTCAGCGATCTAACGAAATAGCACCGCGATACAAACTCGAATGCGAAGCATCGAACAGCATAATGAGTTCATCAACAACATCGGGCGTTAGGTCGTTGAATCTCTATTATATTCATCAACATCATCTACGACTTCTTTTGGTGATTTCTTTTGATTGTCATTTTGAACGTGCGTGAATTTAGAAATCGCATTGAGAAATAGAGAACCAAGTCGTTGTGGTTAGACATTTGAATATGTATATCGTTTCGTTCGTTAGATCTGCACGACTCATGCCGTACAGCTATGTGAAACTGTGCCTAATTAACCAACGGAGAATAAAAATGTGGTCATATATGCTTGTTTCACCGCAATAGAAGAAAAAAAAAACATGTAACTGCCGCAAAGATTTATCTGAGCTCGTTTCGTTTGTGAATTGCGTGTAATTCTGTTTTTTTCTTCTAATGACATGGAGTCTTATTTAATGGCAAAAATAAAGGGGATCAAATATCGTGTTAAAAATATATAAAAGTGCAAGCCAAATAAAAGCGAAATCATGCAATCATTTAAAAAAAAAACAAAGAAAAAAACAGATCCATCTGTGCAATGAGAAAATCTTTGTACGCCAATATACAGCAATATGAATAGGCATAGACCGAATTGTGGAACAAGTTAAACAAGTTTTTTTTTCTTATATATTTCTTGTGGATATGTTTTGTTTCTCTCTTAAGCGCTAGATCGCTTACATCTCTTCTTTCCGTTAGACATTAAGCATTTTTCCAATGTTTCACACACATCGCTGAGATGTACGCGTTATACATGTTTGGGCATCTCTTAGGCAATTTTTTTCTTCTTCTTTTTCTTGGTACCATTCATCTATTCCACTAGTCTATGAATGCTGAACTTTGAAAATGAAGTGAAAAAAAATAATGAAGAAAAAAAATGTTGGAAAACATTGTAAATGAATAAATGAGCCGCGCATATCGCTTACTCGATTGTGCATGCACCATTGGAAATATATGGGAATAATACATGCGATTTCAATAATGCCATTCAAGTATGTACAAATCGAAAGTGGCCACAGCTTTGTGTTGGGTCTTCGATCGACTTTACAGCGAAAAATATTACAATAAAAAAAAAACTACACATTTAGCTTAGGCGTTTTATGAATCTATTTCGTGATTGGTGTGTTTGTGTGTTGGCCTTTTAAAGTGGTACAGCTTTATTTCTTTCACTTGTTATTGTTGAGTCAACACACCGGCTATCAATTTTTGTTGAGACAAACAATCTATGTTATGAAGAAAAAAAATGGAAAAATACTTAAAGTAATTGAACAATTTGCGGAAGATATTATCATATCGTTCGGATCTTTTTTGAAAGAGATATTTTCAGCAAAATTCAATGTTTTCGGTGTCACCATTGTTCAATTCAAACTCCCGTGTAATTACTTAACATATGTTAAGAAAATATTGATAAGAACGTTTGGCGAAGAAAAATGCCGACATCATTAACACCCCAATTTCCATGGCATTTTAGAGAATGAAAAAAAAAACACACACACATTTGGTGTGCCCTTTTTTGACGTGTGACAACGACATTCATGCTCATGAACACGGCGGAATTGTTTTTTGTTTCTTCTTATTTTCTTCTTGACTGGTTTTAAATCGGTTATCATTACATAAACTGAAAGAAAGAAGCTCAGCTTTGCCATTTCATGATGTCGTTTTTATTCGATGTATTCACGTGTAAGCGTGCCCGAGTGATCATGTAGGCCAAAGTCATCATATCGAGCTGATTATCATGCTTATAAAGCCAAAAAATATTTAGGTTACCCGCAATTTTGTGACATTTTTATGATGACAAATTCACAAGCACACAGAAAAATCTAAATGTTGGACTTAACATTTGAATTAAGTTTGTAATTATAAACGAAAAATTGTGAATTTTAACGGAACGTGTACTTTGCACACAGGAAATCGGACAGCACACAATTTTTCATTACTTTTTTCCCCAAAGCTTTCTCAAAATGACATAAAATTGTTTACAAACACTGTAAATTGTAAAAGAAAGGTGTCTTTATTTAAAATTAATGACGATGTTTGAGATTCAACACGGAATGCTTCTAATAAAATAAATATTTATGGTGTAATTTCCGAGAGTGATGCGCATTTCAACTCGGAATAAAAATACTGTGTAGACAAACCTTTGTTTAATCATTTAGGGAATGTGCAATGTTTGTGCACATGGTTTGTATGTGAGTATTTCAAAATGCTTGAATTTGTAATTTGCATGAATTTCATATCGTTTGAATCATAAATTATATGTGATGCATCATAAATCGCGTAAAAGTACGCCCGCGTCCTCAAATCTGTTACATGCAATGCTTACAATTGCAATCGTACACAATATTTTGCTAGATCGTTTGCAGATCATGAACTCAAAAATCTCTAAATTCGTATCGCAAACCATTTTCCACATAAAAACAAATCGAGTACAATGGGGGGAAAAAATCGTGCAACGAAATCGCTTTTGTTTCGCTAATTTTATTTTTCAAGGTACATGATTGCAATCGTGTACGACTGTAAATCGTTGGATGGTGCTTCTTATCGTTACTCTGTGCTTCCTTTTGTATTTATATAAGTGTCTGCAAATCATTGCAAAGAATGAAAAACTTGCATAAATATCTGCCGACACTTCGAAGAAGTTCAAGTTTTTGAAAATGATAAACAATTGTTCATTACATTCAATTTAAAAACTCCGGTTCGTGAGTAATGCAAGAAGAATTATTCGTCTTTTTTATGTGTTTAATAACAATGAAATGACCCATGTATCATTCAATTTAGTAATTACTTGGCATTTTCTCTCGCTCTCTCTCTCTCTCTCTCTCTCGACATTTTGTCGATAATTTTCGGAGAGGTTTTTCCTTTAATATTAATGATCATTTGTCATAAAAAAAATATATTACAGGTATACATCGAATTGGAGAAGTAAAGAAATGAAATCGACGCGAAGTGCTCGTTTAATCAGCGATGTGATTGCAAAACGTACGACGACAACAACAACAGCCACAGCAAAAGCAGCCACCGCTCAACAGTTGAATTATTATGAATCACAGTGTCCGCATGCGGTTGTTCAAAATGAAAATATCTTACCGAACTCAACATCAGTAACAACAACGTCAACCATTTCTAATCCGACGCCACCATTTACTCATGAAACTGTTCGCCCTTACAGCGAAGTACCTGGTCCAAAACCATTACCGATTTTAGGCAACACATGGAGGTAATTCGTAATTTCACACTAATCTAATCACTGTTCATTCTATTAATGGCAAAACATGCTTTCATAAAAACAAAATCTCTTTCGAGAGCAAAAAAAGAGATTGTTTATGGTTGTTTCAACCATCGTTTGTAATAAAGTCTTTTTTTGGGTGTCATTTTTGCAATCATCTAAAGAAGTGACTACATAACTTTCAAAGGTGGTTAATTCGGTGCTCAATCATGCAAAGTGAAGAAGCAAGTGTGGCAATTAACGTAACTTTCGATATTTAAACAATGTTTCAGACCTTTTTTTCCTCTGAAAATTATTACAGAAGCATTGTAAATATTTCATTTTCTCTAACGGAGAATGTTGAATGCAGTATAACATATTTGACATCAAACAAACACCTTTGGTTGAAAGAGTGAGCTAGAGTTGCGACTCTTGAAACTTAAACAAATTTATCATCATTTTGGTCAAATATTTGATTTAGAATAAAGCACTTCTTTAGCAACGAATTACTATCGTTTTTTATTTAAAAAATTATGTTTCGAATTGTGTTAATAGACTAAAATGCGGATGTCAATCGAAAATATACAACATCAACATAAAACATTACAAATTGAATGCGCATTTTGCTATTATACCATACGATCAATTATGTTGATGCACATTTTTTGCGTCGCTACTGAACCGTAATAATGGTTCAGTTTTTTTTCAATGGCACCGATCGAGCTTGAAATGAATTTGCAGGCAAACAAACGATAACAACAACAAAAATGAATAATTTTATACACGATTAACACAAAAGTGTTTATTTAATTATGAAGTGATTTATTTGTGTCTACCGGATGACGTAGTCAAATCGTCTTGTCAATTTGAAAAAAAAAACTGTTTATATTCAATTTTATCGGATAAAAAGAACATGCCAAAAACAAACTAAAGTCAAAATATATTCTGAATAAAAAAAATATATATATTGAATTTGCCGTGTGAATATTTAATGAACGACTGCAAGATCAATTAACACCACTAAAAATACTTGCACATCAAACACTTGGTTTTGTTTTTTTTACACATGAATTACGTGCGCGTGGCTGAAAAGCCGTTCAAGTGTATCGTATCCATACCATTAGAGCGTGCATTTGCCGCAAAGCGCAAAGTAATGTAAATTGTCAAGTGCTTCGTTACCTCATTTTGTGTTTTAATGGAAAATTGATTGTAGTAGGTCAGTCTTCCATTAAAAAATCAAATTATTACTATTTCTTCAGTTTATGATCACATCTTTGATTATACAGGAAGGAAAATTATTTTCAGTTTTTATAAATCATCCCAAGCAAGCTCTGTATATTTTCAAGAAAGCATGGCATGAATGTACTGCAATTACCCAAGGGGGTAGAAACGAATTATGAAACATTAAATCATGTAAATCACAGTGAATCAAACGAATCATTCAAATGTCAAATAAGGATCATTTATGGTTTTACTAGCATGATCGTTCAACAAATTCTAAATATTATCGTTGATTTTTTTTTTTAATTTATTAGAAAAACACGAAATAAAAATAATGAGTTTTTTTCAAAGACAAATAATTTTAATTGTTCAATAAATATTTCTTGTAAACAATCTGAATATTTTGAATCAAAGTGAATAAGATGAATCATGTCTAATGAGCGCAAAAAATAGTGTAAGAGCTCTTCGTATTGGATTCTTCTAATTTTTAGTGTTATACATACTTTTATTTGAAGTGACAAAAATAAAAACAAACAGTTTTAATATAAACAATTGACGGTCAATAATCACATGAATTCAAATAGCAACTCATTGCATGGTTGGACGCCACTATGAAACTCTTAACATGGATTTCATTGTAGAGCCATCCATCAGTTGTGCTTCAAACAGAGACTTATCCACTGAGGAGGAGGAAAATGAGGAAGGGAAGATAACTGAGACCCTCTTCAATTGAGGAGGGAAATGTTTTTAACAAAAAAAAAAACATATTTTTATGATAGAAATAGCTTTTTGGAGAAAAACAACATTTCCTCCTCAATTGGGGAGGAGGACCTCCCTCTGTACATTTACAACTTCACCATTCCTCCTCCTCATAGAAACAGTACCTGTTTTAAAATAAATTTTCGAAATCAGCAAAAACTGACTGCACCTTAAAATCAATCCTGACATTAGCTATAAATCAGTCATGACCACACACTTCATATTTGCAATGGAATCAAGTGTTATGAGAAATTATCGTTATTAAAGCATTGGCGCAAAAAGTTTTAATTAAAATGAATATGGATTTGAACTTCAATTGGTTGTCTCTAAACGCTTTATTCGCTTTTATGTATATGATGAACTCTCACCTAGCATTAAAATGCCAATTTATGGCAGGAAATGAAAATCATATTACAATTTTCTTTGGGCTATATTAATTCGAAGCGAATGAGAAGTAAAAAGCGTGAAAAAATGCACCTGATCGAAATTGTATAAAAATGATTGAAAATACCTTAAAATGCCGTTAAAATATTTCTCTGGTAAATGGTTTTTGTTGTTGTTGCTATTGGCATTCATTCAGCAAATCTGTGGCCAAAATCGTTTATGTCAAAACCAGTTTCGTTGACCAATATAATTTTTTTTTTAATCTTAGCATTGTCAACGAATGGAGCAAGCATTAAAAAAAATACATTAAAAGTCCAATTGATTTGCATACCGTTAGAAAAAGTGAAATATAAAAACATATATCTCTTTTACGTAATCATTAATAATGTTGAATTTTTTTTCTCTTTCTTTTTTCTTGTTCGGTTTTTTTTTATTTCTCTCACGATGGATGCTCATGCTGTCATCATAAACATTCGCAATGTATGTCAACATATACTGATATCACAAGATTGATGCCGATTATTGGTCAATTTCAAATATCGGACATCGCACGAGTTTCATACATTTTACATGAAAGATGGGGCCGCATCGTTCGCTTGGGCGGCTTACTTGGACGACCCGATTTATTGTTTGTATACGATGCCGATGAAATCGAAAAGGTTTGTGTATAATGTTATACGCGCTGCGTTCAGATATTATGCATGCATGCATACTTTTGTATTATTGCCGTAAACATTCAAGGTCTTATGCATTTTTTTGTTTCAATTGAAAAGAGTGAGAGAAAACATTGTTCGTCGTTACATTTGCTATGGATTTTCGCAATACGGCATGTAATGTATTGAAAATGAAAATTAACAACGGTTAAAGATCAACTTGCTTGCAATTCAAGAACAATATACCTATCAAGGCAATAAAACTTGAATTGAAAATGAAAAAACCAGTCAGTTGATAAATTACCCAGTGATTTGGTATCATGTTGTTGATGAAATAAGGAAGTCAATTTTTCTTTTGAAAGACAATCAGGTTTTGCGAAATTGGAATTTAAGCGATGGATTCTTGTTTTTTTTTTGTCATCTTACTCAATCAAAATGTCATTCTTAAACGACCTCTTTATCTGTTGAAGATAGGATTAAAAATAAAATATTAAGTCAATAAAAAAGATGAGGAAGCGGCAAGTTCACTATTAATTTCGGTTATTCAACTCTTTCAACGAAGAAGAAAAAAATGAATATAAAAACATTTGCATAGAAATTCTATAATTGGATATTTATGATTTCAGTGTTATCGAAATGAGGGAGTTACCCCGTTCAGACCATCGATGCCGTGCTTGGTTCGATATAAATCAATTGTTCGAAATGATTTCTTTGGCGATTTACCCGGAGTGGTTGGTGTGCATGGTGAACCATGGCGTGAGTTTCGATCTCGCGTTCAAAAACCAGTTCTACAATTAACAACAGTTAGACGTTATGTACGACCGTTGGAAGAGGTTACCGACTATTTCATCGATCGATGTCAACAAATGTTGGACGAAAATCAAGAATTGCCTGACGATTTCGATAATGAAATTCACAAATGGTCTTTGGAGTGTAAGTAACATTTGCAAATTCAAACACAATTTCAAATGACATAAAGTTGTTGGAATGCATTTAACGTGAACAAAAAAAAATGTCGTTTGCTCGACTCAAAACGTACATTCATTATCACATTTTATAGATGCAAACGCAACATTTTGTGTAGAATACTAATAAGCAATTTGCATGTGTGATACGATTCTTTTTTTCTCTCGCCTTCAAGTTACCGAACAATGATTTCATTTGCAATGACTCACAAGGATTTGATTTGTATCTTTGATTCGCACGTTTCACAGGTATTGGACGAGTTGCACTCGATACACGTTTGGGTTGCTTGGAACCTAATCTCGATCCAAAATCAGAACCTCAACAGATTATTAATGCGGCAAAATATGCGCTACGAAATGTCGCTACGCTCGAGCTGAAATTCCCATTCTGGAGATACTTTCCGACACCATTATGGTCAAAATATGTAAATAATATGAATTATTTTGTGGAAATTTGCATGAAATATATTCAAGCAGCCACGGTAAAAATGAAGTCAAGAACAGAAGCCGAAAGAGTCGCTCTCGGCGAACCATCATTATTGGAGAAGGTTATTTTAAGCGAAAAGAACGAGAAAATCGCCTGTATCATGGCATTGGATTTGATTCTGGTCGGAATCGATACGGTAATATTTATTTGATCAATTTTAAAGTACTGATTTCTCATTTATGAGGAAACGAGAGATCGGGAGAGAGAGAGAGAACTGATTTTTCGTATTTCATGTAGATTTCGATGGCAGTTTGTTCAATTCTTTATCAATTGGCCACACGACAAGCTGAACAAGAAAAAGTATACGAAGAACTATGCAGAGTGATTCCCGATCCAAATACACCATTAACATATCAAACACTCGAACAATGTCACTATCTCAAAGCGTTCATTAAAGAAGTATTCAGGTATACTTAATGTCATTTTTACGCCCAAATGTATACTAAATATTGTGTTGATTTCCAGAGTGTACAGTACGGTCATCGGAAATGGTCGAACATTGCAAGAGGACACTGTTATTTGTGGTTATAATATTCCAAAAGGAATTCAAGTTGTATTTCCAACAATTGTGACCGGAACCATGGAAAAGTATTGCAAAAATGCCGATAATTTTCGGCCAGAACGATGGCTGAAAACAAGTCAAGGCGGTTCGGGTGAATATATTCATCCATTTGCATCACTGCCATACGGTTACGGAGCAAGAATGTGTCTGGGACGTCGTTTTGCCGACTTGGAAATGCAAATCTTATTAGCCAAGGTAAATAATATCACCAATATTGTTTAATTTATTTTTTAATCATTTTTTTTCATTTACAATCTCACAGTTATTACGTACACATAAATTGGAATATAATTATAAACCGCTTGACTATGCGGTGACATTTATGTATGCGCCCGATGGAAAGTTGAAATTCAAAATGACCAAACGAGATAAATGAAATTGAATAGCTTTATCAATTGTTAGATTAGAAAAATGTAAGGCTTTAACAAATACTTTTTCATTTGATATGGTGTACTTTACTAACTGATGTTATGATGAGCATTAAAGAACAATTTACCTTGATTTTCTCGAGAAATTTTATTGGCATTTTCAGAAATAAAACAAAATCATAAAATGAAAAAAAAGTATTGTTGTTTTTTCTACATATGAATTTAATCCCAATTTCTAAAAGAAAAAAATCTGTCTATAAAAGCGAATGTATCGTTCGATGTATTGTTTTCTAAAAAAAAAAAAATTAACAATGTGATCCATGGTAACGGATAACAATGTCCCATTGTCAATGGGTGAAACTAGTAATAAAAGCAGTTCAAGAGTGTGCCTTTGTGTTTACCTGGAGCTAAAAATATTCAAAACAAAATACTTTAAATTAATTTGAAATTTTTCAACATTTTTTTCAATTCTTCAAGATATAAATATATATCATCAACTTTTAAAGGACCATTACACTTTCGACTTGAAATTTGTGTGGAAAAAATGCCAAATAACGATATACCAGCTGATGAAATCGAGGACGCAAATAGTTCTCTGTCATTCAGTTCCAATGAAAATGGTTCAGTGTCAAATCGTTCCATGGCAAGTAGCATGAGCATTGGGTTAAACAACAGTTCACCACCGCTGATTGCAAATGGGCCACGCCAAAGGCAAATTTACAGTCCAATTTCTACAAATTTTATACAGCCAATATATCCTGAGCCTACACTAGACGCTGTTTTGGTAAATTGCTTTAAAATTTTTCCATTTATCTTCTTACCAATAAGTTCTAAGCCCAATTGTTGATTTTCTTTTAGAGAAAAGCATGTGGCACAACAGCCGATTTAGAAACATTGACCCATATTCAAATGCGCGTTTCCTCGAATATATTTGGTTTACATCAAATGCATATTTTTATGCCAAATTTAGTTGCACTAAATTTGGACGGTAGCTCATTGGAATCATTGCGTGATTTGGGTTGTGATTTAAAAATTAAATATTTAAATGTGAGCCGATGTGGTTTGAGAAGCTTCAATGGAATCAGTGGATTCGATACAGTTGAGCACCTAGTAGCTGATGGCAATGAAATATCGAATGTTATGCAATTGGGCGGTGCACTACCCGAATTGCATACACTCAGCTTACGCAGGTAGAATAAACACTTTCAAATGGAAAACGACAAAATCAAGGTTTTTTTTCTATTTCATTTTTTTTTTCAATGACAGCAATCGAATTAAGCAATTGAATGTCATTGCTATTCTATCGATGTGCACCACATTAACTAGCTTGGATTTAACAAATAATGTGATTACGAATACAATCGACTATCGTCAAAATGTGAAGACGGCAATACCAAATCTATTGATTTTGGATGGGTTTGGATTTGATGAAATGGGAGCGAATACAAATCTAACGGAATGCAGTTCAAGCTTAACGAGTGACATTTCAAAGGACAGCTCATCCATTTCGGAAGCGAATTTGATGAGTCGACCGTTAAGCAGTAGAAATCAATTCATCGATACAATATTGACCGATTCAACTGGACGACCTTCGACTGCAGGTGTATTGAACACTGTATATTTCATATTAGTACATTGAAAAACGAATATTTTTATTTGTTTTAGAATCATCATCGATTTGTTCGGGTGGTTCGCCAATCGTGGGAAATATAATAAATAAAGTGCGTCGCAAACGTCGCGAAAAAGCAAATGATACAAACAAACAAAGCGATTCTTCATCGGCATCTCTGTCATCACTTCTTGATACGAATTCACGAAATGCCACAAATTCAAGCAATTTTCCAATGACGTTGCCACAGACTTCAGTCTCATTGGAATTGGGTTTAATCAATACTGAACCTGCACCACAGTCAGAAGCAAGCGTACATCAATTAATTGAAATGTGTCGACGATGGAGAGTTTTAAGCCAAAAATCGCGCCAAAAGTTCAACTCAAATTCTAAATAATTTTTTTTCAACTATATTCAATTTTAAAATTGACAGAATTGCGATCACTTGGCCATTGCAATTTATTTCTGACATTCATTTTCACATTTTCAGTTTGAGTTGAAAATTAAAACAAAAGAGATGGCTTTAATCAAAGAAATTATAAATTCCCCGCAGTCTTCGAATTTACTGAAATTAAAGCAAAATTCAAGCACTCAGACCACAAGGTAAGAGGAATGTACGGAAAAAATTTCAAAAAATAAAAATATATTGTAATTTTTTTTAAATCCTATTTTCTCGCGGTTTGGTGTTTCACACATAGTGCGTGTAGTTCCAAGCTACCAGATGTCAATGCCGAAAATGATGATTCGCAAAAATTTGCCGATTGTTCAAATCCAAACAATGAACTCGTGCAGGTTAAAACAAAACTCAAAACCAAAGAACAGTTGAAAAAACAACCGGAAACAAATATCGAATCAGTGTTAAAATTCGAACTGACACATGTGCGCAAGTTGATTGACGATGCAGTAAACAACATTTCAAATTCTACCAGCAACGAAGATGTTTACGATCAAATTCTATGGATGAACGAACAGATTTCCGAATTGAGAAGCAACACCAAGTCTTATTTGTCAATGATTCATCAATTGGAAGATACACTCAGAAAGCAAGTTCACAATCGTAACGCGAATGAAATTGAAATTCATCGTTTACACGAGGAAATTACCAAACAAGTTCAAAATTATGAAAATCTTAAAAATCAATTCAAACCGTATCCAGGCCGTTCAAATCGAAGTCGGTGGATAAATCAAAATGAATTTGATCGAAGCTCTTCAGTTATATATGAAGCGTCATTGGCAGGGAAAATGAACAATCGACATTTGAGTAACTTGAAAAGAAATGCAGTTGAATACAACTGCGGAGCACCATTGCAACCGGCCAAACGCCAACGACCACAATATGAAAATGAGATTGCCTTTTTTTGATGTCAAAATAAATGATGATGCGATATCAAACTATTGTCTGGCTACTCAAGAAACATAAAAAATAAAAATAAAATCATTAATGTGAAAATCAGCATTGTTTTATTTTTTATGTAGATCTTTTTGAAAATACTCTTTGAACGGTCACAATAATTATACAGGCAGTACTGTGCAGACGATAAAGGTGAGGTGGGATCTTCTGGCATCCGAATTTTAAATATTACACTAGATAAACCTCTGATAATCTGTGCTCGCACATACAAGCATCATATGTAAAACTTATGTTCAATTCAACTACTATTGTCATGATGATAAATTTACACAGAAACTCAAAAAGATGCAGTTCCATTTGGATGATTTGTGTAAGTTGAAAGAATACATTATTTCTTGTTATTTTCAATTGAATTGGGTAAACGTAATGATCCATTGTGTCATAATTTAAAACTTATAGATAATTCGGGACTCGTGTCGTAATCATTAAAACCAAAAGTAAAGAATTTCATGTAAAAAAATCATGCACAAAATTCTATTTTTTAGTATCAATGGAATTTTAATTAAAAGTTTTAAAAAAGCCAACTATGTTCAGGTTTTATATTGACAGAAAATCTGTTTTCAAATCTAAAATCTATCATTTATTCATTGCAATTTACGTCTGAAATTCATTTTCCCATTTTCAGTTTGAGTTGAAAATTGAACCAAAAAAGATGGCTAAACTAACCGAAATTATAAATTCCCCGCATTCAACAAATTTGCTAAAATCAAAGCAAAATCCACAGAGCACAAGGTAAATGATGTACCATATAAATATGGTATACATTTTTGAAGGAATAAAATATTTAGGAAAAACAAAAATTCCATTGAATTTGTTTTCACTTTAAAGTGTGGCATGTAATTCCAAGCTGCCAGATGTAAATGCCGAAAGTGATTCTCTAAATTTCACCGTTCATTTGAAGACGGACACCGAACAAATTCAGCCAACGTCGCTTGAAATTTCCCAGTTGGATGAGGTAAGGATTTTTTTTTCTTCGAATTTACATATTTTATATGCCTGATTGAGCATGTAAGTGACGGCTTTTCAATGATTTTTAACATATAAAAAAAAGGCTAAAACGAGCAATATAAATCAGGAATCGAGTACCGAATCGGCGTTAAAATGTGAATTGGCCCACGTGCGCAAGTTGCTCGACGAGGAAAAAAAACAAAGCAATAGATTGGCCCAAGAAAATGAAATATTGAAAAAATTTCTAGAGGAAAAGATCATGGATGGTGACACCGAATCAAATTCTTCTACCAACGAAGATGCTTACGACGACCATATCTTCGAATTGAATGAACAGATTTTGGAATTAAAAGACATCACACAGTCGTATTTGGCAGATATTCATGAATTGGAAGAGGGGCTCAAGGAACAAATTTATATTCGCGATGAAAATGTAGCGGAAATTCATCATTTGCGCCAAGAACTTGCTCAACAAGTACAAAAATACCAAGATCTCAAGAGCCAATTCGATGAATCATATTTGAGTACCCATTCAATTCGTAGCTACTCACCAAAGAGAGTTCGGTTTCTCGAAAGCTCTTCATGTGATTCACCATTGACAGAAAAAGTAAACAATTTGAAAAGATCTGCAATTGCATTTGGAATGCCATTTTCAAAATCTACCAAACGCCAGCGAAACTCAAAGTGACTTTTTTTGATGTCATAAAATCAGAATGCGATATTAAGTAATACTGCTTATCATTCAATAAACATTGAAATATTAAATCATTTATGTGAAAAAATAAATTGTTTAATTTTGTCAACCCTTTTCTCCACAATGCCAATTCGATAGATCTTTTTGGAAATATTTTTTGGAATTTGAACAAAGCGCTATCACACGGCACAGAAAATGTATGGAACAAGTGTTTCGCAGATGCGAAAGAGAATGCGGAGAAGGAGGAATCATTTTGCATCGAAGAAATCATGAATAGAATCGTATGCATTTTTATTTGCTGTAAATTGAAGCAATTAGCCAACTATGATCGATTTTCGGAACAACTCTTTTTTGGCTGCATGCCGTACAAATTAGAATTATAAAATCATTCAGTCGTTGAAATTTGTGCTCGACACATCATTTTGTTCATTTGTTCAAAATCTTTACAATTTCAAAATGTACTCAAAAGTTGTAAAAGAATCATCAGAAAACTGGCTATCATTGAAACCAGATTCTCTTGTACCAATCAAGTAAGTGCATCACCGGAAATTAATTGAAACAATTAAAATAGGTAATTTATTTCATATTCAGTTCAATGCACCACACTCAAAAAGCAGAAAAGATTGTGCACCAAATTCTAACTCAACATTGTTATACAAATCTCATTCACTTCTTAGAGAATACCTGTGCTCTTTTATATGCTGAGGTAAGTATCATGTTGTGTCACTTTCTTATGAATGTCGACCTTGACCTCTGTCATATTGACTAATTGAATATTTTTCCAACCTAAGAATCATACCATCGTCGAAACGCATTCAAAGGAAAAGTCGACTATTTTAACAATGTTCGAAACAAAACTAACCGAAGCGCGTAAAATATTAAATGACACAATGATAGAAAAATCTCGCATGGAAATGGATATCGAACGATTATTTGAAGAAAATACTCAGCTGCGAAATAGATTCCACAAAGTAAACGAACAATTGAATGCATTTAAATTGTATGAACAACGTTACAATGATACAGCTTTGTTGCTCAAATCAACTATCGCTGAAAAAGATAAAGCAATCAATGATAATGCAGAAATTCAAAACGATTTCACCAAATTGAAAAACTCTTTTAATGAATTGTGTAAGTGTTTGACGAATGAGAATATGACGAGCGTTGACACCGAAAATGCGGCACAAACGCCAAGCCAAACATTGGAATTTGCTAGGAAGCTAAATATTCAAGTGAAAAAATGTCTAACAATGGAAATCGGTGAAATGGATGAACGTCCTTTGCAGCTATACAATACCGGTTTGGAAGCATCGTTAAGTAAAGAACATAAATCCAAAATGCATACCAATCGCAATGATATTGATACTTTCTATAAAGCAAATCATTTCCAAATTGAAACTAACCGTACCAATGGTGTATCAAACGATATTCAAACCATTCAGAACCAAGTTCAGGTAAATGCTAAGATTGCACAGTTGGAACGTGAAAAACACGGACATTTCGAACGTATTCATGAGCTAGAGGATTTGTACGATAAACAAATGCGCCTTCGTGTCGACGATCAAGCGGAAATTCATCGCTTGCGTGGGAAAATCGCTCAACAACTACAAGATTATCAAGATCTTTTGGACATCAAAATCTCACTAGATACGGAAATATCAGCATACAATGTGATGCTGACCACTGAAGAACAACGTTTGAATCTTTTGGGATTGTCATGCGAGCGCACGAAATTGTCTGGTTATTCAAGTGAAATCAAAGCTACACCACGAAAACGCAAATGCATTTCATTTGATCAAACAAATTAACATTTATATTGGAATTAAAATCAGTTATGCATTAAAAATAAAAAAAGTCTCAATTTTATGCCAGATATTAATAAATACAAAATGAATGGCAAACTCGGCTGAAATATTTGCTTAAAAGTACCGAAACGGCTTTACTGTGCTCTTTCTATTTGCATTTCTTTTTAGGACAGTTAAGATTCTTTTTCGCTGCTTGATGTTATGAAGTTTACATCTTTGAAACTGATGTTACAGAATGATATTTTTTTCATCATTTGGCACTTTTTCGAAACTATTGAAATGCTCAAGGGTATTTTGTTATGTCGAAAACAGGACATATCCTCAATTAGTGTCGAATATTTTTGCAACAAAAAATTTAAACGTCCCCAAAATATCCGACTGGATTTATCAGCGCTGATAATGCCCTTATGTCATTCGACAATTTTCTTAACTTTATTAAAAGAAGAGTAGACTAAAATTATGTGTCACATGACTCAATTTAGCTCACTCCCATATTTCATAAACTAAGTCAATGCTATCAAAATCAACGATAGAAGTCGGGAAAGAGCATTAAATTCATAATATTTTTCAATTATCTTTAAATAAAAAGCAATCATTCAGTCTTTGAAATTTGTGACGCTTGGTTTTATTTCTTGTTCAAAATTGATCAATTTCTAAAATGGACTCAATAGTAGAGGATATGAATGAGCTGGAATCAGCATCTTCATCACCATCAAATTTACAAGCATAGTAAGTAATGTGACCGCAAACAATAAATCGAAACGATCCAAATAAATATTCACTTGTTTCACATACAGTCCGATATTCCTCAATCAAATCGAAGAATTATTTGAAATGCAAAATTTTAATGGTTTTTTGCCATGTTATGTTTATCAAATTCACTTTACGGCCAACAAAAACACCACACCAAATGATATGGTTAGTGTAATTTCCATGTGCATTTTCCAAAATCACTCGATTGTTCACTAATTATCATTGAATTTTAAGGATGGACAAATGTATACTACAGAAACGACGGACATTAAAGCATTATTTGAATCTGAATTGGCTGCTGTACGCATAGCATTAGACGAGATATCCAATGAGAAGGCTCGAATAGACATTGAATCGCAGCGTTTGTTGGATGAAAATACTGCATTAAAAAATCGTAACACCGTCCTTGAAAGTGATATTGTTAACTTGAAGAAGAATGTAAAAGATTTGCAACACAATTTGGAAAGAGAAACATTAACTCGGGTTGAATCTCAAAATACGGCAATAACGCTACGTGAAGAATTGACATTCAATGCTCAAATTCATGCTCAAGAAATGAAAGATATGCATGTACGTATTTCAAAAGAAATCGTTGAATTGGAGAGTCATTTACGGAATGCGAAACAATCAAATTTTCTAAAATCATTGAAACAATTGCGTAACCAATACATGTCACAATTGCGTAAAAATCAAAATGTTATCCAAGCTTTGTACGACACTAAGATTAAATATTTACAAAATGACATTATCCGTGCCAATGACTCAGCTACTGCTGCCACCAAAGAAATTTCCAAAGTCCAAAGTCAAATTCCGACGTTAAATGAAAAAATTGATCATTTAGAGGGCAAAAATAAATCTTATCGAGAACGCATTCGAGAGCTTGAAGAGACAATTGATAAACAATTGGGCATTCATGGTGAAAATGAAGGGGTAATCCATCGTTTACGGAGAAGTGGCTCAACAACTACAAAATTATCTCGATCTTATGGATCTCAAAGTCACAATGGACTTGGAAATCGCAGCGTATAGAAAATTGTTGGCCGGTAAAGAAGGAGGCTTATCAGGCGAAATGATAAACCAAACTGATGAATCGAAGGAGTCGGACCAATCGACTTCAGATGAAACCGAAATCAATTCACGCAAACGCAAACGGACCGAAACCAATAATAAAAGTAAAATAACAACATGTTGATCAGTAGAGACATGCAAAAATTCAAACCATAATAAAATTCGTATAAAAATACCATTAACACGGCATTTGGGTCTTTTTACTCCATAAAAAGATGAATTTATGATCAAAATATCAAAAAATACAAATGCGGATGAAAAAACTATAAAAAAATTGATAAATCTTTGCTTCACATGAAGATCTGGGGATTAAGAAAATATTTATAAAATATAGATAAATAGATGAGATACTGCATGTAACTCAATACATGTTAGATCAGAATGTTCTTTTAGGTAACATACTGTGCAAAATGCAAATGATCATTTTTTTATCAACAAAACGTACTATGCAGCAGTTTTTTTTTTCTGTCTGTAGCTATTCTCCGTAAACAAAGCCCAAGCAAAAATGACTCTTGGTGAATATTTCCTTTTGTTATTGTGCGTTTTTCTGTCGAATAAACATAAAGTTTTTAAAATATGAGTCTGCCCATAAACATGTCAAGATTTATTTTTCTGTTCGTATTTTTTGCCATTCGATTTCATTGTTTGGAACTAACGGTAATTGTGTTCGAACAAATATTATCAAGTTGTGTTCACCGGTACATTTTTAGTTGCAACAAGAATTCGGCGGAGATCACAAGTGTGTTTTCGATTTGTCGCTATTTTTCGAACGAAGAAAAATGAGTACCGACTTGAATGGCAAAATTTTAAAGACAAATACTGTCATCACCAATTGTAATACCATCCAAAATGTGATGTAAGATGCTTTGGATTTCATTTAATTAATTTTTTTAACTCAAAATTTATTTTGTAGAATTGGATCATCAAAATCATGCACTCCGGCAGAGTTTGTGCCACTTTGGAAGGTGTATGGATTCACGCGAATGGATTCAGTAGCTTTGGTGACATCAAACGCGTCAAATTCAACCAACAATAAAAATGTATGCAAATGTGTGATCATTGTTTTGCTCTTAAACTATATATTTTATTTTCTTTACTTCCATTACTTATTGATTAATTTCCATTATTTGTGATTTACCCTAGGTATGTCTAAATATCAAAGTGAATAAAAACATTAAAATCCCAGAAAACGTGCAAATGAAATTCAAATGGAAAATTGACGACGAAATTGTGAATAAAATCAGACAAAAAAAATGCGAAGAACGGCTCCTTCATCGGACTAGATCCTGTTCAACTTAAAACAATGCAACGTTTCCAAATGAAAGAAAGACAATGATGTCCAAATTTTGTTATTATATGTACCATTAGTGAAGTGTCATTCTTTTCAAATGAACGAAACAGTGATACTAATCGGAGCGATCTCATGACACACTTAAGAATTGAATTAGTTGAAGAAGAGAAAGATATGAGATCCATTTATGTTGTCATAGTCTGGTTTAGTTGTTTAAAATGATGATAAAATCAAGATTTATACGGTCAATAAAGAAGAATTTGAATATTATGGACTAATCACATTCTTTGTCTTTGTCAATCGATCAAAAACTCAGGCAGTCAAAACCAAAAGAAGAAATCATGAAAAACCAACAAAATTTGTTAAACAAATACTCCCTCTCTCTCTCTCTCTATATATATTTTTCCAAATTCCGTTATGACAGGTCTTCAAAAGAAAAAAAAAACAATGTATAACATGCAAGTGCATCACAATACACAAATAAACACGTACGTTTATCAATCGCATGTTGAAGAAAATTCAAATGAAACCTTAACAAAATAAAAGACAAAATTCCAAAACATAGAATTGTGTCCATTGTAACACCGAGACTATCGGGATATAATGCATTTTGTGAACATAGTCATTTGAATAATAAACTCAGTCAACAGCAACAAACAAAACAAACGTTTTTATTGCATTCAATTTGTTCATTCCCTTTTTTATGACTTTTCCATACGTCGTTGTTTTAAATTGAAAAGAAACATGTTTACGCGTTACCCAAAACAAGAAGCAAAACACATTCGACTGGTACACATATGCTCAATAAAGTACGGCCGAAATAAAACATCATACAATAACAATAATAACAATCATAAGAAACCGGGAAAGTACCACACCCATGTGCTCTCTTCATCGACATCATTCTCATATATTGTTGGTATAATAACCAACGATGAAATGCGTAACTGACTTTATTCGAAAACATAAAAAACACAGCGTTTTAAACATATTTTTGCAGCAGACAGTATGACTTTTGTAAGAAATTCAAAAAAGAAAACATTTTTTAACAAATCGAGTGAAAATAATAATCGAAAATTATTTCATTTATACAGCATTTTTAAGTTAGAATTGAAATAAATGAGCATTGTTGCTTCAAAATTAAAGTCATTTTAAAATCAATCAACATAATGTAAATTTTCCATAATTGTATTTGTTTAGAATACGAAATTGAATCGGTGTCAAACCGAAATACAAAACATTTATCTTTTTCTCTCTTTCTTTCCTTCTTTTCCCTCTCTTTCGCACTTATGGGTTTCGATAACATGTTATGGTCGGTTTTGATGCATTAAAAATCGGTAACAAAGCATTCTTTAGCATTGTTGAATGTATGTGTAAAAAGTAAATGTTGATTTTGTTGTGTACGTGACGATGTGACATCGTTAGGAAAGTCACTTCTTTAAATTTAGCGCTAGCTGAGCAAGCACATTACACTCGCACATATACATGCCTGTATATTCATAAGTCCTTACGTTTCGTTATGCGTCTCAGTTTAATGGCATTTCAACCGCTAAAATAACACATACGCACAAGACCGGTGCTCATTAGTGTACATTATGGGACCCACTGTGAGTGTGCCGCTTTTACATTACACACAAGCACAAATCGATTCAGTGTCACCACTACATGCATGAAAAATGCTGGTATGAATACCGGCTCTCTTCAGTTAAATTATACACCAATACCAATGTAAAACTCAAAACATAACGGCATACATATGCACACAAAAACGAAATTACTCAGCATGGGAGCCATTTTTGTAGTAGATACTTTTTCAAATTGAGACAAGCGCGTCAGGCGTCTACTTTGCGGTGTGTTTTATGTCGAAAAAAAATAACCAATAAATTTCAAGTTTGTTGAAGTGAATTAAGATAGCTACCAGATAAATAACGAAATAATAAACGATTTGATTATTGTCCACTATTAATTTTCGGCGAAAAAAATTGTGCGTTTTGTGTGTTAATTTATTCAATTAAATTGAAATTTGTGCTTGAAAAATTTCGACATTTTTCATTCAGTTTTCAAAATAACAGAGAGAAGAAAATAAAGAAGTTGATTGAATTTGAAAAAAAAAAATGGCTTCAAAAACAAAGCATACGGGTCGTTCTCAGACGCCAACGGTGCCGAAATCAACATCGACACCAAATCCACGCTCACAAAGCCCATTAAGGTAAGCATTATCATCAATCGAAACAACAAAAAAATTTGTTTTGAAAATTACCGAAAAACAAACTCGATAACTAATTAACGTATTTCTTGATGTTGTTTTCTTTTTCGATCATTTTCTTCATTTGACATGGTTCACATGCGATTTCGGTTAATGCAATTGCATATATAAATAGTCCGACGCGCCATAGTCGTATTGCTGAGAAGGTTGAATTGCAAAATCTTAATGACCGTTTGGCTTGCTACATTGATCGTGTTCGCTTCTTGGAAGCCGAAAATTCTCGTTTGGGTGTTGAGGTAATTAGTGTTGCACTTTTCTTTCTGGCCATTTTGGCTGTTTTTTTATACATGTTCATTACACTATGAATTGCGAGTGTTATTTACATTTTGTTTTACTTTTGATTTTCCATTTTTATCAATGCTTCAATTGAAACGGTTAAAAACAAAGGTGGAGACCATCGTTGAAACACACACCAGAGAAAAGTCCAACATCAAATCGATGTTTGAATCTGAGCTGTCCGATGCGCGTAAAGTGTTAGACGAGACGGCTAAAGAGAAGGCTCGATTAGAGATTGATACGAAGCGTTTGTTTGAGGATAATGCTGATTTGAAAAATCGCTTGGAGAAAAAGACCAAGGAATTGAATGCAGCTCAATTGTTTGAGCAACGTTACAATGATTTACAAGCAAAATACAATGCAGCTGTTGCCGATAAGAAAAAGGCAATCGATGACAACAAAGATCTTGAGAATGAGATTGCCAAATTGAGGGCCGCTTTGAACGATTTGCGCAAGCATTTGGAAGAAGAGACATTGGCTCGTGTGGAAACAGAGAACACTGCACAGTCGTTACGCGAAGAATTGACATTCAATAGTCAAGTTCATTGTCAGGAATTGAATGATACACGTAAACGCACAATGATCGAAATCAGTGAAATTGATGGCCGTTTGTCGGAGCAATACGAAGCCAAATTACAAAAGTCATTGCGTGAATTGCGCGAACAATATGAATCGCAAATGCGTGCCAATCGTGATGAAGTTGATTTATTGTATGATGCCAAGATTAAGAATTATCAAGGTGAAGCAAGCCGTGCCAGTGCCTCAGCTGCTGCTGCCATTGAAGAGATTCGCACCACTCGCAATCAAATATCATCGTTGAATGAAAAGATTGCCGAATTGGAGGGTCAAACTGGCACCTATTTGGCACGTATTCGTGACTTGGAGGCATTGCTTGACAACCAAATTCGTCATCGTGCCGACGATGAGGCTGAAATTCGTCGTTTGCGCGAAGAAATGGCCCAACAATTGCAAGAATATCAAGATCTTATGGATATCAAGGTTTCATTGGATTTGGAAATTGCCACTTATGGTAAATTGTTGTCCGGCGAAGAGGAACGTTTGAACATTTCAAACCAATCGACCACCCAATTTCAACAGTCATTTGGACGTTCGGGTCGTGCCACACCAGCTGGTCGTGGTACACCATCACGGGCCGGTAAACGCAAGCGTACTTTCCTCGATGAAACTGATGAAGTCAGCACCAGCGATTTCTCTGTATTGTCAGCATCAAAGGGTGATATTGAAATTCAAGAATCATGCCCCGAAGGTAAATTCGTTAAATTGTTCAATAAAGGAGATGCCGAAATTGCAATCGGTGCATGGCAATTGAAACGTATCTCTGGCGAAAATGAAACCAATTTCAAATTCCATCGTTCGGTCAAAATTGAGTCGAAAGGAACGGTAACCGTTTGGTCAGCAGAAACATCAACCACACACGAACCACCAGCAAACATTGTTATGAAACAGAAATGGTTCCCAGGTCAGTTTATATTCATTTATTTTATTTTTTTAAATATTATATTCAACTCAATACAAAAAGTCGATTCTAATCAATTTTTGTTTTTGAAAATTCGAATTTTTTTTTACAGGTGAATTGATCAAAACACAATTGATAAATGCTGACGGCGAGGAAGTGGCCACCAATGAACGGATACGAAAGGTTTTGAACACACGTGCCACTCGTGTTCGATATGGAGAAGATTTGCACCACCAACAAGGTGATCCACAAACCAATGGCAACGAGAAATGTTCGATTATGTAAAGTAGCTGTTGCTCTGCACACCATGTACGTCCCATTTATATCATCAAAATAAATGGTCATCGAATGTTACACATATGCAAAACACAGACGCAGATATAAAAAACAATTTGCAACCGAGAAACTACATTATAACATTGAAAGAGATTTGACAAACAAAAAACAAGGAATGAATTTATTTCCACAAAGAAATTATTTTATTAGCAATTTTTTTTTTCGATGATCAAATAAAAAATCATTGTCTTTTTTTTTAAAGAAAGTACATACAATTAGGTCAGAGTATCAGTCAAATGAATAAGTCAAGATAAAACAGACAAAAAACAACCCCAAAATTGTTCATGGTACACAAAATATATTGGTAGTAGTAGTAAGAATGATAATTAGCGGGGCAGATGAATCATAAGAACCACCAGTTCCACAATAGAGTGTAAGACGACAAAATTAATAGAATAGGAAAAACTAACAAAACAACAGAATTTATATAGGTACAAAGATCACATTAATCCAGAAAATCAATTTATGCCCGAAATTAAAACACCACAATCCCAAAATGTAATGTCCGAGTGAAAATGTCCTGCGTATTTTTTGCTTTGTCGACGTTTAATATTTGCATTTGTTTCTCTTTATCATTTTACATTTCTATTAATAAATAAATATTCATTCAGTTTATATTTTGTGTGCCTTTTTTTCCATTGCGATTATGACGAGAGTCGATGCTTCTTAATAATTTTTTCTTCCTCCTCTTTAAGTTAAGTGCACACACAAAAATTAATATTTAAGCAGTAAAAAAATGAACAATTGTAATTTGTCAAATGTAATTTTCAAGCAATTTTTTTTTTAAACTGTAGACATATTCACTGCCAATATACGAATACGCCGCCGTGCAGATTGGAAGCAAATGTTGTTTTAGAAAATTAAAACAAAAATGATGCCGATTGAGGCAATAATTGATACGATTAGTCGTAATATACGATTTATAGTCACAAAACAAAAAAGAAGAGTGCTATTTTAAGAATGGCCTTTTGAAAGAAAAAAATTGAGTTTTATCTGTTACAAAAAAAAACCTATGCAAAATGTTTACTAAAAAAGCTATAATGTTTCAGTTATGTGAATCGATTAGAATTTCCCTCTTTAAATTTCACCTTCCCTCACAAATGAGTTCAAATATTTTTAAAATTTCATATACTTACTTCATTGAGAAAAAAAAACATTGTTTTGAATTAATTCACACATAAACTTAATTTGTATTGAATTAACTAATGGTACGTTCAAATGAGTAATACAAATGAAAAATAAATATATTTTAATGAGGAATTTTATTTGCGTATTTCATTTTCTCGATCGCGTCAAGCTCTAATTATTATATAAAATGCTTTAATTCAATTTGGGTCATTTTTTACTTTGCAAAACTTTTTTTTGAACGTCAAAATGAATTTATTATTGGAAATTACACCTCAATTTTTCAATTTTTTTTGGGTAGGATTTATTATATTAATTGTACACAAAAATTGTCCGTTATTTTATCTGAATAATGAAAAATTTGGTAATCGATTTAATGTTGATTTCGAAAAACTTCCGTCACTATTCATCAAGCCATTTTGAATGTCTTTGAGCTCCGGTATTCCTTTAATATTTCCGCGAGCTGCCAATGATGGTGGTGACGAGAGTATACGTTTTGCTACACGTTGAATGTCTTCTGCGGTTATTTTTTCTGGAATTAAAATTAAAGGCTTGTTAATTAGCTTTGGAGTCAATCATTTTCATTCGATGTTGAATTTTCAAGAGAAAATAAACAGAAAAGCGTTTATACGATTTCGTTTTTTTTTGTACTAACCAATTGCTTCCATGAAATGTTCTGGTTTTTTGCGTGTTCCGGTGACAAGAACTTGCCGTACAATGTCTTCAAAAACGACTGGTCTTGCTTCCAAATTCATGAGCAGTACCGATTGTAGCTGTGTCTTGGCACGTCGTAATTCCTCCGAACCGGGTTCTAATGCCATTGCAACCATTTCACGTGTTATTACTTTAACTGCATTGCCAATATGTTGTGGTGGTGCGCTGACATGAATGCAGAAAAGTCCACTGTCTACATAAACGTGATTTGAGGCAGTTGCACTGTACATCCAATGATATTGATTCAATACATTTCTATACAATCGACTGTACATTCCTTTTCCAGGTCCTCCGGCCGAAAATGATCCACCGCCGCCCATCATCAAATTCAGCACACACACTGCTACAAAATCTGGATCTTGATGTGATGTTCCTTCTAGGCCAATCACAACATGCGCCAGCTCCGGCAAACCAGCTGCCGTGAAAATTGGAATATCACATTCTTCCTGAAAAAAAAAAAAATTCAAATTCACACACATATATAGATAAATTATTCAAGGTCATTAAAAAAATTCTTCCGTACTTTGATCTCTCCGCCAGTGTATTGGGCGACTGATTTATCTACTGTAGTAATGCTTGTATTTTTTAGCGTCTCCAATTCCCATGTACTTTCCATTGTGAAATATTTTTCAACATGTTTAACGAGTTCATCGTGATCGACACCAACGCCGGCCACAACCATACGTGATGGTGTGTGATGCAATTGCAAAAATGATAATAATACGTCTCTGTCAATTTTCTCTGCATTTTCTTGTGGACATAGTTTTGGTAAGCCCAATGTATTACCACGATAAGCGGCCGCATGAATTCGATCCATTAGAATTGGTTCTTGTTCCGGTCGCATATTAAGTGTTTCCAATTCGAATAGCACCGCTTGTCGTGCAAAATCAATTTCAAATTCTTCAAGTTTTGGACGGAGTACCGCTTCGGCCAATACTCGTGTTACAGTCTCAATACCACGACGATCGGCACTCGATGCATAAATAAATGTGTCGCGTGAACTTTGACAATCACATATTCCACCATGTTTTTCCATAGCACGTAAAATTTTATCTTTGTCCGAAAACTCTTGAGTTGACTGAAATCGAAACCGTGTCAATGATAAGATAAATTGATATTTTGTTTATCGAAGAGAAACCGTTGTCAAATAAACATAATGCAAAAAAAAAAACAACGAATAGAAATTCTTACATGAAAAGCTAATTTCTCCAAGAAATGTGAAACACCACTCGGGAATGCCACTTCATATCTTGGTCCTGAGTCAACTACAACTGAAAGTCCACAATGTCATTGATTAAAGCTCATGTTTAATAATCCAAATGATAGACCATTTGATCTTACCTCCAATTGTGCAAAATTGACCGAATCGACTTTCTGATGCAACTCTCAATCCATTTGGTAGTGTTGTTATTTGAGTTTCGCGCGGTCCAATCGTTGGTTTTGCATACTCAACGAGCGGCAATCCATCTAATGGCTTAGATAATGGTGGATATGGTGTGACTATTTGTTCGTTGAGCGGTATACTAGTTGAATATTGACGTTGATCTCGATTCGTAGTCGATGTAAATAGTTGTTTGTGCGATTTATACGCTGTTGCGAACCTAAAATCATAATTAAATTTGAAAAAAAAAAATTACTTCCGAAAATCAAAAAGATAAAGATCACTTACTGTTTATGTTTCGATAACAATGTCTTCGACAAATTGGTCAGTCTTAATAACATGTTAATTGATTTCGTTTACTCTGAGCGCTCCGATATATTATTTATTTGTGTTGTCAATTCGAAATTCCTATTCGGATTGAATTAAAAAAGAAATGTTCATCAAACACGTTTCGGTCATTCGGAAAAACACCGAACACAGACTATGTAATATAGCTCTCAGCACAAATGCATCAACAGCAGAAATTCTATTTTGGAATAATTCTGTATGATATAATAGGAACCGGATTGGTGTAAATGCAAAATGTGACTTTTGAGCGATTCACTTCAGTTACATTGTACGGTGATTATGTGAACACATGTACATATATCTTTCGTGATTTTGTCTGTCAATCAGATTAATTCATATTGTTGTTGTTCCATGTGTCATATATTAGAACAATTGCTTAAACATTAGACACCCAGATGGCAGCACACTAGCTAGCTATGCGGATCTGTCAACAGGGAAAAACACGACATGTAAACAAATCATTTCTAATTCAGCCAAAAAAATACGCACATCAAGAATGAACCATGTAAATCGACTGATATTTACGGTTTTATTTGTAGTTGGTTATCGATTTTGCCGGGCAGAAAATGCCAAACTAACGGTTCAGTTGAAGAGCTCAGGTTTTCACCGGTTGGTTAATTCAATTTTTTTTATCACATTTATCCTATAAAGGTTTCAAAACATTCAAATTATTCACAGCGACTTGGAGTATGCTGTCGTATTTCCCGACTTACAGGCAAAACAACATACATTCCTTATCAAGCAACCATTGCCGGCTAGTGTTTATGTTAGCACCGATCAACTGGACGATTTAAGTCGATTTGATAAGGTAAACCACCAAACATCATCAAAAGTCATCGATTATTCGGCAATTGATATAGCTTTGCATTCTTTACAGATTAATTATTTCATCGACAAACCATTCATTGACATCGAAAAACCAACCGAAAAATCGGAACCGTTTCACATTCACTTGTTTGGTACAACTGCATTTTTGCAAACGATATCGCTTCCAGTGCACTTTCGATATCATCAGCCAGGTAAAAAGAGGTAAACATTGATTTTCTCTACACCATTGATTATTTCCAGTTCTAGCATAGATTGTTTTTTAAAAAAATATTTCGTTTTCATTGTCTAGTTTTGTAACGGTGAACATAACTTATCCAGAACTTTATGTGGAAGTTAATGAAGATGTTCCAATACCAAATGATTCAAAGACTACCTGGATGCTGTGCAAAGATCTACGACATCGATGTAAATATATTCAAGTGGAGTATGATGTACGTTTGTTTTGAAGCATTTTTATTATTGTAAATTGCGGTCACAATCATAATTTTATTTAATGTTCGCAGAATTTCTCTCGGAAATCGTTAAGTGCAAATATTCCCATTGGAAATGCAAATCTCAGCGGAAAAATAACATTTGCCACAATTGCATTGAGTTGGATAGCATGTATATGCATAATTTTTGTTATACGAAAAAAGTACAACTCACTTAAAATCAAATTGAAATAAAAAAAAAAGTTATTAACAAATGACGGAAAATTTTCGGAATTTTATTTTTATTGATAAATTTGAATTTTAGACTGAAGGCAAATTTTGGAATTTTTAAAATGCCTCTAAATACGTTATCACTTTGTCTGATGTTAATCAAATAATCAACAAAGCAAGCAAATAGGCGCCTCTTTAAACAAAACAATTTTAGGTCATACACATATTGTGTTCCTTCACTGTTATTGTTCATTTGAAATAGCGGAAATGTACTAATATGAAAAAGGTTCAATGGAACTCTTGCGCCAGAAATTCTACTGAACGATTTGGAGATTTCAATGAATTCTTACATTTCACATTATCCATACTATTTGACGAGAATTCATATCTTCCATTTGATGGAAATCGATACTGTCAAGACTTTGGAACTAGTAAAGGTATTGAAACTACTAGTTGAAACATGGTAGTTTTGTTTGTTTACAGTTTTTTCTTATTTATTTTTTCTAGCGATGACGTTATGTATGCGATATCGTTGAAACTCAAGTTTTTGTGCATGAGTTTCAGTTTTTTTGCACTTGAAAATCGTGATCGATCATTTTTTTTAAATTCAATTTTAATTTTTAAACCAAAGTCACCCGAATTTTACAAATCAAAGTGACCTGCAATTGAATTCATTATATTATCAATAACACAAGCGAATCAAACAATTGAAAATTTATATAAGTCTTGATCGTTATCACTCAAGTGCATAACTACATAACTGTTATAAATAAATCAAACATCTTATTACGCAAATCGATTGTGTTTGCAAATGTGATTTTTTTTCCATGTAAAATACATTGTAGAAAGAATTATAAGAAATATGATAATGATAAGAGTTACAATGTAATTTTTCTTCAAAAAAATTCCATTCAAAATTGTAATCGATTGGGATTTTTGGCACAAGAACGACTTGAAAAAATTAAAAAGAGATTTCAAATAATTCTTCTCGCCATTTCCAAATCACGTTTCCTTTCATTATTGCACAATATTTCGTATCAACTTTATCGAAAACATTGAACATTTGAATTTTCAAGTGTTTATTATCACCTATTTTTTTCTTGCTTTTTTCGAACCAATCAATTATACTACTCTGATTACTTTGAATTCTCTTTTTTTTTCGATGGCAATCATTAAATAAGTATTTATCGGTCACGAATGATTAAATGAGAAAATACGCACGAGACTCTATTATTTGAATCACAAACAATAAATATCTATTTTTAACGTGTGTCCCATTCACTATTTTCTTGTTTATTATTATTTATTTGTTTACCAATAATAACAATTTGTTTACATTCCCTTGTCATACAGTTTTTGTTTTTATTTTTTGTGAAAATGATGTCGTTGCCAGCTTCATTGTGTAGTACAGCACGGCATAAACTGGACACACATATCATAGCCATCAATGTTATCATTCAATTGAAAAAAAAAACGGACACGTAGCAACCAAGTGGACACTGGATGGAAAGTTTTTTCTCTGTGTAAAATCATGTAATCTGTGTATGTGCACTTTATCGCAATAGATCGATGATCGATTTTTATTTAAAAGCGGGCTCTTGCTTCGATCATAAACAGAGTCTGAATTTGAAAGCCAGGCAGATAGCACACACAAGTGAAGAGTGTTGAACAGCCCACAACCACCTCACCGAAATTCATCGTTTTCTTCGCAATCCGCAAGAAATAGTGGTCTCGATGGTGAAACAGTTTTGGAACCGTGAAAAATTTCGAAAACTAAACATTAACACTTTATCGAAAAACTTAATTATTATTTATTATCGTTATAAGTAATTTGTCGTCGCTGAAAAAAAAAACAATACAGAGAGAAAGAAAGAAAGAACCAACACCGAGAAAATGATATTCATCGTTTTACTTTTTACCGTATCAATACTTGCCTACGTATACGTACAATGGCGCTATTCATACTGGAAACGATTGGGGTAGGTTGAGTAGATATTAAGCTTATTAAATGTAAAAGATACAAATTTCTTATTCTTATGTAGCGTTCCATGCCCCGAGCCGTTATTCTTCTTTGGAAATGTACTGGAAACCATTACAATGTCATCGCACATTGCATTATTATGCGAAAAATGGTACAAGTAAGTAGCCAGATTTCTCTTTTTCTTTAGAAAAACTTTCGAATCGAGAGTGAATCGAAACAAGCAAAAATTAATTCTTTTGATTTTTCTTTACTCAGTGAATACTCCAACGTACCATACTCTGGCTATTATAAAATTCTAAATCCTGCCGTTAATTTACGCGACCCAGATTTGATCAAAGATGTTCTTATCAAAGATCATTTCAATTTCCACGTTAACGAACAGGATTTTAACAAAAAATACGATCCACTGATGGCACACAATCCATTTGTTGCGACTCACGATAGCTGGCGAAAAGGTCGAAGTGTTCTCACACCATTGCTAACTTTATTCAAGGTAAAATCATTTATTACAATCAAAATTTTATAAAATAAGCACTCGACAAATACGAAATTTATTTCTTTTTTAATAATTGAAATGTTTTTATTGTTGTTAACAGGTTCGGACATTGTATCCATTGGTGAAAGATAGCTGTGATAAACTATCAAATTATTTAAAAACTATTCCACAAAATAAAGATATTGAAGCAAAGGCGGTAAGTCGAATTTTCTTTCATTTATTCCCTTTTGATTATTGAATATGCTTTAAATTTGTTTGCTTGTTTTCTCCCACCAAAATTTTCCAGTTGGCATCTCGATTTGCGACCCAAAATGTAATTCGTTGTTCGTTCAGCATTGATTCACAATGTTTTACGGATAAAAAATCGGAGTTCCGTGATATGGGCAAAAAAATATTCCAGCCTACATTTTGGGGTGGAATCAAGCTGATGATGATGTCAATCTGTCCAATTCTTCGCGATGTCATTCCATTTGCATTTGTACCGGCCGATGTAGACGAATGGTTCCAAGGACTGGTGCGTCAACTTCGAGAGGAACGAAAACATTCACCATTACAACAAGAAGATCTATTTCAAATGTTACTAAACTCCGTCGAAAAATATGGTAAGTTCTTGATTTTTGGTTTACATAAAAATTGTCGGTAGTCAAAATATTCTCGATTTATTTTTAAGATATCAATGACATCGAACTAGCGGGATACTCGCTTACATTATTTGTCGAAGGCTATGAAACATCAAGTAGTGTTTTGGGATTTGCAATCTATGAAATGGCCCGAAATCCCGACATTCAAGAACGTTTATACGAAGAAATCAGCGACGTATTAGCAAAATATGATGGAGAATTTACATTTGAAGCACTTCAAGAAATGGAATACCTAGACAATGTCATTCATGAAACAATGCGATTGAATGTTGTTGCGCCATTAATTAGTAAAGTTTGTACCAAAGAATACACTCTGCCATTGATCGAAGGCCAAAAAGAACCAGTCACACTTCATCCAGGAACACCAATCCAGATTTGTGCACGTGCATTGCATATGTAAGTCGTGTTTTGCAACATTTCAATTTTCGAATCAAAATTTTACTCATGAAAAATAATTTCAGGGATCCAAAACATTATCCAGAACCCGAAGTATTTGATCCGAATCGATTCAACGAAGAAGAACGCCGAAATAGACATAAGGCCGTTTATTTGCCATTTGGTGAGGGTCCGAGAATGTGTACGGGCATCAAATTCGCAATGGCACAAACGAAGGCCGGTTTGGCATCGATTGTACGTGATTTCAAAATTAACGTATCACCGAAACAAAAACCATTCGTCATGGATATTCGTGCATTTTTATATCAAGCACGTGACGGATTGTACGTCAATTTTACGCCAAGAACAGGAGTGGCACAATAAAAACTGGAAAGACTTTTATTTTAAATTCATTTTTTCGAAGAAAAAATATATTTTTCAGATCGTATTCAAAATGTCAACCTTTTAAATAAAAATTGTATCGGAATTTTAAATAAATAATTTTGATCTTGAAAAAAGTGAAAATTTTCATTGATTTTAAATGATTTGATACTAATTTAAGTTTTAAAAAAAAATCTCATAACGAAACTGTGAACATTCAAAAATCGCTCCAATTTAGTATATTCTTGATGATTCCATGACACATTCGTTCGATTTTTGTACTAAAAATACAACAACTGTTTGAGCTGTCAAACTTCAAATTCATTTGTCACAGCAACTACAAAACAGTTGGAAATAAAACAAAACAATAACCATTCTGTTCTCTTTTTTTATTAGATTCGCAATAAAATTGCGAATAAAAAACCATGACAATTGTATGCTAATAAATCAGTAGCAACGTATATGTTTGTATCCATGTGTCTGAAGCCGATCAGAATAATTGCGTCCTAATATGGATTGCGATGCATATTGAAATGAATCATTCACACATACGAACGTGCCCGAGATGTATATGTATGTTTCAGTTTTGAATCATATATTCGCTCTGTCTGTCTTACGTATTGTGTTCATACAACTTCAACGTGAGTTGATTGACGTATTGCCGTGTGTTAAAAACAGTGAAACACACAAATCACACTCACATGTAGATTATTGTTTGTTTTGGATGTATATTTTTGATTTTGTTTTTCTTATTTTGATTTTATCTTTTTCCAAATCGCTACCAAACCAACGAATTATTGCAAAAGTTAAAATAATTTGTGGCGAGTGTGATGCAAATAAAATTGAAAGTGTTTTTTATTTGGTAAATACGCGGTATAAATTGGACATAAAAACAGAATACAAACGAGAGATAGAAGAAAAAAAGAGTTTCAAGAACAATCGAAACGACGAAGAAAAAAAAAATTCGTAGTATTCGACTTATTGACAAGTAGTTGTCGTCGTTTGTGACTTTTATTGTCAATTTGTACAAGGTGAAACATAACAAACAAAAACAAACTATCAATAGTGAAGTGACACAGTTCATTGTTTGGAAGCTGTTTTAAAAACATTTCGGTGAGTGAACGAATAAAATAATTAATTTTCAATGTTGTCATGATGACAAATTCGAATTTTTGTACTACTACGCATTCCTATTGTTCTCAAGTGCATTCTGACAACATTCGGTTTGATTTTCAAGTGTGGAGCAAAGAAAGAAGCAATCAAGAATTTGTTACATCGCATAATCAAGAATTTGTTTTTTTTTTTTCTATTTTTCAAATGCGATAAAACGACGGTTATCGCTAATAAATTCGCTCTGCTTTGCTATTACATTCGATTCGTTTGCTTTTCTATTTTGAGCTCATTATTATCTGTTGGCTTGTATTTTTTTGTGTGCCATCGAATCCATTCAGAGTACTTGTATACCGAAAAAAAAATCATTTAAACGGGATTATATGATTGTCATCGATGACGTTCGTTGAGAGTTTTACTTTATTCTTTCGTTTCATCGTACATTTTAAATGTAAATTTGCCTGTTATACACTGAGGGACAGAGAGTGAGAGCAACAAGTGATTGACTGTTGCACATCAAGTGGTTTTTGACAGTAGCAGTTTTCGGCATATTTTTTATTTGCGCTCATTTGGTTCAATCTAGTACGAATGGATGCAACAGATGTTGCACCCGAATACATCGATTCAATTTATTTGTATACCGGCCACAGTTGGTGTCTACCGACCAAATTTGTTGCTCCATTTTTTTCTCTCTTCGTTTTCGAGTTCAAAACGGTTGATTAGGTTCATTTCCTTTTTCGCAAATTGTCTTACATTTTAGTTTATTTTTTGTATCCTGTTCCAATGCAGATATGCATTAATATCTTGACAGCTTTAACTTAATGATAGGCCATTTGATTGATGCAAAAATAAAAAATAAATAAAAATCAACTAAATTGAAAATAAATCGACATAAATAGTTTGACCCAATCGACCTGGCCATTCATTCGGTGCCAGAGAGCTCCAAGCACATTGCAGTTTTCTATAAGTTCAGGCCATATAGAGTGCCATTATACAAAAAATGAATTCACATCGACGAAGTCAATGAAGTCAACAATCGCTAAAATTCGCGCAGTTTGTCGACTCGATCCTGGCTTTAAAAAACGTACATTTTCAATTTGTTTATATGTGTGATTGTGGCTGTTTCGCTACAATGTAGCCGGCTCAATCATTTTTAAATGTCTTACTCGCTCTCTCTCTCTCTCTCCCAGCCTCACAATTTCTCTCTGTCTTGCTTTTTTCGCAATTGCTTACTTTCTCAGCGCCGGTAAAGTGCCGGTACGGTAAAAATTTCCGTGCTCATCATTCTGGTATAAATTATGCGAATACATTGATGCGGTTTAACGTTTTGAAATTTGAACTTAATCAAAATTTCGAAGCGTATCGAATAGATGGCGGAGAGAAAAACAAAAGCAAAGAAAGAAAAGAACCTGAACCATTCCAGTTGATTAGTTTGTTCACACAAAATAAAATGCATACGCAATCTTTCGAAATAACGACAAAACACACCTTCTTTTCCATGCACTTGAATAAGAGGGAATGCAAGCAATGCATGAGAATGAGATAAAGATACACAATATTCTCGAAAAGAGAATGATGAGTTCGCGCACCCGCAAATATTTTTTTAAAGAATACCAAAAAGCATCAACCGAACAAAAATCGAACGCTGTAAATAGACTCATCAATACCAGCAACCAGCTGTGCAATATCTCATTTAGACAGAGTTGCTGTTATATTGTGCATATACGGCTTTCGCTCTTCATATTCTTGGCGATATTTTTCATCGTTCGTCGTCTCTGACCACGTTGACTATTTTATACGTTTCAATGCGCAAACGAGTCAGCGCGTTTGCATCTCCATTTGTAAAATGCCACAATCGATTCGATCCTATTAGGTGCTAATAATATTGAACCACGATTACATTTATTCTGTAATAAATAACACTTTCGATGGCAAAAGGTTGACATAATTTCATTTAAAATGAGATATGACCAAATGGACATGTGTGGCTTTGACGCTCTTTTTTGCCATCGTTCTTTTGCATCGCTCACATTGATTTTTCCATCTCGCCACACTCTTCTGCCCTTTCTTCTTCTTCGGTGCACCGAATGTTGGTGTGATGCCTGCATTTTTCGCATACCGCTTCATTGCTATTCATGTTAACCAAAGCCAAATAGATACAGAACAAGAGTCTCTATTACACCTTTTGCTTTGCAAAAGTAATTCTACAATGGTGCTTTTTTTTCTTCTCAATTCTTTTTTTTTTTGAATTATTGTTTTACATTTGAATCGCATCTTCTTTCTTTCTCTCGTCGTGTATTTCGCTACAATGTAAATCGCTTGGACAGCGATGGCATTAATGTTATACTTTATTACTGCATTATTTTCAAACGTTGAGAATGGTTCCCATCGCAAGAATCAACACGCAATATACACTCAATTTGAATGAAATAACGATTTCCACTTCGAAGAACGGATATGAAAGCGATTATTATTTTTCGTCATCTACCTATCTATATCCTTTTCCTTTACTTTCTCTATTCTAAAATGTGACATTTTTACGATCACTCGCGCACGCATACAGTGTCACAATAAAATAAGAATGTAAATTTGGTGTGGTGTACAAACCGGATGAGTGAAAAAAAAATGTTCGAATATAGTTAAAGTTTTTTTTTTCTCTGATTTCACACATAAATGTCGGACGCCACAAAAAAAAGAAACGACCAAATAATAGTATTGATATGTATGTGGTTGGGAGTCGTTATCAGTTCAATTTCGAATATTTTTTTCTTTTCAATTTCAATTAGCATATTCAATTGTTTTCTTAGAATTTAAATTACGTCTCGGTTTTTTTTGTGGTTTCTCTACAGGAAATTTCAATTCACCTAAACCAAAAAAAAAAAAATGTTCTCCGCAGTAGTATGCGCGGAAAAGTAAACAAAAACAATGCTGGTCAATTCAAAACCAAAAAAAAAAAATCAATTCCAAATTTCATTGAAACTCATTTTTTTCATCGCACAGACAATTCACAAGAAAGTGGCTATATCAACTCAAGTCTTTAAATTAAATTACGTGTGTATAAATTTAAATTAAGTTGAAAACAAATATAGTTAGTCAGAGGCGGCTACGCCACAAATCGACGACTTCATAAATTTAATGAAATTTTAATTTCGCTTAATTTTTGTTCACTCTGTTAGTGCCGTAGTACGTAGACATGTGTGTGTGTGTGTGATTGCCCGAATCGACCCATTAATTGTATTACCAGTTGTTTGAAGTAATTTATTCGATAAAATGATTGAAGAAATGGCAGAACGTCGCTTACATTTTTCATCATCTTCAATATCGGTTATATGCCACCCATATCAGATTGACCACATCTCTGTATATGCCACTCATATACTAAAGACACCAAGTCACACACAAAAAATGAATAAAACCAAAATGTGTGCAACAATCAAACTACTTGTATGACAATCATATGGAAATAGAAAGTATTTGTCGGTCCCGGCATTTGTTCTTTGTTGCTTGTTTGTTTTATATATTTTTTCATGTTTCGTTTACTTTTGACTTCTGTGTATGCGCACAATGTGAGGTTGTAAAAAATTAAACATTGCGTTTGCGGTTGATAAATTTAACTCTCGTGCTGATGACAGTGCGCTTGAGTTTTATGAATGAAATCAATTAAAATAAACGCTAAGTGGAATTTCTTTCATTTTTATTAATAATTGGACATGCAATTGTAGCACATTTTTAGCTTCATCAAAGTATATACTTCATTCATGTTAATTTATATATCAGATGTGATATTTTAAGTTCAATAAAACATATGAACATCAAACATGAACTTTCTCCCAAAAAAAAGACACCAACATGGTAAATAAACAATGCGAGAATTCAATAATCTAATGACATTTTGTTGACAAATTTTCTTTCAAAAGTAAATACATGCAAGAACCACATTAATTTATCCAAATGTTTCTTTCATATACCAAATTTATAACATTGAAAACAGTGTTTCCTACATTCAAAAATGTTATTCGTATTATCTAACCTTGTACCGTAAATGTACACAATACGCATAAAATGACAAAAGTTTCATTTATTTTAATAAATGTAAACTTCAATTTATTCATTACCTTTATGTCTTCGACTTCATAAGTTTTTTTTTGTTCTTTTTGTTCTGTACTCATGCATAGAAAATTCTTTCAATTCGTCAAGGGTGTATGAGCCAAATCTTTCTCGCCGTAATCGATTTTGAATTGCTTGTATCGGGAACTGCTACACGCTAGATAGAATCGATTTTCGGCTGGTCTACCTCATCGATTTTTGACCATTTCCCCCTTGATTTTCCAGGGTCAAAATTCTGGTTAACCTATTTCTTTGCTTCCGATCAAATTTACCTTGGTAATCTCAGCTTAAAAATGCATTGCTTCCGGAAAAGGATTTATAATTCACTTACGTTCAAGTTTTCGGATCCAACATCAACCACTTGAATGTAATCAATTTGGATATGTGGATGAATACGATTTACTATAATTTCCAAAACTTACATGTTGATATTTCATTGAAAATTGTTTACAATCCAAAAGTAAATATCAATCCACTTGTGAACGGTTACGTTTTGCATCATATTTACTTTGTACTTTGAATATTTGCAGTAAAAAATACCTTATAAAATCATTAAAAAAAACTAAACCGTACGTTTGGTTGATGTGAATAGCAATTGGTTTAAATGGCATTAAAAAAAATTGCAAAGGTCGCACCGCAATGAGCAATGCTAATAACCCTGTAAAATAGTGATTGCGTGAGATTTTGTGTGCAAAATGCAACAGAATAATATTTATCCTTTTAAATTCTCCGGCTAAAATTGCAAGACAAATAAACACCACTCATAAATGTATGGATTTGTGTTGAGTGAAAGTTGCAAGTAACATGCATACATACACCACAGATCGATTCTGGTAAGAAAACAAAATGACTGTGCAAGAATATTATTCAATTTGACGGCGGATCAACGTCGTCGCATTTCGAACAATCAACATGATTTTCCCACATACAAACGATTACACATCAACCGATTTGCATGGGCGCTATTTTATGATTCAACTCATAATGATTGAAAGATGTAATTTAATTGAAAGAGATGTTGATTCGAACTACCATATTCGATGCCAAAAACAAAAAAAAACTGAAATTTCAAATTAAAAAAAAACGAAGATGTGCAATTTTAGGGGAGTTTTTACAGCTTTCGCGTCGCAAAAAAGCAGCGAGTAATTGTTGTTTTACGTGTGTACCAATGGTGTTTGCTTTAGAGTATTTATAGTCATAACTGAATGTTAATTAATTATTTATTATGACTGGACGGCAAAATACTACTAATTAGCCAGCCTTCTTTGCTTTTTTTATTGTACTTTTCCCATTCGAAGTATGTGTGTGTAGTTATTTTTTTATGTGTCGCTCTGTTGTCGTCGTCGTCAAAGTCGTCATCGCTTGGTGTAGTCTTTTGTGTCAGTGTTTTTTTTATTTCGCTCTTTTGTCATGTAATTTAGAAAAATATGTTTTAATGTCGAAAAGTGAGCGTCTCTTCGAATTGTTGATGATGATATTGCTTAAGGTGTTTTTATAGTTCATAAAGCGGGTCGCGATACAAGTGTGTGTGTGTGTATATATGCTTGTGAGCTGCTTTGCGATTTGAAGCTACTGTTCCGCCATACAGTAGTGACTTTTGATTTAAGCAACGAAAAAAAAAACAAACAAATAAAATACCGGTATTAATCTTGAATCATTTTGCTCACATCGAGAGTGTTGCCACGATGAGATTTAATCAATTTTAACGTTAATCCGATGTGACAATATTAATCACAACACAAAATTCCAAAACACAGCACACTATAACAGATGCATTAAGACTTTTTTCCAGCAAAAAAAAAACCGAAAGAAAGAAAACATACCAAACAAATCCTCACAGAGAAATAGAGATAACGCGATGTCATATATAAAATACGCATATGTATATATCATTCGGTGGCTTCAATGCTTTCTGTTGGTTTTTTATGTGTGTGCGCGTATTTTAATTCACTTCGGTTGCGTTTTTCATTTCATTTCATTTTGTGGTTTCGGCTTTTTCTGTTTCGGTTTCAATCGCGCGAAGATCATAAAATGCCACAAATGATGAAAATGTTTGCTGATGAAAAAAAAAACTGTCATGTACACACACATCCAGCGATGACACGCTGAAGAAGATAACGAATTGTAAAGCTTCTTTTCGAAGTGATTACGAATGATTTGACAAAATGTTTTGAGTAAATTATTTTGAGTGACCGAGAAGTACAAGTGTAAATAAACTGCAAAATCAAAATGAGAACGACGGTAAATAGGTGATGATCAATATAAAAACAAACACCGAAAGTGAGGGCAAACGATCCAAAAAAAAGAATAATTTCCCAAAATCACCTTGAGCATGGCCAAGTGTTTCGACTTCAGCACGTTGAAGAAATTTGTTTTTTTTTTTTTTTTTTTTTTTTTAATGAAATAATGTAATAATAATTCTCGTTTATTGTTCGTGACACCAACGGTTCATGTGCGTGTCCGCTTTGTCTTATACCAATACTAATGAGGCCGAGAGAGAAAGAGATCTAATAAAACCGCATTGTCTCATTGACTATCTGTGAGCAGCCTTTTCAAACTTTTCCGCATATGAGAAACACAATTAAATACCATAAACTGATTCTTGTTACAAGAGCCGAACAGCAATGACAGTAACGAACGTTCTTTACTACATATGTTCCGAAACCGCTTATGGTTATAAGCGCCAATGTGCCGACAAGTTGACAAGCGTGTATGCAATGCGAACCTTATTGTGGTACAAACGAGTCATTTTTAGTTTTTTTTTTTTTTTTTTTTTTTTTTGAACAAACCAGTGGTGAAAGCAAAGATTTGTTTTGAAACTAATTGGTTGAAAAATTTAAAGACAGAAAAAATAAACGAATCAGAACAGACGAAAAGATCCTTAAATCAAATACAAATATTTCATATGTCAAAATATGACTATTGAAAAATGTGAAAAGAACTGCAAGAAAAAGAAGAAAACAGTTTATTCTGTCTAATACGAAGTAATTGATAAAATTGAGCAAATTTTCGAAAATTGAATTGTTTTAGCATTGATAAAATGAATTAAAGAAAGAAATATTTCCGAACACATATAGCATAAGCGCATTGTAGCATCTCTCTGATCACGGAATCGCCAATATTTTTCTATCGAGTGTGTAATAACATGCATTAAAACAACCCACACTTCCACATGCACATGAACTGTGCAATGAATTGCATACAGTGTCGCCAAGAACATACACACACTCATCTATTGAACACTGAGCGGGCTCGATTTGTGCGCGCGGGCTACACAATGCACACGGGTACAGGCAATGTCCGAACCACCATGTATATAAAATATAATATTCGTTTAAGTAACTTTACTTCATACACAGCTCCCATATGTGTAGTTTGAGATTCGAGATAGAGGTTTCGTTTCTTTTAATTTTTCGTTACTACGATCTCTTTTCTCTCTTTCTCTCTCTGTCTCTGTTGTTGTTTCATATTTTTATTTTTTTTTTTTTTCATTTTAATTCTGAATTTTTCGTTCTTATTTTCTTCCCTCTTCGGTGTGTTACTTCTTATTTCCATTTCGATTTATTAAAAGTATAGTGTTGACTGTGACTCGGTTGTGATGCGATTGTGTGTGCATGTAAGAATGTGTATTTGGCTTATGAATGCATAATATTTGAACGTTCACATCATATTTGAGAAGCAACCGCAGCAGCGGCAGCAGTTAAAGCAACAGTATAACACAGATAGCCAAGCAGCAGCAACAGCGTCTGCAGCGACAGAAACAACCATATTCTATACGACTTTAGCGTATTATCTATCTTCTACATTAGCTTTTTCTTGGCCAGTGTTACTCATGTGTGTACAGTTTTTCGTATTCCAAATATCGTTACTTTTTTTTTCCTTCTTATTCTCTTGCTCATTCACACAATTCGTTGTATCTCGTTTTCCCCTTTCGTAGTCATTGTCGTTTCTCTTCTCATGCGCGCCCGTTCGCTTGTTCGCCCATTCTGTTTCTCTCCTTCTCTGTTGCTCATACACATAAACCCGATTGCGCCGATTAAATGTGTTTACTGGAACTCATTTTGTCTATCGGCTGTTATTCGCCTTGCTTTTTGGTTTGTAATATATGTGTACACACGGCGCGCTCTGACAAAAATCCGACACATACAATATACACAATCAGGCCCAAAGCTTCAAGTCTACTTAAGGCAACCGACTCGAACGGACGTGTGCACGAAACACAACACAATCCAATTTCGATATTCACATACAGAGAAAAATAAATAAATATTGTTATTGTGACATCTACGGCCGAACATATTTTCATTGGTTACGCGATTCATATACAAAAAAAATATATTTTTTTGTTCTTCCTTCAAATATTTGACCATTCAATCGATCAATCCTTTTTGCACGATTCATGTTCATTCGAATATCCTGGACGTGTGTGCGACCAAGTGCTGCAGTTTCTCACCTGCACACATATTTTTAACTCAATCAATTTACAACTGATTTCCGGCGAAAATTTAACATTGACTTGTATAATTATAATAGTGAATTATTATTAATTTTTTAGTTGTGCTGTTTTAAACGAATTTAATTTCATTGAAAAGAAAAATTCCACATTGAATAATGAATTTTTTGACAAAATTAACCACAAAATAATCACATTGATAAGATTTATGAGAATATAAATTGAGAGTAACTGAAAAAAAAAGAGATTATAATTTGATCGGAAAAATACCGGCATTTTTTTTTGTTGCCTGTCTACTGTGGCTTTGAAATAGAAACATTTTTTACAACAAAAAAAAAGAAGAAAAAAATAAACGCAACACTAATTTAGTGAGAAATCGATTAAAATCAGAAATAATATTGTCAAGTGTGATCATATTTTGCAAATTCACAAACTGTTCAAACAACTCTAATTACTCATCTGTCCTTCTGTGAAATTCTCATCACAAAACGGTATGTATAGATATATTTTCTTTATGTCAACTCAACTATATTATGTGAATATACAAATAGGTTCGTGTGTGTTATATTTTGCAACAAAATGACATCACGAAAATGCGTTTTTCTTTGTTCATTACGTTTGTTGATGATTCGCAAGAATTTTCTAAAGATATGCATTGATAAATTGCTTGGTCGGCGACTAATCAGTATTCATTGTTGTTGAAAGAGAAATCGTTTTCGTCATTAAAAAAAACATCTACAATTATCGCTCACCATTATTTGTGCCTTTTATCCCTTTTTTATCAAAATAATTTCGATTTTGTCCAATTTATTTTGAATTCGGAAATATAATAAATGTACTTTTTAAATGACACCAAATACTCTGCCGCAAATGTTTCTTGTAAGTAGCTGAAAATAGTAGCGAAAATTCCAAACAAATATCAGCCACTGAAATACATATCTGTCGAAAACATTGTATCGTCGAGCGCATCTATATGCTAACGCATGCAAAGCAAATAGCATTTGTTGAGATTTTATGCAGTGTTTTTGATCATAAAACAACTAGAACAACATCCAATTAATTTAATTACGTGAGAATGAATTTAACTTGTACTATATCTTAACCGATAATGGTATTGAGGGTCGGAATCGTATCGGTCGCTATCGATCCTCTTGCTTTGCAAAGAGTAAAAAAAAATATCACTAATTCTAGCAATACTGTTTTGTTGCGCGCACATAGCAAGATAAAAACAACCGTGTTAGTTTGAAAACACCTTGTTGTCTTTGTCTGTTGTGTTGCCGTTTAACTTTGGCTATTGGAAAATGAACGATAATGTAAAAAGTGAAGCGCCGCAAGGCGTTGTGTTCTAAATGATTTTGTCGTGTTTACTCGACAAATGGCAATACATATATTCAAAGAACGATCGAATGCCAAGCATCTATGGATGGTAGAGTGCATATTCCAAATGCTATTAACTGAATTGTCTTTCGGCATAAGCGTGAATGATAAAAAAAAAGAACCAAAACGACAGACATCGACACATGCACCATCGAGAAAAAAAGATCTTTTACACTTGGAGCCGTGAAAAATAACATATCCTGTAATGTCAAATTCGTATTTTCTAATTGTTTTTTGCTCACCCATTTTTACTGTGTGGCATTTCAATTTCTTTCTTTATACATTTCCGATGAATTGCCCATAAACAGAACGAAAGAACTTTCTTTGGGCATATGCACAAGAAAGAACAAATGTCTAGGCGCCAAACGTGAATAACATGAGAAAATAAACTTGAACGAAAAACACACACATACATATTTCACACGAATCACATGCAAAAAGGAGATATCGAAAGATTTCAATTAAATGGTTTATCACATTCAAAGATCCTGATCGTACACGCGCTCATATTACATTAAAATGCAAGATAATTCAATTTTAAAATTACCGTTTCTTTTTGGGTGTGCCAAAATACTAAATGTTTCTCATGGCAATGCGTGTGTCTAACGGCCAAAAACGCCAAAACAATGCCAAATTAAATATTCGACAAAGCAGCCGATGAAGAAAAAAAAACACGACACATTTCAAGTACACTTGGATATTGTAATGTAACAATGGTAAAAAAATAGACAATTACGTTAAGTAAACGGTACGAATTTCAAAAGCTATTAAAATTGTTGTGTGGATCGTTGTTCTGTTGCACTTATTATTCATTTACGTGAAGTTTTACGCGCTTTCTCATTGCCAAGAGAACTGACCTAGCGTGTACTTTGAGCGAGAGAGTGAAATAGAGACAATGTAAAGACAAATCTGGTTACTTTAAGCAAATAATGCCAAAATAAATCGGCGAGCAAGAACGAACGAGACGAAAATCGTCAAGAGCATAAACAAATAATAAGGAATCAGAGGATGCTGCCGTTGTAGCAACGCTACAGCTTTTGTTTGTATCGGTTTAATAGAGTCCGCGATGCTCAAATGCGTGTACGGTGCCATATGAATCTCAATTTATCAATTCCTATTCGCGAATTACAACAATTATACACCAAATACGCTAACCAGTGCTAACGTGCAAATGGCTTTAAACGCCATGATCACACCATACCTTTTGCCATATACAAAAGAAACAAAGTGCAGAAGAAGTTGAACAAAAAAAAAAAACAAACAATATCGAAATGGCAAACAGCACAACGTTATGCCGAAGCCAAAGTCGAATCAAGAAAGGAGCAAAAGATGAGTGCAATTGCATATTCAAAAAGAGGTGGTTTTTTACAATAACATAAATAAATTTATAATACAAATAAATCAATGAAAAAAAAGTGTGGTGCACACATAAGGAATGAATCAAAAGAAAAATATATATAGAGAGAGATTCATTATATTTTTCGGTTGAATACAGAATTTGTTGCCTTCGTTCCTCATTTTTTTTTCGTCGATTTTAGATGATGGTTTCGTTTTTTATTATTGTTCGTGTGTGTCTTTTGATTCACACTCGGCTCATTCGGGATTGTTATAAAGTAAACATATACAATGCGGCGCGGACAAAATTTGCAATAGTACAATGTCCGGGAATGGGAAAGCTCAGAAAATAAATCGATGAAAATGGGCAAAAACTAGAATTGAAATAATTTCTACTGCATATTTATGTTTCCTATGTTAATCTGTTATGTGTGTGTGTGTTGGCTGTAGCTTTTTTTCAATTCATATATTCATTCTTGGCATTGATAATAACGAACGTTATATGCTTAATACGCATTAATATTTACTTGTTACGATGATAATAATTGTAAATTCTATTTTGTAGCATGTTTCAAACCGAATCACATACACAAAACATCAAGAATTTCGAATATATGTATATATAAAAAAAAAAGAAAATAATATTTCTTCTGCTATGTATTTTACTTTTTAAGCAACAAACAATTTCAGCGCACGACGATGATCGCCGCCAAACTGGTTCAGTCCCGCTTAATTATAACTTGAAAACTGTTTCCACCAAACAAATAAAAAATAATACCAACAATGAAACGAAACCAAACAAAAAAAAATTATTATTACAATTTCGCTGAAAAATCATTGTGTGTAGAGAAGAAAATGTTTGTATATTTCATTTTCGTTGGTTTTTTTTTTGTGGAGAAAAAAAAACTGAAACAAAATTTCAAAATCAGACTAAACCGACGAGAGCTCGATGCGGCTCACTCACGAATTCTTCCACATACACACATTTTTTGAAAGATGATGGCGAAAAAAAGACACACCGAAAAAGAATGGGCGAAAGAACAACACACAACTTCTAAAATTTGTTTCGTCTTCACTTTACGGCAAAGATAATCATCATTCTCAGCTCTATCACATACAATTTGTACTTTCCTTAAGCCACACACACATGCATACGTACTTCGAAATATGTCTTTCTTTCTCTTTTGATGTGTGTATGTCTCATGAGCGAACGCGATTCAAATGAAATCCGTTTTGGAAACAGTGAAAATGTTCGCCTACATAAGTTCAAAGAGCCATTAAAATGGCTCAATGCTGAATTGCAAATACTTATCGATAAAATAGTTTAATAACAATAATCGCTAATAATACATTTTCGTGTTTTGAGCATATTTCTTTTGAACTTGAGAGAATTCCAGCAAATCAAATTGTTAACAGAACAAATGGTCAGCGCGTCGTCGTCCAAAAGCCATATTACAGTAATTTTTTTTGCCTATTTTTTTTTGCTCTGGGAGAGATAACAATATGCGATGCACATTTGTAGTGCAAACACGGCACAATGGACACTGTGTCATAGGGGTCTGGCCGGTTGAATCACGTCTATTTTGTGCACCGTATGATCCAAACTAACGATGCCAAATTCACACAAGATATGACCATAGTCAACCAGCTACAGAGTCACACGTACAAGATCGATCATTATCTCCTTCTTTCTCTCTCGCTCTCTCTCTCTCTCTCTCTCTCTCTCTCTCTCTCTCTCGTAATGACTTGGCATATAAAGAATGTGGCATTGCTTACGTGCTGATTGGACGAATCATCCCTCTCGCACTGGAATTAAAAAAAAAACGTTTTTTTTACTCTGCCACATATATGGAGAGAGATGTCATCCGAAATCCAACTGAGAGAAAAACGAACAAAAAACAATAGCATTTGCTCATTATTCTAAACGAATTTCAATGTTTGCGTGCATATTTTGTGAGTGAATTGTGTAAAAGACTCATTTAGGCCATAAGAATCGTAACGTTTTTTGTCTTGTATCGATTTTAAATGGTGTGTTCATACTTAACATTTTCACATGCAGTTAGCAAATCATACCGAACGATTTTTTTTTCAAATACATTTTTTTCCGCGTACGTATATACAAACGATTTTTTGTTTCATTTACATTAAATCTTCGACCCGAAGCCGTTTCATTTATTGATATTATCTATTTTAGTTTAGGTAGTTTTTTTAACACTCGTGCTCACCCAGTGATGCTGTGCAACCAACACATATACGGTACAGAAAACAAAATGAAACAAAAAAAAAACCACTTGCAATTTGCTTATCTAATATGCGTATCATTGTTTTTCCATGGTACTGAAGACAAAAAAAAAACTTGTAGAAAAATCGGACATAATCGTTCAATAGAGTGAACATTTAAAGTAGTATGTAGTTATATTGAAAAGACCATAGATTTGTGAATTGCCAATTGCAATAATTGTGAATGTTGGGTGTGCTGGTAATTCGGTTTTTGAATATGTGGCAAATATTCGCTTTGTTTTGTGTGTGTAATGTGTAGTCATCGTGCATGGTGCCACTGCAAACAAACAAATAACGAAATATAGTATGTTCACAGTTTTGTCCTGATATCACGAATCTAGCCAGCGACAAAACGAATGTTTTGGATGATAGAAGCGAACAAGACAAACTAAACGAACGACTATAATTCAAGAGCCAAACATATATGTATGAAATTTTTGATTTTGTAACACAATACACAACGGCTCCCAACATGAAATTGAACAAGATGCACGTTGTT